AGCACAATTTAAAGGTGAAACCGTCCAAATGTCGACTCTTGCAGAAATAAGTACTCTTTCTAGGATATTGCATTACAGAGGATGGGGTAGCAACAGATAAGGAAAAAACGAGTGCCATTATTAATTGGCCACTGCCGAAATCTGCGGAGGAGGTACGTAGCCTCTTGGGGCTCGCTTCTTACTATAGACGTTTCGTGCGCGATTTCGCATCCCTAGCAGCATCTTTACATCGCCTGACGCATAAAGGACGAAAATTTTTGTGGACCACAGAATGCCAACAAGCATTTAACACCCTGAAATCATGTCTTGCTGCTCCACCCATACTAGCTTTTCCAGACACTTCAGATAAAGGAGGTGAGTTTATACTTGACACTGATGCTAGCTCGTCAGCTATCGGAGCAGTCCTTTCTCAAACAACACAAGATGGACAGGAGAGGGTCATAGCGTACGCTAGCCGGCGGTTAGATAAAAGGGATACAAGGTATTCTACGACGCACCGAGAGATGCTAGCTTTGGTAAAATTTTCGTCACTGTCTCCTAGGGCGCCCTTTTCGTGTACGCACAGACCATCGTGCATTACAGTGGCTCCGCTCCTTCCGCGAGCCAGAGGGGCAAGTGACACGCTGGCAAGAACGACTACAAGAGTTCGATTTCACATGCGAGTACCGACCTTGAAGCCGACATACAAACGCAGACGCTCTTCCCCGCATACCTCAAACCGCAGGTACTGTTAATGCAGTTCTTAGCACAGCCCTAGAGATCGATTGGCCTTCCCTGCAAGCAGCAGACCCAGACATGCAGATTATATATCAAAGACAATTACAGGGAAACAATAAACCATCCATGAAAGACTCAAAGGACCAATCATTAACAACTCGTCTTATTTGCACTAAATGGAGTAATCTAAAATTATATGGCGACACGTTATTCTTAATTAATGAAGCGAGACAACCTCTATTGGTAGTACCACGGATAAAAGTTGAGAGCATTGTGGAGCAGGTGCACCGCGAACTAGGTCATGCAGGAGAACGAAGGACGGAATACGCGGTCCGCCAGCGCTTTTGGTGGCCATCCATGCATGAAGATGTGATGCAAATTTGCAAAAATTGTAACACGTGCTGCCGTTTTAAATCGCCTCGACAGACACCTCGTGCACCGTTAACTCCGATGTTGACCACAGGACCACATCAGCGGATCGGCATAGATATCATGGGACCATTAACAACAACAAAGAAAGGGAATCGCTACATACTGGTTATGGTAGATTACTTTACTAAATGGTGCGAAGCAGTACCCCTTCCCTAGCAATACGCTCCTACGGTTGCCCGAGCTCTCATCGATCATTGGGTTTCCCGTTGTGGCGCCCCCTTCTCACTTCATTCTGATCAAGGTCCAGCCTTTGAAAGTAACCTCATCGCCGAGATATGCCAGCTTTTGGGAATCAGGAAGACACGAACCACTGCGTATCACCCAGAAGGTAACGGGCTGGTAGAAAGAACAAACAGAAGTATTAAAGCCATATTGCAAGCGTTTATGAGCAGATCGTCGCAGGAGTTATGGGATGATGTCCTTCCTCAGTGTCTTTTGGCATATCGTATATCGGTACATGGCTCCACCGGGTTTTCACCCGCTATTTTGTTATTCGGGCATGAATTACGCTTACCAGTGGAGATACAGATGCCCCTGCTGCCCTGCGAAGAACAGGAGCATGTACATACGTACATACGTACTCTCCGCAACCGCCTAGCTGATGCATACCGCTTGGTCAACAGCAATTTGCGCAAAGCTAGTGAACATCAAAAGGACTTGTACGATCGTCGGGTGCACGGACCAGTGTATAAGGTCGGTGATCGCGTTTGACTAAGTCGTCCCATGACATCGTCAGGGAGTTGCAGTAAGTTCCACCAGCCATGGTAAGGCCCCTTTGAAATCGTCCTCATCCGATCCCCCACTACGTTCGTATTACGTAACTTGCAACGACCCCAGAATGACGTGATAACTGTACACTATAACCAAATGAAACCAGATAGGATGACAGTTTCCTCGGATGCCCAGTTCGCCAATCCACCACCTGCCACTACGTTTTATGAGGTGCCATCAGAAGAGGAGGACAGCATATCCATGTCCGAGACCAGGCACTGAGGACAGTGCCTATTTAAGAGAGGGGGCGGTGTAACGGGATTGAAATTGCTATGTATGATATACTAATGCATTCTATTTTCTTTCTATTGCAGGGCGACCAAACATAAACTCTTTAGAGGAAGAAGAGCAAGCCCTATGTACACTAAGCTTACAGGATGACTCATAAGACTACTTCCCGCTGTACACTCGCGCACCGCGCTTTTTAAATAAAGAGGCTCGTGATTCCCACCGTGTTCTCTCTTGGTGTTAAGTCCTCGTTTAACACTGTGTGCTGTGCTGTTTTCCAGATCTGTACTGCTGCTCTCTAACTGCTGATTCCACGTGTTTCACTATCGCTAGCATTCTTGAATGCACACTTATATGTCCCCAACTGTTCCTGTTGGTCATCTTCACTAAAATCAATGTTTTCTGTGCTCTCCCTGAGTCTTTCCTTAGACCGTTCGCTTTCTGTCCCGTTTCTAATGGTTATAGACGTTGGGTGTTGTGGTTCGGAATTGATCTCAATGACATAGATGCATTAATTATTTCCCTTTTCTTTGATCTTGAGTTTTAAGGTAGTGTGATTTTTCCTATTTCTCCGACTTATTGTCTATGCCAAATTTTTGTACTCCTACTACCATTGTTGCTACTCTTTTCCCTGATAATTTCATCCGAATATCTTCATGTAGCGTGACGAGTTCAACCAATACACATAAGCGTTAGGTTCAAAGTTGACTATGACTGGCTGACTATCTCAGATAACCGTGCTCTCTATGTGGACAATTACTATCATGCATTCGTACTGGCTCTCGTATTGCGTGAAGTTATCCGCAGGCCAAATACATATGATCCAATCAATGGAGAGTCATCTCTTAACCTTAGTGAGTTTTTTATGATTTTGACGTCGTAGGTCTGAAGACATAGCAAAGCACAATTAGTAAGTACCGAAACTTTCAGCTTCAGTTTTGAAAGGACAGGAGTCTGGACAGCCTATTCTGGTTCTGGCAATAGGAGTGTCTTAGTCGATTCAACCTTCTTGACCCGTCGAAAGACGGTCCCCAATGTTTTTATACGTTGGGTGGTCTCAATGACCTATGTGCATAACGTATTTTTTTCTATTTTGTCCGATCGTGGAAGCGGCAGTGGCCTTCGTGGGTCTTCACGTGTTGTTTATCATTTCATTCCTTTTGCTCTCATAAACTATGGTGATGGTAACCGTAAAGGAGATACTGTTTTTAACAAATAATGTCACTCTTCGTTTGCGCTTTTCGATTTCGTGTTCCGTGATCCCCAAATTTTTTTACGTTTAGTTAGTCTATTGCGTTGTAGGCCCGAGCGGTTTCTGTTGCAGTGATAAGTTCCACTTCGCTTTAGTCTGTCTGTGCATTTAGTTCTAACAGATTGTTAAGCAAGGTTCGAGGATTTGTGACGGTTCAAAAGACCATTCAAATAGCTGTATCATCAGATTCAACGTCGTTCCTCTCTAAAGCCTTATCACATGAAAGTCTACAGGTGTCCTATCTTTTTCTCCCAGTTTCAACCCTAATTTTAGTTCTTTTCTTGCGTTCTGCCGTTTAATATAATCAGAGAGTTGTCTTTGGGGAAGCCATTTCTAGATTATTTCAATTTATATACATTTGGTAATATCAAGTCATTTTCAATTGTAGATTTAAGTACTACGTTAAGTAACCGAATGTAACTCCTTCAGGTCTGTAGCCTGGATAATTAATAAGCTTCCCGAAGGTGAAGCCTGTAATATCCTTGGGGTTTTTATTAATTGAGTAGACCTTTAAACTAACCAACATTACATTCTAAACGAGTTCTGGGTTCAGATTTTCTGATCTCGACTATGTCAAAAATAACATATAACCATGATCAGCCTTGGACTTTTCAATTGCAATTAAGGAATCCTACTCTTCGCTGTTATATCAGGTCGTCTCTTCTGCTACTAGGTTTATTGGTTGGTTGTTGTAGTTAATTGCTTGCCCGCTTGTCTTTATTTAAACAAAACCCTGAAATTGTAAGTCTAGAAGTATTCATTGGGTCTTGTTGTCGACTGAAGATAATAACAAAAGAATTATGTACTGTACTCATATAGGGATAGTTATTTAAATAACCTATGATCATCATAAATAATATCGTCTACCACGGTATTCCACTTAAGCTTTAATTTTTACGAACTTTAATCTTTGATACCTTTCAACGCCGGTAAATATCCACCCTTTAATTCTTGCCACTTGATCTGAGTTCCTTTTTCCCAACCAGATACTCGTCATATACCTAAATTAAGCAATCAAGTAATTCGAATTGTGTATTTGACACTGTCGTTACATAACTTTGAGACCAGTGGTTTTTACGGGCAAGGTGTAGTATAGAAACGTTATTTACCAGCAGATTATGAAGCTACACTTAGGTTATTTTATTCACCAAAAAATGTCCTATTCATATATAGCATATTAGGTCTAAGTTTTTTTTTATCTAGTGGTATAAATTTTATAGGCAATATTAATAGAGGTAACATAAGTATGAAAAAGACCTACTTAATAAAACATATTTTTTGAGATACTAGCAATTCAATTACCTGAAGGCAGTTAAGCTCTGCAAAATCAGTATTCTTTGATAAAAGTTACTACAAGAATCCACCACGATGCTGTCTGTTGCAGGAGCAGTAAGACATTTCGGGATATACTTACGGAACACCTTTAATCTTTTGTAACAAGTCATGGCGATGTAAAATCATTAATACCTTGCGTGGATCGCGATATGTAAAGAAACTATAAAGTTAACGGTTTTCCTGATAGTTCGGTGGAAATCATGCTTCGACGTAAATTTGTTTAATTGAAATGTAAATTAATCGATGACAGGTTTGTTTATTTGGAGGCTGATTGTGTTTGTGTTAGGTGGTTGGAGCAATCGATATGAAACCCTAGGTTTCATTCTGGTTTGTACTTGCAAGGCATCTTTTCAAGAATAAAAGGAGTAATTCTTTAGGATTGGAACTCACACTAATCAGTACTACGATCAGAGTTGTTAATACTAAGTTATTCGAGCTGTGACCTTGCATATTAGAGATCATTTCATTTCCAAGCTACCCAAATTAGGGTAGGTAATACTGCATGTAAGAGTGTTGTTTAAAATGTAAATAGCCTAGATATAGTATTTTTTGAATATAATATCATATGATCATCACAAATATCAATTTTCCATAAGGCATCATTCAACTCTGTAACTTCAGATAGGGTATGATCAATTCCATACTTTTTTTTAAAGTCATAGACTTCCTCTAAGGCTTCTCAACTAACTCGTGCATTTATCGCTTACTTTGTATTTTCATAGTATACATTGGTTATCAAGGTGTTTCCCACTTTTTTTGTAGATCAATCTCATCTAGAAGTTTTCAAAAATTTTCACTTCTGGGACCACTATGTGGAATTTTCATGTCTCACTTTCGACAAAATTAGCTCAAGTAATAAAATTCAAACAACCATTCAGAACACGTATCTACCATTACACTCTCCAACCGAAGATGGTTAAATATAATGAGTTAATAGACCCAGAAGATCCTCGTCTTGTAAAAGCCGTTGCTCCAGCACAAAAATGGGAACATACGGGTTCTAATTATGATGAACTTGTCTCAAGAATTGTGGGGATGATGACTATTAGAGGCGAAAGAGAGGTGGCTAGAAATGTAATGCGCATGGCGTTTAGAGAAATAAAACTAATACAGGTACATATTTATCACTTTATCCATTTCCCATAGATGCGGAAAAACAAAAGTAATGCTAGTGTTATTAATCCCATTATTGTGATTCATGAAGCAGTAAAGAACTGTACACCTTTACTACTGCTACAATCAGTACCACGTGGTGGTATTTTATACAAGGTAATCATTTAAAAGATATTTAGATTTCATAGTCATGTGTTTTATGCTGCGTTTTGTAAATTACTCATTGACGTCACATTACTCGTTTAAATTAGTTCAATGGCCTGCGTAGTGGGAAGCTACTAATTTTGTGTTTGATATGGTTTTCCTATGGTTATATATATACTTGTTTGATATTTACTTAAACACATAAACATTAGTACAGGGGGGGCACCAGATTTATATGCGCCACACAAAACAATCAGAGTGGGAAGAGAAAAAAGAGGGTAAGGTGCATATAAGTAAAAAGAAAAAAACAATAACAACAACAGATTATTGTATGTTAGTGTAATAATATGAGTAATAGTGGGGGAAACAGAAATATACAACCAGAAGAACTCTTTCAGTGAAGGAAATTATAACCACTCTTTATGAAGAAAGTAAAAGAAGGTAACAGCAAGATCGCCACTGGCTTCTATTCTGAGCCATATCTGATAACGTCTCTAGCCACTGAGTTGCGCCATCTCTCGATCCCTAACCAGGGAGTCGGGAATGACCAACAGAAGCCAGCCCTTTGCAGCTTTCTTTCATACCACAACACCATGTCATACACTGACCATCTCCACTTTTTCCAACCAGTCCCAGCGTCGGCGAGTAATGCATGACATGGAAGTCTCTGGGACGACATTCGTAGAACATGTCCAAGCCACCGAAGTCAGTGTTTCAAGATGGTGACACTAATTGGATTATCGTCTCTGTGCCAGAACACACGATGCCGAACCTCTGCATTACTAACATGGTGTTGCCACTGAATGTCAGCAATCCTTCGGAGATAGCGATGATCAAACACAGAGAGTCGTCTAACATCCTTAACTCGGAAAAGCCAGGTTTCACAATCATAGAGCAAAACTGCTCTCACCGACGCGTTGTAGATCCGACCTTTTACAGCCAGACTAACATCACAAATCACATTCCGTACCTGTGGACACTGATTGCCAGCTGATTAAGTACGGATTGCATTTCTTGGGCATTATCGCACAGTAAGACAATATCATCTGCATACTCAAGGTCGGGAAGTCTTTCTCCAGGCAACAGATCCACATCGCCATTACTTATATCCATCAGAGCTGTTTCCAGAGTGTCATCGATGGCAAAGTTGAAGAGGAATGGTGAGATCGGGCAACCCTGTCTAACCCCACTGCTTGAATAGAACAATGGTTAGAGGTGGTTGTATACCCTCACTCTGCCTGAGGTGTTCGTGTACAGGACCTTTAAGATGTTAATAAACTTCTCAGGCACACCCTTCTTCAATAGACAATCCCAGAGAACAGTCCTGTCCAACGAATCGAAGGCAGCCCTGATATCAAGAAACACTACGATTGTTGGCCTGTGATAAGTATGATGCTGTTCTAACATCTGGCGGAGGGTGGTGATTTGATCAATACATCCTCAAACAAAACGGAAACCAGCCTGCTCCTCGCGAGTCAATCGTTCTCGGGTTTTGAACAACCTACAAAGTATGACAAGCCAATAGTTTGGATGCAATCGGAAGTAGACTTATCCCCCGATAGTTGTTACAGCGACGACGTGAACCCTTTTCAAAGATAGGGACAACTATTGACTCATCCCATGACGTTGGAACACTCTCTAGCACCCAGACCTTTTTAAACAACTCAGTCAATTCTTTAGCCAGAAAGTCACCACCATCTTTAAAAAGAGCTGGAGGTAAGTCATCTAGGCCCAGTGATTCGTAGCGTTTCAAGAGTTGGAGTTCCTTGCGGACTTCTGCCTCATTTGGTGGAGCAGTCATCACCGGCCATAGAGGACAGGACAATCTGATCGATGTTGCCGGAGCATCAGGCCAGTTGAACTGCCCTTCAAAGAATTCTGCCCATCGTCCAAGGCGTCGATGGATGTTAGTTATTGTCATCCCGTCATCCTCACAGATCGTTTCACTCACACCAGACTTCTTGCTGCCAGTGGCTCGGATGAGTTGGAAGAGCTTCCGGCAGTTACCAGATGCAGCTGGTGCTTCCAACCCATTAGCACGCTCCAACCATCAGGCTTCTCGGTCCTTACGCAAGCTTTGCCCGATTTCGTTGCGTAACAGCCTTTGTTTGTGGTCAAACTCACGGTCACCCGGAGTAGACCGACGGGCTTCAATGAGTTGTAAGGAACCTGAATAAACCCAGTGCTTATAAGCGGGATGTTTGGCGAAGTCGCAAGCGGCTTTACTCGCCATTCTCATGGCGTCATGCAGTTGCAACCAATGCTCATCTATACTTTTCGGTGTGATGGTAGTAAGCTTAGAAGTTGGCTCGTTTCTTTGCTTACCTGCAACAGAAGTTGCAACCAATTTATTGACATCAGTCCGTTGATAACTATCAACTCATTGGCTACTGAAAAGTAAGGTAGGATTGGCGTAGACCAGGGCATGATCTGAGTCCAGATAGGTACTCCAAAAGGAGCGACAGTCTTGTACACAACCACGCCAGCGATAACTGATCGTGGTGTGATCAACCTGAGTCCAGGTTTGAGATGCAGAGGGAGGACGCCAGGTGGCACATCGGTGATGACTGTGCCGGAAGTTAGTGCTAGCCAGAAACAGGTTGTGGTCTGTACACAGTTGCAGTAGGCGGTCCCCATTATCTGTCCTGTGACCAACAAGTTCCCATCGGCCACCTAAACGATTCTCTTCTGTGCCTAGACGCCCGACCTGTGCATTCAAGTCTTTAGCTAGTACTACAATATCTGTCGAACGCACTTTCTGGGGAAGAACAGTTAACTGGTGGTAGACAACAAACATCGATATTAAGACCTAAAGACATAGCCAGCCCCATCTGTTGTTCGATCTGCATTAGTGTGCGAACGTTGAAGGAGGCCAGTTTGAATGGTGTACGTGGTTTAAGAAAGATTGGTTCAGTATATGTATTCGGTGGAAGCATTCACTTTCGACCAGACAGTGACTGGAGATCGTTTAGATAGGACAGAGTTTCCACCATGGGCGACATGCTGCATAAGTTGAAAAGTGGGAGTACATGAAGTTGGAATAGAGGAAGAAAAGTGACGTAGTATATAAAAAAACTGATGATAATAATAGTTATAATAATGAAAATGAGTGTTATCAAGTGAATAAGAATTGTCTGAATTCTGAGTTAAGCGAGCATAGTATTATGTGAAGTATTTGTCATCTCATTAGACTTGTGTGAGGGCTGTGATACTTCCCGGGTTCCCAGACCGAAGCTGTTGGTTTTCCTAGGGGGCCACACCCTGAACCGTAGACCTAAAGGTCTAATCCACAAGGCAGTGGAGCATCGTAAGGAGATGCAGTCCCATGGTACCCGGTGACCAACAATAGGTTCATACGTCATTCGTTCCATCAGGATATTGGATCCTATGTGCAACACTGGTTTGGAATCAGGGTTTTCCAACTCCCCTAGATGGACTCGCCGTGTCCACCCCTACCACGAGAAGGCAGCGAGTAGGACTTCTCTGGCAGAGGCTGTATACGCGTGGGCGTGTGAGAGCATTTCGAGAGACAGGATGGGCCCTTCCCCACTGTCGGCCGTACCAGGGCATTCGGGGACACTAAGTGATATCCTTATTGTATTTCTCCTGTAAAATAACAAGCAAAGTAGATATTTAGATCATACATTATCTCTTTACTGGGTATTAAGATATACTTGTAAGACTTATGTGACAGTTCACTTTTAATCGTAAAATCTCGTTGATTATTTTATTTTTGTATTTGTTTAAGAGGATACTGGGTTTACGGTGATTATAACACTAATTTCGTACTTACAATACAATTACGATATAATCGTCGTCAAATGAACCACATCACTAGATTTCACACATACTAGCTCTTTTTATCTTTTTCAATCCAGCGTCTTTTATAAACTAATTCTTCATTTACGTCTTAACCTATAATTCATCGACACAATAAGCAACATTACTATTTAAGTACCTAGACCTGAACTGGTTCATGAGGGCACTCGTGAGTTTTGAACGACAACCCAGAAGCATTCAATTAAAGTTACAAAGTATAACCCAAAAGGAAAAGAAATTTCTATCTCATTAATTTTCGGGTATGGTTACAATTAGAAAACGATTCAATACATCTCCACTACATTACATATGAGTTTCGTCATCTGCCTTTTTAAAAGTCTAGACGTATTCTGTGTAGTTTAAGCCGAACTGTTTTCCAGCGTCTAGCAAGGTGATATTTTATCACTTATTTATCATCTTGGTAGCCTTAAATAAAGGAATATTTGGTCTGAATGTATATAAAGTATATAAAATGGCTACCATAAATTGCACAATCTGTTATCTCAATTTTTGTTTTGATTCTGGGTGTTCTTGATTACCTGGTCAAGTCCACTAGTGTTCAACTGACACTAATCAGGATTTTAACATTGTTGTCTTTACTCAACATAAGTTTAGCTAAAAATAGGATTCATAATGTGGATAAATGTATTTTCTGACTTTTTTTAAAATGTTAAGATATTTTAAGGGGTAATATTACATAGAGTGATGTTGCTGATTAAGAATAATCAATATCATCATCTGAATAATCTGATTTTTATAGATATCAGCTTGGAAAATGTATTACCGTAACATTTATTCTAAACCACATTGAAACCTAGAGGGTAAATAATCTTATAAACAGAAAACAAAAATGCCTCAGTTCTAACAGCCAACTCTGTTCAAACATAAAAATTTAGAATCAAAGGTCCCTCAAATGAGATATTTCACAATCACATTTGATTTGACCCACTGAACCCCATAATTACACCAGGAATTCAGAAATTCTCGTTTTCAATATTATTTTATTCCAAGATTACTAGGCTGAACATTTATATCGACTGAAATTTATTTATAACTTAGCTATATCTTCAGTACCATGCGTGCTCTCTTTGAAAACTTCTTACTTGTTGTCAGATGGCCATCAAAAATTATCATTTAGTTGGCGTGACCATTTTATTTCATAGTTGTATGAACCTAGTTACTATAATATATGTATGTGTTGCAGATTCATCTTTAATGTTTTGTCTGTACAGGTTCCTGCCCCTCCAGTATCTTCTTCAGTTGCCACGCATACTGCAGTGAAATTTATTTTGGACGCAGCTAGAGGAAAGCCACGTGATCAACGCATATGGATATCTCTGGCAAACGAATTTATGACAGCTTCACAAAACCAAGGGAAAGCTGTCAAATACAAGGTTGAATTACATAAACAATGCGAAGAGAATCGTGCATATGCTAATTTTAGATCACATTAGCTAATTTCCTTACAAATTGTTTTTCTATAGAAATCGCACGCTTGTAAATATCCATTTGTTATAATAGATATTTTTTTATAAACATATCTTTTCGTGTGTATCTTGTTCTTTAAATTTACTTCCAAGAATGTTTGCCTCAGTGTTTGCATTAGAAAGCCTATCTGATGAATATTTAGTTTTCTCAAATAAAATTATCACTGTCTTCTGTTGAACTGGTGGGCTACATTTCTCTAGTTCATTGGAATTATTGAACACCTGAACAACTAAATCGCTTTAGTATAGAAAAACATTCTTGCTAATGTTAGAATTCTGTTTCTATTTTGGGTTTCCTATAAACCTATAGCTTATGGCTTTCTTATGAGCCTGTCCGCTTAATCTTTTTGACGAAAAGCTATGTAGTTTATCCACTAATTATTTCAATATACATATATATATATATATATATATATATATATATATATATATACAAAATGCTATAGTGTACAAATATAAGAACTCTCGTCTAAATTAGAACGAATAGTTTCACAGTATTTGAGCGCCGAGTTGAAGTAAGACATTAAATAGGAATAATATATTTGTAAAATCTCAGCGAATTAATTTTTTAAATTAAATCCAACGTTTCGCTTTTTCCTTGAAAAAGCTTGGACCAGATTGCCAGGCGAAACGTTGGATTTAATTTAAAAAATTCATTCGCTGAGATTTTACAAATATATTATTCCTATTTAATATAGTGTACAAAGTTTTGAAGTTTCAATTTATTTAAACCTTGAATTTTAATATTTGGTTCTAATGTTCAACTATTATGCCAATATATTATTTTTTTGTTGTTAGATGTAATAAATGTCGAGCATTATTTTTGCAGCTTGAAAATACTGAAAAATGCTCATTCACAGGAATCTGCACGTTTTGCGCTCATTTAAATGGTTCGATTTGTTGAATCTTAAATGTGACTACAAGCGCTATCGCCATGCCCATACTCATGCACAACACATAGATAGTAATCTTAAAGCGAAAATTTCAGTCAATGATCCACCTATCGCAACAATACGAAATGTTGGTCTAATTGCTCATATCGACGCTGGTAAAACAACTACTACAGAACGTATGCTTTATTATGCTCGTAAGCGTTTAGTTTGATATATCTTGTTATCTCTTTATTTCGCATTTCATTGAGTTATGTTTGTAAAATTGTGATACTTCTATTAGATTAGTCACAAATAAAGTATTGAAAGCTTCTAGCGGTTACTAGGTTCTTCATAAATTAATAGTAAGTGGTGCGTAATCATGTTTCGTTTACCTATGTGTGTAATCTGTTTCCATGCCTGTAACTGAGTGCAACTGTTTTTTTCCATGATAAAGGTGTTCTCACATGAAACAGTTCCACAAAAACATTCGTGATTACTCCACATCGTGAAAACAGTTGTCTTACATGTTACTAAATATGTTTTTGTAACTGTCAATCGCATAATATAAGGTGGTATGTTAACTCGGTCGAATGTTTGTCAACTGCTGATCACCGGAGTCGTTTCAATGTAAATAGTTCATTCAGTCGCATTATGCCAAAAATGTTTATTGTGAGAAACTTTTTGAATTAAAACGTGTTTGGATGCAGATACGACATATGCGATTAATGACCTTGTGTCTTTCAATAGAATGAACTCTATGTTATTTTATAAACTAGTAAGTTGACTTTCAAAGATGTGGCTATATGTACAATCTCCGTTGACCTACTTCTGTACAGCTAACCTTCACGTAATGACTAAGTTTTGTAACCTGTGTACATCTATGTGTATTTATAAATAGATTTAAAAAATTATATATATATATATATAAAGCTCCGCCTGTAGCTCCTCTGGGGGTTGCTGCCGGTCCCAAGCCCGGGTAAAGGAGGAGGGTTGGGCATGGGGTTAGCGACCCCATCCCGTAGAAAATCAACTCGCTAAAAACGCCAACCAGAAGAAATTATTCAAACCATTTAAACTCTGCCCTGGGAGTAGAAGGAATAATTATGACGTTTCATGATGAAAGCCGAGTTCATTCGGAAGTCATGAGGCCGATGCACCTTCTTACAACCAGAGCAACAATTTTTATAGGTACATGGAATGTCCGGACAATGTGGGAGACCGGAAGAGTCTTCCAAATTGCTTCAGAAATGAGAAAATACAACCTGGAGGTGCTTGGAATCAGTGAAACACATTGGACGCAGGTTGGACAACAACGACTGTCTTCAGGAGAACTTCTGTTATACTCTGGTCATGAAGAAAATGCCCCACATACACAAGGAGTTGCATTGATGCTATCCAGAAAAGCACAAAATGCACTTATAGGATAGGAATCTCATGGACCAAGGATCATCAAAGCCTCCTTCGAAACAAAGAGAGAGGGCATTACAATGAACGTCATCCAATGCTATGCGCCGACCAACGACTACGATAAAGACGCTAAAGACCAATTCTACGATAGGCTGCAGTCGATCGTCGAGAAGTGCCCAACCAAGGACCTGACCATTCTGATGGGAGATTTCAATGCCAAGGTTGGAAAGGACAACACTGGATACGAAGACGTCATGGGACGACATGGACTGGGAGAAAGGAACGAAAATGGTGAGATATTTGCAAACCTATATGCCTTCAATAAACTGGTCATAGGTGGCACCATATTCCCACACAAAAACATACACAAAGCCACTTGGATTTCACCGGATCACACTACACAGAATCAAATCGACCATGTCTGCATCAACAAAAAGTTCAGGAGGACGATGGAGGATGTGAGAACCAGGAGAGAAGCTGATATAGCATCCGATCATCATTTGCTGGTCGCCGAGATGAAACTAAAACTCAAGAAGCACTGGACAACGGCGCGGACAACATCACAAAAGTTTAACACGGCCTTTCTTCGAGATGCTGACAAACTCAACAAATTCGATATATTTTCACAGTCGAAATCATGAGTCAATTGAAGCTAGACCACCATCGAAAACCTGGAAGCACTGGACGGCCGTTTCGTCCTATTATGGGACTCCTCAGCAGTGCGCATCCACGAACCCGCTCTCGCGAGCGAGATTCATATGGCCAGCGAATATATAGCCTCTGCCAGGGAAGTCCTACTCACTGCCTTCTCGTGGCGGGGGTGTTGTTTACGAAAGTGAGAGGACGAAAAGCGAATGTCCGGCGCTTTAACCGGGTTGGTGGACATGGAAAGTTCACCTAGGGGAGTTGGAAAACCCTGATTCCAAACCAGTGGTGCACATGGGCCCCAGTATCCTGATGGAACAAATGGCGTACGAATCAACCGTTGATCACCGGCTACCATGGGACTGCATCTCCTCACGATTCTCCACTGCCTTGTGGATCAGACATTAAGGTCAAAGGCTCGGAGTGTGGCCCTCTAAGAAAACCACCTGCTTCAGTCTGGGCACCTGGACAGTATCTCAGCCCTCACACAAATCGAATGAGATTTGTGAGGCGCATATTTATCTGGTGCTTCCTTGTACCAATATTTATGTGTTTAAATAAATAAATAAAATAAGACCACTGATCTATAATCATATGCTCACTAGTGACTGACTTCAAGAGATATTTCCTTGAGTTCTAGTGGGAAGCAGTTGCCAGTGGAGTTCTACCAGGTCTGTTGTAGAGATATCATCTCACCGAGGACAATTGGTGAACGGTCGCTCAATATCGTGGATTGGTTGAAGTTAGACATTAACACCGTTGGATGCCAGCTCAGTGGTCTATCGGTTAAGGGCTTCGGCTCGAGACTGGTAGGTCCTGGGCTCGAATCTCGCTCGCGAGAGCGGGTTCGTGGATGCGCACTGCTGAGGAGTCCCATAAGAAAACGAAACGGCCGTCCAGTGCTTCCAGGTTTTCGATGGTGGTCTAGCTTCAATTGACTCATGATTTCAACTGTGAAAATACTAAATTCTCCACAAAACCCCCTCTGATCAAATTCAATATAGCCCTCAGCAACAGATTCGAGGTCTTTCATGATCTACTCAATGGAGAGGGAACTACCATGGAGAGCAACTGGAAAGGTATCGAGGAAGCAATCGTTTCAACATGTCAGGAGGTTCTGGGCCAAAAGAAGCACCATCACAAGGAATGGATCACTGTTGGTACACTGGATAAAATTGAAGAAAGGAGGAACAAGAAGGCAGCAGTCAATACCAGCCGAACCAGAGCGGGAAAAGCCAAGGCACAAGCCGAATACACAGAGGCAAATAAGCAAGTGAAGAGGAGCATCAGACCCGACAAACGTAAATATGTGGAAGATTTAGCGATGACAGCGGAAAAGGCTGCAAGAGAGGGAAACATGAGACAACTGTATGATACGACAAAGAAACTTGCTCGAAATTACCGTAAACCAGAAAGATCAGTGAAATGCAAGGAAGGCAAAGTAATCACCGACATTGAAGAACAACGAAACAGGTGGGTAGAACACTTCAAAGAACTCTTGAATCGACCAACTCCACTGAACCCACCCAGCATCGAAGCAGCACCCACAGACCTCTCAATCGATATTGGTCCACCAACAATTGAAGAGATCAGCATGGCCATTAGACAAATCAAGAGTGGCATAGCAGCGGGACCAGACAACATCCCGGCAGAGGCACTGAAAGCAAATGTAACAGCAACTGCCAAGATACTCCACATCCTCTTCAGTAAGATTTGGTATGAAGAACAAGTACCAATAAACTGGAAAAAAGGACTTCTGATCAAGATACCAAAGAAAGGCGATCTCAGCAAGTGCGACAACTACAGGGGCATCACTCTCATCTCAATACCAGGAAAAGTCTTCAACAGAGTATTGTTAAACAGGATGAAAGATTCCGTGGACGCCCAATTCCGAGATCAACAAGCTGGATTTCGTAAGGATAGATCGTGCACAGATCAAATCGCAACTCTACGTATCATTGTGGAACAATCAATCGAATGGAATTCATCACTCTACATCAACTTCATCGACTACGAGAAGGCATTTGATAGTGTGGACAGGACGACACTATGGAGGTATCTTCGACACTACGGCGTGCCTGAGAAGATAGTCAATATCATACGGAACTCCTATGATGGACTAAACTGCCAAATCGTCCACGGAGGACAAGTCACCGACTCGTTTGAAGTAAAGACCGGTGTTAGGCAAGGTTGCTTACTCTCACCCTTTCTCTTTCTCCTGGTGATCGACTGCCCCTAAATACCCTGGTACGGCCGAGAGTGGGGAGAGTCCGCTCTCCCTCCCGAAATGCTCTCATATGGCTACGCGAATATATAGCCTCTGCCAAGGAAGTCCTACTCACTGCCTTCTCGTGGCGGGAGTGTTGTTCACAAAAGTGAGAGGACGAAAAGCGAATGTCCGGCACTTTAACCGGGTTGGTGGATGTGGAGGATCCACCTAGGGGAGTTGGAAAACCCTGATTCCAAATCAATGGTGCACATGGGCTCCAGTATCCTAAAGGAACGAATGGCGTATGAACCAACTGTTGGTCACCGGCTACCATGGGACTGCATCTCTTCACGATTCTCCACTGCCTTGTGGATCAGATCTTTCGGTCAAAGGCTCCGGGTGTGGCCCTTTAAGAAAACCACCTGCTTCAGTTCGGGCACCTGGACAGTATCGCAGCCCTCACACAAATCGAATGAGATTTGTATGGCGTATATTTATCTGGTGCTTTTTGTACCAATATTTATGTGTTTAAATAAATAAATTATCGACTGGATTATGAAGACATCAACATCTGGAGGAAATCACGGGATACAGTGGACAGGCAGAATGCAGCTTGACGATTTAGACTTCGCGGATGATCTGGCTCTTCTATCACAAACGCAACAACAAATGCAGGAGAAAACGACCAGTGTAGCAGCAGCCTCATCAGCAGTAGGTCTCAATATAAACAAAGGGAAAAGCAAGACTCTCCGATACAATACAATATGCACCAATCAAATTACACTTGACAGAGAAGCTTTGGAGGATGTGAAAACCTTTACATATCTGGGCAGCATCATTGATGAACACGGTGGATCAGATGCAGATGTGAGGGCGCGGATCGGCAAAGCAAGAGCAGCATACTTACAACTGAAAAACATCTGGAGCTCAAAACAATTGTCAATCAACACCAAGGTTAGAATTTTCAATACAAATGTCAAGACAGTTCTTCTGTATGGGGCGGAGACGTGGAGAACTACGAAAGCCATTATCCAGAAGATACAAGTGTTCATCAACAGCTGTCTACGCAAGATACTTCGGATCCGTTGGCCAGACACTATCAGCAACAAGTTACTGTGGGAGACAACAAACCAGATTCCAGCGGAGGAAGAAATCAGGAGGAAGCGATGGAAGTGGATTGGACACACTTTGAGGAAATCACCTAATTGTGTCACAAGACAAGCCCTCACATGGAATCCTGAAGGTCAAAGGAAAAGAGGAAGACCAAAGAACACATTACGCCGAGAAATAGAGACAGACATGAGAAGAATGAACAAGAAGTGGATAGAACTAGAAAAGAAGGCCCAGGACAGAGTGGGTTGTAGAATGCTTGTCGGCGACCTATGCTCCATTGGGAGTAACAGGCGTAAGTAAGTTATATATATATATATATATATATATATATATATATATATATATATATATATATATATATAACCATTGACTCGTGCATGAAGTTTATATAACCGGCCAACTAATTTCATGATTCATATGCTTTAGCTTACTAGTCGTGAATATTCACTTCCTCATCATGCTTTTTCCATTGTATTTTTGCAAATTCCTTGTTAAAGACTGTTTGCGACCGTCTGGGTAAAGTGTAGAGGCGGTTATTTTATAGCAAAGCTTTGGAATTAAAGATACTTCTATCGGTTTTATATATTGTTTTATCACTCCATCCATAAGGTTTATGCAACTCAGTTACTTGATTATGTACTGGCTACTAACAATAAATACCTGATCTGTCGTATGATCTAATACTGTTATTGTGATTGTCAAGTTTCCTGATATACCAAATGTTATGGGGTAGTGCTTGCAGTTACTGTTGTTCAGAGTCTTACGTTATATATATGCACTCCTCCCCTTTATTGTCTCATCAAGAGATTTTGGAGGTGCGACTCTGTGATTATGGTGTTCGACTTTCAGCCGTTGTGTTTGAGGTTCAAATCTCGTTTCACCGTCTACGGTTTACGCAACCAGATATTATCATTAGCCGTCATACCTTAAGTGTGGCTTGAAGTCAAGTACATGAATCTGTAAAATGAATTATAATGTACCGTCCACTTGTCGATATTGTAACAAGTAGACCAACGTTCGAATCATTCATCAAATGGCTGGAAGTTTATTGCCCGAACTGTTGAATCACATCTTTTCGATAAAGCTAATCCCGTCTTATGATAATACAAATTTTAACCTAATGTAGAAATGTTCATATGGTGCACAATTTATTCGTCCCTTTATGTGGATTAAAGGGATTGCTTAAATTGTTTGATTGTTTAGTTTACATCTATGTAATATCTAATTTTGATTTCGCTACAGTCAAAATACTTGAAGATTACTATTCATTATTTAACCTACATTCACTTTGTATTTATTTCTAGCCTATTCGCTGTATTTATGCACATGTTTTACCATTGATTCTAAAAATTAATTATGTGCTTTTAACAATCTAGGACGTATACACTATCTCGGTGAAGTAGATAATGGAGATACTGTGACTGATTACTTACCAGAAGAACGTGAACGTGGTATAAGCATTGTTACTGCATCAGCTTCTCTGTCTTGGCGAAGTCATATAATTCACTTATTGGATACTCCAGGACATGTAGATTTCACATTTGAAGTTGAACGAAGTCTAACTGTTTTAGATAGTGTTGTTGTTATATTGGATGCGGTCAAAGGTGTTCAACCTCAGACACATACTGTGTGGTGAGTACTAATTTCATTTTGCAAGTTGGCGCTAATTGCTTATCTTCTAGTAGTTGATAGTTGTATAAGTAAATTTATTTATTTTCCTTTAACTCATCCTTTACGAGTTACTGTTTAAAAGTTTTTTCACGAGAAATTTTACATAGGATACCCTTTTGTTACTGTGAAACATAACTACCAAACGTTAAGATTAGTAATGCTTTCACATCTGATAGAATTATCTGTGGAAGATAATTAGTGATTATCCTGGAATTAGTTAATCTAAAAGTCATAGATCACTAAATTTCACAAAGAATCAGTCGAGACTGTAATAACAGACCTGCATTACTCGTAACTGTGTATACTATTACAAGTTGATATTTTAGTTTGAGCCTGATCTTAAGGGGTTTATGGGGTTGCAAATACAATGTTCTGATACAGTCTGTAACATTACATTTGTTCCTGTTATCCTCCTTTTTGTATCCTTTTCTTTCAAGCCGCCAGGCTCATCGTTACTGTCTTCCATGTGTAATTTATATCAATAAAATGGACCGCCCAATGGCTAATGTCGATCTATGCTTACACAGTTTATCTAATCAGTTGCCTACAAAAGCATATTATATACCTATTCACTGGCCAGTATTTTCTCACAGTCTTAATACAGATAACACGTCATCGTTAGTTAATGCTTCGAATACGTCTACTTCGCTTTCTAATAAATATCATGTTAAAAACAATGGTACCAGTCAATTTGTTGGACTTGTAGATTTGACTACGATGCAATTAAAGGTAAATAATGATCATGGGTGTACGTAAATTTTTGTATTTAAAATTGATAAATGTTTACCTTGTATCCAAGTATTATGAATAGATATCTTTTGATTATCCTGTATGTGAAACGAAAATCTGTATAATTCTAATCGCACTTTTTTATGATGAGATTTCCTATATAGTCCTCTCTACGTTTGAGTTAAAAACAGAATATAAGCATGTTGATTATTAATTTGGTTAGTGGCTAGCAGTCGAATTCAAGACACATTTATTTAAATTGGGACCTATCAAGTGAGGGGATCTCCACCTCACTGTTGATTATATTGCTAATCGCTATTCAAAATATAGCCTTGCTGTACTCAGTATCGAAGCATCCTATTAAGCAGCTCCTTATGTTAACAAAAACTGGTCAGATGTAGTCTTGAATATTACAAACAGGGAAATGCAAGTCCTCAAACTTAAAAAAGGAAAAAATCAACCCATTTATAAGAACTTTCGTCTGAATTTGAACGAATAGTTTCACAATAGTTAAGGACCAAGTTAATGTAAGACATTAAGAAAGAAATTATATTTCTAAAGATCTCAGCTCGGCAATCTGGTCTAACTCATTTGGGTGTACATTTATTAGAAGTGGTTAGGATTTATGAAAAATGACTGAAACGTAGCCTAGTTAAAAAGTCACGTGCTATGGATGAGCGGTCTGAAGAGCAATATAATGTGTTACTCGTTAAGTTTGTTCTTGTTTTGTTATGAACCTTATCGCTTCACTTTTTTCTGCAACAGCAAAGAGTAGCTGTGTGACTCAAATCCTTATTTCTTTAAACTATACTGTCATAGTTTCCTGTATCCCGACCGTTGCTGCTACCTTGACGTGGTGGTCGGGATTGCCTATCGTGATGAACCAATCGAGCTATTCTGGCTGGAACAATCGCTCCTCAAGGTCCTACCATGAAAGACAGGTCGGTTGAAGAGCGGAAAGACTAAAAGCAGCAAACCCAAGGTCCAAAGGTGAAGTCGTACTGCTGACTGTACAGAGGTGTGACAACAGTAAGGTGTTTCCTTCAGTCAACCAGCATAACAGCGATGCTGCTTTCCCACGAGGATGGGGTTAGAAAAGGTCGACCCTAAAAATGCACACCTCGCCTTATCCCACGGATATCCGTCTCCGGCGGAAAGGTCCCAACAAGTACGGAGCTAACACAAAAATTACCCACAAAAAGGTCGTGTGTGACCGACCTCAAGCAGTTGTCCCTTGGGCACTGAGGTCACGCTCTCAGGTCATTAAGACCACTTCTAATTCAATTTCCTTTTCAGGTACCTCTAGAAGAACCCTTCCACGGTGTGGGTAGCCGGGAAGTGATAACTGCGTTCATACCTCTAACAGCACTCAAGATCACTGTATCCATAATCAATCTCCTTCTTCAATACCTATTACTCCTTCCACCTCGACTTTCAACACTAAACTTCCTCTTTCGGCTTCCTTCTCAAGCGTCACCACGGCCAACGATTCTAGTGCGCGAAACAGTCCCAGGTCTACTAAAACCTCGCTCCAAACTACACATTCGAGCCTTCAACGTACGTACCCTATGTCAAATCGGCCAGCAGGTCTCCTTGGTTAAAACCCTAGAATATCACACCTTTGATGTATGCTGTATCTCCGAAACACACATACAGGATTCTAGTGTGGTCATTCACTTGACCTCACCTCGCCAAAATAGACAGCCAACGAAATACACCCTTCGTGTATCTGGCGACCCGATAGCTAGTTCTCGTTGACTTGCAGGTGTAGGCATAGCACTTAGTATGAGGGCAGAACAAGCACTATTAGAATGGATCCCCGTTAACAGTCGCCTGTGTGTTGTCCGGCTGAATAGCTCTATAATAACTCGGAAGGACAGGGACACACGTCGCCTTTTCGTTGTTTCTGCCCACGCTCCCACTGACTGCAGCCATGATGAAGTGAAAGATGACTTTTACAGAAAGCTCCGTGAGCTTCTTCAGAAAGCTAAGCGTTCAGACATAGTAGTCGTAGCGGGTGACTTTAATACCCAGTTAGGCAGCTTGAATCAAACAGAAAGAAATGTGGGTGGGTATTTTAGTATTCCGGCTCAACGAACCGATAATGGTGATCGTCTGTTGCAACTATGCTCAGACAATCGTTTATTTTTAGCAAATACTAATTTTAAGCATAAGGAGAGACATCTAACATGGCGACCACCTGCACCAAACCAACGATGGACTCAAATAGACCATATTGCCAACAGTCATCGTTGGAGAGGCTCGATAGATTGTCGCTCGTGCTGGAATACCTGTTTGGAATCTGATCACGCTTTAATACGAGCGCACATTTCCTTGCGCCTCAGTGGACGCAGAAACACCATACTAAGAAGACCCGTTAGAATTGAACTTGGAGGATAATAAAGCCAAATGTAAGTTCCAGGAACAACTGAGTTCACATCTAGGCAGTTCTATAAACGAGGCTGACCCAGATGTTGCTCGGAAAGATTTACAAACAGCTGTCGAAACAGCAGCGACATCCATTAGTGATTTGAACCAAAGGGTTACGAAAACCCACTGGGTTTCTGCAACATCTGTTGCACTGATAGACTCTCGTAAAATCATCCCATCAGGCTCTGAACACGATGAAGAGCGAAAACAAATCAGATCTAGGTTAACCAAAATTATAAGGAATGACCGTGAGCAGTGGTGAGCAATGAAAGCAAAAAGGGACGAAAAAGGCAGTGGGTGTAGGTAACACTAGACAACTTTTCAGACTAATGAGAGAAACGGCAATTAAGAAGTCAAGTGTAATGAGAAAATTTCAGGAAAAGACGCTACTCTTATGTTCTCTCAGTCCAGACGTTTATAACGATGGGCGGAACACTTTAAGGAGCAGTTCATCTGGCCTTTAACTACTCTACAACTATTCACCATTCCCAAACAGCCTGAATGGAACATTGAAGTAGGTTCAACGAGTGTAGTTGAAGTTCAAAAGGCTATGGCTAGTCTGAAACGAGGAAGAGCAGCTGTTCCAGATGGATTGGCTTCAGAGGTCTTTAAGGATGGTGGTCTAATTTTAGCGATCAGCTTGACCAATATTTTAGCTAAAATATGGGAGTTGGACTTAATCCCATCTGACTGGTTGCAATCACTGATTATTCCAATACATAAGAAAGGATCGAAATCATCCTGTGATAACCATAGAAGGATTAGTTTCACTAATATAGCATCTAAAATACTTGCCTCAATAATTATCGGGCGCCTAACAAAGGCTCGTGAACTGCAAACACAAGAAAATCAGGCTAGCTTCGGACCTGGTTGCGGCTTTATCGACCACATATTTACTATTCGTCAGGTTTTAGAACACAGACATGCTTATCGGCGTCAAACAATGATAGTTTTTCTTGACTTAAAAACAACCTTTGACTCTGTAGACCGAGAGGTTCTGTGGCAGTGTCTGTCATTGAAAGACGTACCTCAGAGGTACATAAACCTTATGAAGGCTCTTTACCCGAACACTAACAGTCGGGTCAGAGCTTATGGTGAACTGCCATCTGATTTTACAACCTCAAGTGGTGTCGACAAGGCTGTCCACGATCTCCATTTTTGTTTAACTTCATCATAGACCTACTGCTGGAAATAATAACGCTCTAGTCGACTGAATTTTCAGGAATTGATCTCCTACCAGGAGGTCTACTTATCGACTTAGAATACACAGATGACATAGTCCTGTTTGGTGAAGACGCTGATAAAATACAAAGCCTTTTGGTAGCACTGAGTAACAATGCAAGGATGTTCGGGATGCGTTTCTTTCCCTTTAAGTGTAAATTGTTACCCCAGGACTGGCTTGTGTCAACACCCGAACTAAGGATAGTCGGACGCGTCAACAACTTCACTTATCTTAGGAGTCTGATCAGCCCTAATGGGTTGGTGTTTGATGAAATCTCAGCACGGATTCAGAAAGCTCGTTTGGCTTTCGCCAACTTACGTCACCTATGGCGAAGGTGAGATATCCGTCTATCAATTAAGGGACGAGTATACTGAACAGCAGTTCGCTCTGTTCTACTTTACGGCTGAGGAACATGGTCATTAAGAGTAGAAGATACTCGTAAGGTACTAGTATCTGACCACAGATGCCTTAGAAATATTGCTCGCATCTTCTGGGATCACCGGGTAAGTAATAGTGAGGTTAGACGCAGAGTATAAGAGAATGACGGTAAGTCCGTTAATGAGGCCATGAATCTTTATCGGCTAAGATGGATGGGCCACTTGTTGCGTATGGCTGGACACCGATTACCACGATGCGCTATGCTGACTAGTATTGGCAATGGTTAGAAGAAACTTAGAGGCGGTCAAACCAAAATGTGGCATCAGAGCTTGAAGTCACTAACTTCTAGTCTAAGCCATGTTGGTAGATGCAGACTACTTGGTTGGGGTCCACGTGACTATCGTAACCAATGATTGGAGACTCTAGGTGACATGACTGAGAATCGATTACAGAGCCGTCGGTGTATACACTCTTTATCTTCCTTTAAACCTTGAGATTAAAATTGCTTCATAACTGTCTTCCTGTACTATATCCTTATATACAACCCATCTTTTATATATTACCACCACTAAATTAACTACTATTAATTTGGTGTTCATCTTGTTGTGCTAATGAGGTATGGCAACTTGAACCGATATATATGTGTGCGTGATCCTACGTTGTATCTGACTGACTGAGTTTCCTGTACGTTTGTGTGAAAGTGCAATTATTTACTAATTACATCTTCGTTATTATTGTGATTAAACGTTAAACATATTTTCCAAGACATATGTGGATTTCCTTGTTAACATCGAATACACTCGGTTGTTCGAAGTGTAACCTTATATGTTGCGCAATCACAAATTAACCAGCCCACTTCTAGTCAGCATTCTAATCAAGAGAATGAATTTCTGTTTGCAATTAACTAAAATACCTGTCATCAGAAAATCTGAATGTTGTAGTACCATGCTAAAATGCACGTTAGATTTTATATAGTGGTAAGAAATTTCTATATAAATTACGCTTTCTTTATACATTACTAATCGTGACCTAAACTACAAAATTTTTACTGTTTTTATGGGCCTGAACTATACTCAGAATATTATTGTATTTGATCTTTCGAGTTTAAATAATTATTACACATAAAATCGACAAGATATTAGCAACATGCTTTCATTTATTGCTTTAATTGTAAGAATTGCTGTCAACAACACTATGTATGCTATCCGTTTGCATTGTACACAGCAGCCTATCAAATGTTTCCTAGTTGTTTTTTACTAACATTTTTATTGATTGCTTTATGTGTTATTTAAATATGAGTAACAAAGCTTGGAGGCGTTTCACGAATTCATGTATTTTTTTTTCTCAGTAAAATTATCGTAAAATCATTCATAAAATTCACCAATCAAATCAAGTAGAAACGCTTATTTTTCAGTTAAATTGATGCGGATATTAGAGAATGGGATTAATTTCATAAATTTTTTTCTCGTTAATAAATTTATCTAAACCAGGGACAATAAACATGGAATATAAAGGGGAGATTCCTTTCATGGTTTGTTTATTCTGGTTAGCGTTCTTTTTAGCAGAGTTGCTTTCTACGCGATAGGATTGCTGGCCTTATGCCCAACCCTCCTTCTTTACCTGAGCTGTGGACCGGCAGTGACTCTAGGAGAGGTACAGGCGAAGTTCTACGTACATGGGCAGCATCATCGATGAACGTGGAGGATCTGACGCATATGTAAAGGTAAGGATCGGCGAAACAAGGGCCGTATTCCTACAGTTGAGTAACATATAAAACTCTAAACGACTGTCAACCAATATCAAAGCCAGAATCTCCATCCAATTCTGTCCTGGGCAATCCTTTCCAGTTGTTTCAAGTTACTATTCATGCTATTCATGTCTGCTCCCAATTCTCGACACAGTGTGTTCTTTAGCCTTCCTCTCTTCCGTTTCCCTTCAGCATTCCAAGCTAGCGCTTGCTTAATGATGCAGTTTGGTGATTTCCTCAGTGTGTCTTATCCACCACCAACGTCATTTCCTAATTTCCTCTTCAGTTGGAACCTGATTTGTTCTCTCCCATAGTAGGTTGTTACTGATGATATTCGGTCAACGGACATTGAGTATCTTACCTAGACAATTGTTTATAAATACTTGTATATTTTGATAATGGTTGTGATAGTTCTCCAAGTAATTTGTTTAATCTGGTTAAGCTTCGTTTAGCAAGATTGTTTTCTATGGGATGAGGTTACCGACCCCACACACAACCCTCCTCCTTTACCTGGGCTTGGGACCGGAGGTAACTCTAGAAGAGCTACAGGCGGAGTTAATCAAACACATAGTTATATAGAAAGAGATTACAATTATTTGTTTGATGACATATTCTTGCCTAAAAATTAGATATCTATAACACTATTAAAAATGTTAGGTGTTAGGTGTTAACTGGAAATTGATTGACCAAGATTATCAGTTTGTTTGTTTTGAAATCATTAACCTATTGCCTGCCTTTCGGATGATTAACAACTAAAGGAATAAATGTTTATATGAACCTTGTATAACGATAGGTACACTGCTATTATTATATTAATCTTCCGAAAAGTTACATTTATATTTACCATTCTCGTAATTTATTATCTATACTTTGCTAGTTATCTATTTCTCTGTTAGAATTGGATTTCATGTAACGGTCCTGATGATGTTTATACATCATCTGATTTATTCGAAGGTATCAATACAACTACTGTATCAAATTGCTCTCAGCCACCGAAATCGAAATCTTGTATTGAGAACACTCTAAACCCAAGTGGAATTCAAGAGGCACTAAGTGCTCGAATGCAGTTACTAAGTACATTGGCCGAGATCGATGACGAATTTGCGGATGAATTCTTGCAACTCGATCGTCCGGATTTATTGGTTCCTTCAGATATTGTTCATAAAAGTTTAAAAAAGGTTGGTTTTATTGTACAGAATGGCATCTGGTATTTTTCGGAGATATTTTATGATTTGTATGTATCAGAGTAAAATAGTATTATATAGTTCCACTAGGATTTCTGTCAACTAATCATCTACATTGGTCACAACCGCAGTCACTTTGTCAAATAAAATATGACCGATCTTACGGTAAAATAATTTAACTTGTTGGCTAATATATCGCACTCTTATTGTCTTTACTCACGTAACTAAATGTAATGTCGCGTACGAGGATTGACACATATACATTCTCAAAGTAATACAATATTTTAACACCTGGACATTTGCTGACACAGATATGAACATTTAATGATTTCCCAACCATTATCATAGTATGTGTATACTTGCTATTCTTATTTCTTAACAGTAATATCCACTAAATCAAAAAATTCTAATCTTAACACTGTATCCTTTTTATTGTTTAGCAGTATTATTTGCTTTTATTTTAGGCGATTCTTTCCTCTCAGGTCATACCAGTGTTAGTTGGTAGCAGTCGAAAAAACATCGGGATTCAGCCTTTATTGGATTTTATTGTTGATTACCTACCAGATCCTAGTCATTCCAATATTCCAATCTCTATTTTAAAGGTTTATAAATCGTTAAAATCTACATTACCGAATCCAAGTGATTTATTAAAAGCCTCAAGAGACTTAGATAATCATCGCAATATTCTATCGTCGAATTTTCCACTCATGCTTGTATTCAGGATATGTTTTGATCCACATCGTGGCCCGCTTACCTTAGTACGCTTATATTCCGGTTTAATCACACCTGGTTCTCAAATTGCTAATTGGTCCCGATATAAAGATATAAATTTACCAGAAAAAGTAAGTCAACGTCATGAATAAACTATCGAAACGAATGCAAGTTCAATTTACCTGGTTCTATATCTGTAATTTGCCAGTCTAGTTGTAAATATAATTGAAAATCATTCTATGGTAATACTTCAATTTATTCCAAAAAAGCACAACAACAAGTCTAAAAATGTACTTCAGAATGAGCGACAGTCTTCTATAGAGCCTCTCCAACGATGGCTGATGTTAGTGTAGCCTATTTGAATCCATCGTTGAGTCGATTGTGGGAATCGCCATGCAAGATAATGTTTTTTTCCCCAGTGCTTGCTCGAAATAAACGGTTATCTGAGCCTAGTTGCAACAAACGGTCGCCATTATCTCTTCTCTGAGCCTCAACATTGTAAGATTCACTCAAGTGCCTTTCGGTTTGATTTAGTTTACCTACTTTAGCGTTTAGCTGTACGAAGGAGTTTGGAAAGTTGGCTATAAAACTCATATTTTACTTTGTCGGAGTTCCAATCAGTGGGAGTGTAGGTACAGACAACAAAAAGCCAATGGCGTGTGTTCATATCTTTCCGAGTTCTTACTGTCCCGTTTAGTCGGAAAGCTCACAAGTTATTGTTTATTGGAATCCAGTCTAATAGAGCCTGTACTGTTGCTATACTTACACTAGCGAGCTCACAGGCAGTAGCAGTGGGGTCTCTGGATTTTCGAAGAGTGAATCGTGCTGGTTTTTTCATATTGATAAGGTGGGGTTAGATGAACAACCACACTTGGGTCCTGTATGCGCGTTTCGCAGATGCTGCATACATCTATGGCGCGAGATTCTATGGTCCTAGCTAAAGAAGTTTGTTATCCTATTTGACAAAAGTTTCGAACATTAAAAGCTTTCAATATGTAGTTTAGCGCATGGTTTCAGGAGACCTGGGATACCCTATTATGAGATCATAAACCGTAAGTGAATTATAGTTAAATTGGAATCAACAGTTTCCAGCTTTATGGTTCAGAACTCATCTGTATACGAAGTGTAAAACGTGGCTGCTAACTAGGTATTGATATCGACAGATATTGTATTACTTTGTAATGAAACTTTTTCATATGTATTTTTCTATACTATAGATCTTAAATGTGTTTCAACTAAATGGAGATTCGTTAGAAGTAGTTAACAGTGCTGGACCTGGTAGTATTATTGCTTTAAGTGGACTTCAGTCAACATACACAGGCGATATTTTAGGTCCTGTCTTGAATTCAACAAAAAGTAGACAAGCAGAGAATTCCAAAGGTACTGGATTAAATGATACTGAAGAAATGTTTGACAATGGATCAGAATCACCTTCCGTATTTCAAGTATCTGAACCTGTTGTATACGCCGCGGTTGAACCTGGTAGTCGATCCGAAATAAATGCACTTGAACATGCTCTCAATTGCATGCAACGTGAAGATCCGAGCTTTCATGTAAGTTTAGCTGTTACTATTGTTGTTGTTGTTGTTGACATTTACTGTATTGATAAAATGAACTAATCTAATCATTTTCACCATTTTTAGTTCACCTGTTTTTTATATTGTGTACCACTTAACAAAGGGAAAAAGCTACTGCGAATCTAGTAATTCTATCCTTTTGTTATATAAAGAATAATAGCTGTTTAGAAAATTAGATATACCAAAAATACATTTATTAATCTACTGACCGGCGTTACTTTTAATCCAGTTACTTTGTAAACACGCGTGACTAAACTCTCCATATCTCAGGCAAATATGATTTCCTCCTCCATTGTTGTGCCAGCAGCATCTTCCATTGCTATTCACACGGTAATGTAGTCACATTTTATTATTATTATTATTATTATTATTATTATTATTATTATTATTATTATTATTATTATTATTATTATTATGACCAAACAAATGGTGAATGAATGGTAACTGCTACGAATCATTTATAGACTATTATTACATGTATTCTTATTGGATAATTTGTGTGGTGCATATGTATCTGGTGCCCTTTTGTACCAATATATACGTGTTTAAATAAATAAAATTGGATAATTACTAAGTAACTAGATCATATATGTATCCGTATTCCTTTCATCATAAGCTTTCATTTGGCCCGTTAGCTACTGTTATTCGATTCACCATCATTAATTTATCCCCAATTTACTAGTTACAGTATCCCATACTCACAGCCACTTTTGACTTGATCCTGAATTATTATTATTTTATGATGTGGTGCTGTCTGGATTGCTTGTATATAAACCACGTTTATCTAAAATATATTATTCATGTAGCGGAGGTCGATATTTGTGTTCTGGACTCAACGGGGTGGGATAGGCGAGAAGTTGCTATTTTAAAGACCAATAAGGTCTCAGAGTTAACTCAAGGCTGCTCGTTCTGGTGAACTCATCATTCGTTTAGCACAGTGACAAGGTCATACAAGTCGGTGTTCTGATTGACAATTTCGTCACGGGATATTTTACAGGGTCATAAGTCATAACATTATTATTATCACATAGATTGTTTTGTTTTCCGATAACCCTGCCAAAAAGTTGTCAAGAATCTTTGAACATTGGATTATTTATTTATTTATTAACAGCTTTATTCAATATTATATTTTTGGTACAATATAAAATTCTCAGCACAAAGTATTTTAAGAAGTTTCCGTTTCTTACTTCTTGGTCGACCCTGACGATAAATATTGAGTGATCACCAAGTAGATGTTAGCAGTTTTCCCTGTATGTTCCCAACAACCACGATATCTCTGACTGGGCCTTTCGTAACTTGTACAACGAAAGTTTGGACACTTCAGAAGCGTACCTGAATAGGTTATGCGAATAATAGACATAATGATGTATTAAAACAAACAAAATTAGATAACTTGTTGAAATATCTAGATGGCAGGAACAGGTAGCCGAGATGTTCAGACAGGTCGCCCTGTCGACAAATATCAGTTATCACAAAACTACTAGACTTCTTAATAATTATTTTCAGCTACCTAACATTCAAATATATTCTACATATTATTGAGTAACTTAAACTAGTAGACAGTGCAACTGGACGGTTGGAATTTAATCTGGACTAAGGATTGATTGCTTTTCAAAGACAAACCAGTGCAGAATCTAACTGTACCTGCTATGACAATTTATTTTGCAACTGATAGTTTCAGTAACCATTTGAAATGTGAAAATATAAGTTTTCTTCAGCAATCTTAAGTGATAATGACGCATAGTTTTTATCGTGGAAAGGCTAAGTGATTATCTTATAAAAGGAATAGGATACAAACCTGCCCTTGAATCTCAGATGATTTCTTAAGATACTTACCATTCAATGATTTAAACTTGTTTTGCTTGCGTTTTAAATTTGAAAGGTACTAATGTTTGTTAAGCCAGCTACATTGTATCTTCTATTCATATCATTAAGTGGGTCCATGTTTTCAATTATTTCTTACTCAAGTATCTTCGCAATTCGTCTTGTTTTGCATTTGTTTCAATAAACGTTCGCTTTACTGATACTATTCTCAAAGGTGAAGTTTGATGGAGAAACTGGACAATGGATAATTTCCGGAATGGGTGATTTACACTTGGATGTTATACTTTCAAGGTTGAAGCGTGAATACAAAGTTAATGTTCGAATGGGACCCCTTTTGATAGCTTACAAAGAATGTCCACCACAAGATGCTCCCAGTTCAAGTGGATGGAGCCGCGTGGTTGGATATATAAATGGTAGTGAAAAAGCTGTTGCAATAGGAGTGATACTCCAACCTAAAACTATGCATCCACTTCACAAACCTCAGGTAAAAACTTGTACACATATCATATTAAATTTTCTAATAATTTATAACACATCAGATCTATAAATTACTCAACGCGAAGAGCTGTGAAACTACATGGTCAAATACAGTCTGTTTGTATACATTCTTGTATCAGTTATAGAATAGTACAAAGCCCTTTCTATCTCAATATTCTCTACCTTTATAGACAACTGGGTATTAAATAGACCTAAGCAAACTTTTCAAACTAGTGATGGTGCTCCATTGACTCTTTATCCTTCTTGAACTTTAGGACTAAGAGCATGATTACCACTACAGACGTAAGCAGACGTTTTGTTCGATCTGATACTGATATTTGAATAAATCAATACAGAAGCCTTAGGACTATCTGATTGGGAAATGTTTGGGATCAATAGATTCCTATTTACCCTCAAAATGTTGAGACAAATAAAACATCTTTTTGCGTCTGGCCGATTGTGAACGCTATATTTGCTTCCGTATCCCCGAGCTAGAACTATTCAGCGACTTGAAGACTAGAGAAAAGACACGAGCATGATACAAGCACTTTACTACAGGGTTCATTCATGTACAGAAAATACAGGGGTTTTATAGTAATTAAGGGACCTTGAGTTTCCATAGTAGCAGTGTGTTAAACAGCCAATCAGGATCTCGTCATTTTAGTAGCATAGCTTCTAATTAATCGCTGATTGGTTGGGGCTCTTTATGAGCCTCTGGAGGCTCTGATAGAGTTTACTGTAAGCCGACTTAACAATCTTATATTCCTAAAAGTGGATACCACTGCTTTAAATCCCGGTAGCTAGTTTTCAAATGATTTCCTCGCATGTTTTATTTTTAATCAAGTGGTTGTTTTGTATTGGTAACATGTGGACTTTTTTGGACGTATTATTTCAATCGGTTAGTTAACTGTAAATCCGTATAACAGTTTAACGATAAAAGTGTTTTCAATGCGATCCATGATTCATTGTACTTTACACTCTTTAGGAGACATTGAAGTAATCCCATCAGTCATAAATCAAAATCGTAAAGGTTTTCCAACCGACTGTTTTGACTTATGGTGTTCTGATTAAAGTTCTCACTAAGAACAAAGTTGATAGTGAATTATTTGTATTAAATCCAGCTAACGAATGATAGAGATTCATCATTAGTTCCATAACAATATTTATATAACATCGACATCTCAGGTTTTCTGGCAGAATATTAAAATATCATCATTGCAAATTAAATGCTTGTGTAGTAAAAGGGACTTTAATATCGCTTTAATCTCTTGTCATCTCTATCTATTATGCTAAACTGTGATATGAATATGTATATACATTGGTTTACTATTAGTATAGAATCTTGTTCAATTGTAAAGTTTTTCCTCATTTTTATTAACACGTCCTCCTTTCTATTTTTAAAGGTCATTTTTGACCGCCTTGCAGATCATAAAATCGTTCGTATACGCCATGCCATCACAGAAGCCTGTTTGTCTGCCCTAGAGGTTAGTGGACCTATCCTTCGTTCCCCTATTATTGGAGTAGATATTCACATTAATAGTATAGTGTGCGGCCGTGTAGAACATATTTCAAATGATTCGGGATGTATAAATGATCTTGGTGACTTAACCTTAGATAAATTATCCAATACTCAACTTTCTTCACCATCTCTTTTAGCCTTGTTGAAAACTTGTTGCATAAGTAGTGTAAAAAATGCGGTATCCAAAATACCTAACTGGCATGTTATGGAGCCAATGATGGAAATCGAACTTCAATTGCCTGCTCTAAAAGGTAAGTCCTCGTAAATGTTTCAAATTATTGTAAATGTCCTTAGTTTTATTTCGATCTGAAGATTTTAAAGAGATACTTTTGTTCAAGTTGTTTCATTTGGCAGTCTTGTGCTCTGTAATTTGTATAGTTTGATTGCGAAGCTTTCATTATCGCTTTGAATAATATCATGGCCGACTTTATGTAGAAAACAATTTTCTACTTGTGCCATAAGCATTTTATCAATTAAATCTGATGACCTTGTTTTTGAATGGTTGTCTTACCAAGTTTTGTCATCTTGATGTGTCTTCGTGTTCTGGTTGACAATTTCGTGTGGTTAACCACTGGCCATATAATTTATTTAATTTACTTTCACCGTTCCACTTTGTGAAGACTGAAGGATGAAAGTGAAAAAGAAATGCAACATTATCTGCAAAGTAAATCGTATCAACTACCGGAAGCGCTACAGGCAGGCTAGATACCCTCTTCACCTGAGTATTGCTGAATAAAAATTAACAGGGAAATACACTTTATGTTTTCGTTTACAGCGATGCATACAAAGGTGATAGCTGGATTGGGTGAAGGAAGTTTTAAGAATACCAGATAATTTTTCAAAGCATGGGAGTGAATCTGATCTCCAACCAGCACACACATCGACATAAATCCAACCTGTCAATCTTTGCAGAAAGTGTCAGTCACTTATATGGCCAGAGGTCAACTGCACAAAACTATCAACGAGAACTCAAGAACACATAAAGATAGTAGATTACCAAAACAACCAGCCTGGAGAAAAATCATCCGATCTAACTGATGTGATTCTTGTGGAATAATTTGGAATCTAACTTCTAGATTAAACAAGACCTAATAATGTTGTTCAGAATGACAACAAAAGTTTCATGCGAAACATGTGTTTTTGCAGGACAGCTGGGAGTTTGTAATCATCTTAATTAACGAAGTTTGTCTATGTACCATCGAATTTCTGTTTCATTTGGTTTCGGTACACTTAGCAATAACTTATGATCCTTCTCAATAATTTGATGTGTATGTTGAAGAACATTGATAAGTACGTGGTATTACGGCCACGTGATTGGTGTAGTTCGCAACTTAATTCCCCGATGTTTACGTGAATACTGAAGAGCGTTTTCCAATATATTTGTGACCGTATTGTTCAGTAAAATACCATTTCTTCGAATTTTTACTAGTAACAAAATGAATAGATGTTCTTTTTACTCTCACTTTTCCTGTACACTGACGAAATGAAAAGATAACGTTATCGTTAGTCTAGTTTGATGGCAGGTAGACAAAATTTAATTATCACTCAATCACCATAGATCTCATCATAAAAATATCTGTCTCATGATTCTTGTTTAATTTCTTGTTTAGGTGATATATAAACGCACTCATTTTGTTCTCGAATCAATATAGGTTATGATTCACAATTATCAACCTTTCTGTGTGACTTAACGAATAGGCGCGCAGAAATAATATCAGTGGACAACGCAAAAACCAGTGCGAACTGTGAAGATGATAACAGAATAGGAGTTGGAAAATATCACCGTATATGTGCAATAACGCCGTTATCTGAATTAACTGACTACTCAGCTACTATCAGACGTCTGTCGTCAGGACGAGCTGAATTGGGTATCCGGTTGTCGAACTATTACCCTGTTAGCTCAGAGCAACAAGCAAAACTAATAGATCAATACAGATGGAATCGTTCTGGAAGCACCTTGCATTAAAAAATATCATCACAACGTCTTTAGCCATCTAATAATTAACTAACTATGTACTGCATATTTTTATGATATATATATATATATATATGACGCGAACGTTAATTCGACTTGTTTTATTCCACTCATAATTTTATTGGGCCATTAATAGTTGTTAGGCGCCATACGCGATGTGATTTACACTTTATGACAAACTAGATTGTCGTACAAAGTGGGATCTTATGAATATTGTATCTACTGACAGTATCTCTTTATTAAATCAAGGTCGCATATACGATGATCATATGCAATCCTGAATATCAACAGCAGTGAAGTAAGAACCAGCTAACTTAAGTTTACCGCTGAACCAATCAGGATTCAGGTAGTGACTTCAGAGAAACACTTTGTAATTTCAGGGCTTTGGACTACTGAAAATAAGCATTTACTCATCAATGCGCTCACGCAATCATCCTGAAACAGTTTCAACATCAACAAGGTTAAGTCATGTTTCTCAATGTATATCAAATTGAGGGTAGGATTCGTTTTTTTATTATAATTAAGTCCAAACTAGAAGTTTCTGTTTAGATGATGAAGTTTAAATTAACGGTGGGAGTTATTATTTATACAAACTAACAGTAAATTTCGACCATAACTTTCAGCTAACCATTAAAAATATTAAGCCCACCAAGTTAACTAGTTATGTAAACTTTATCTTATCTTTAGTAGGTGTCATCCGTATTTACTGTTTTCTGACTAGCTAGAACGACTTAAGGTCGTTGCGCATTTAAACTTTATTCCGACCTAAAATCATTTGCAAGGTGATGTGAAGTGTATTCAGAAGGCTCATATTATCTTGATACGACTAGTTTTAGGGAAGTTTAGTCGCTCGTGCGGTTGTTCTGATCGCTGCGCCACTCCATTACCACAGTCTGTGCTGTCAAGATATCGAGTCTGCCGGCGTGCTGAGTTCAGTGACGTCAATCTGCCGAGGTATCTAATATCTAACGTCTGCGTCCCAGCGACCTACTGAGTTATCTACATTCGATGTCCGCTCGTCTATTGCTCACCTTCGTCGACAGAAACAGGTACATCCAAACCCGCACCTCCAGAACACTCCAATCGATGACTCCTCCCCGCACCAGATAGCTCCAGCAAGCGCCTCCTCCTCAGACCCCGCAACAGCGTCCGCAGGACTCAATCCTCTTCGCCTCCTGGTTGGCAGCGACATCAAATGTTGTGAACGAGACGCCGAGTGAGGACAATCAGTTTTTATCTGTTGGCATAAGTAATATGCACCACTCTGGAGTGGTTTACAAGCATGCAGTTCGTATAAATATCACGAAGTACATGTAAGCTGAGATCCGAGCCAATCTTACCAATGAAATAAAACAAAGAAACAGGGACCGTTAAGTATCACAACAAGATCAATCAGCTAAGTCCTCTTATGATTAAAAAAAACATGCCACCCAGTTTTAAAGGTAGCAAAATGAATATCAGTTGAAGTCGAATTCCTGTTGTAGGGCTAGTGAATTGTCACTAAGCCCTAACCAAATTATCCGGCAGTTGGGTTACCGAATATCGGACAGATTATCGATCCCTGTCAAGGTCAAGTGCAATCAACGCGCACCAGTTAATCATACGCCATGAACTGGCCCGTGCGGTAATGGTCTCACTTGCGCTTGTATCCACTTTGACTAATGTATTTCTGTAATAATGTCCTTTGTGTTGTACAGTCTTCAAAGCATTTATAGTCCCTTGATATTGCGATGGGGCAATCTACGTAAGGCGCTGATCTCGATGTGTTACTTCGACGTTAGTTGGTTCGTCACACCATTTCCTTCTAACTCAATCATTCAATATAGATCATAATCTTTAATTATCTACACTGTTTAGTGTCACCCAAATAAGGTGATTTGAAATTTGTTTAAGTCAGATTGAAGAAAAAGTCGACCAATATATATAGTAAAGCTAACTTCCTGACAATCATATCTGTTCGCGAAATAAAGTGAGGTATCAACGAGTCACTCTTTTATTTAGTCTGAAATACATGCAACCATCCTAATACTGACGGTCCTAAAAACCAGCCTTAGTATTCGGAAGGACCAAGTGAAAAATATACTGGAATCACTAGAAGTTTGCGTACGGGATTTCAGTTAGACCTGTCACGTCGTAAATTCTTTGTATACTGTGGGCATTAGTGCACATTTACGGAAAGGTGACACTGTGCTTACAAATTCTGTCTTCACAACTGTCCATTTCAACGAAAAAATAAACCCTACAGTCAAATCAATAAAATTTTATTTTATAGCTCAAAATCAAGATCACATTGATGGATAAGTTGTAACGTGCACAAAGCCATGAGAAAATTCAGCGTAACTTCCTAGTATTCAGACACTGGCAATCTGAATTTCGATGTGTATGAGAAGATTGAAAAATAGGAATTCATTTGAGTTGTAGTGGTGAATAATTCCTCAAAATCAATGACTCTGTAAGTCTTCAACATTGAGGTTGACCTCATTAGCATTACCAAACACATCCAGCTGAAGTTGCTCGATCATACATCCGCACCAGTCCACAAGTGGGCACACCGTCCTACGCATCATTTACAGCTCTTAGTCAGCCTATATTAAATGATTCTCCACGTATCGATGTTTTCAGACGTCTTCACTACTGACTTCTAATTTGACTGGTCTGGAATACTATTGTCATAAAGCTGTAACTGGTAAAGACGTCGAACTTTAAACAGCTTTGACTACTTTATTACCATTCTAGCGGTAAATAAATCCCCAAAATCAATAGCTATGTAAGTTCTCGACATTGGATGCTGACCACATTAGTTTTAATGGTCTCGCCTAGTTGAAGGCGCTCAGTCATGCATCCGCACCAGATCACGAGTTGGAACGTCGTGTTCAATTTCTCCTGTGATCACTAGCTAGTTTAAATCAGTCGATCCACGATATGTTGGTAACATATCAAATATATCCTTCAACCTCCTCGCTTCCGACTTTTGATTTCACTGGGTGGGCACGATTCAATCACAGAAGGTGTTGCTGGTAAAGTGTTGTCAAACTACAGTACCTGTGGCATCCTCAGTGATGAGCCCGACGTGATCTGATACTCCAAACCATATAGTGTGAGTCTGTTCCGTTTTGTAATCTCATAAATCATTTCTCTATTTTAATTTCTATATATTCTGATATTGTTTTTCAATCTTTTGGATTTCTTTTTTCCTCGTTCATTCTCGTACTTGATATTTCACCATGGCGAAACAGACACCCAAGATGCTTATGTCCCCACCTTTGTTTCAACTAGTGCCCTTCTGGCCAGTCAACAACTAGGCCTGGCTCTGCCACCCAGAATTCAACTTCTACGAGCAGGGCATGACTGGTCCACACACACAATTCCTCACGGAAGTAAAGGAACTACAGCGCGAATTCAACAGCTACGACACACATAGTATGTTTATAATTGATGTTTCAGAACCTTACGAAACTCTAAAAAGGTCTATTTTGAAACGCAGTGATCTAACCGATCGACAGAAGTTAGATCAACTCCTTAAATATATTGACCTGCGACATGGTTCTCTGATAGATATGTTGCTAAGAATGAGAGAGGTTATCGGTCAAAAAACATTCATCGGTGGCCTATTCAAACAACTTTTCCTAACCAAAAATCCTCAACAGGTGCAAGATGTACTGGTCTCTTTTCAAAACAACACCGTAGACAAGCTAGCTGTACACGCTGACCGCATCCTAGAAATCACGAAATCTTCTAATGTCGAAGCATTTCCAGTAAAAGAAAAAACTCAAACGACCCAGAAAGACATTACGAAATTATGTCAAACACTTACAAGTTAACTTGTGATGTGTAATGACCGATGACCGTCACATACCCCGCGAAGAAGCGTTTCACGTAGATGATCTGTCTCTAGAAGACGAGAAACGGATAAATTCCTCCGGACTCTACGAATTTTCGCGAATGCCTTTAGGCCTAAGAAATGCTGCCCAAACCTTCCATCGATGACGTTTCCGTAGGTCTCAACTTCGTACATGTGTATGTTGATGACTGCTTGATAGCAAGTCCGGACAGAGAATCCCATCTCCAGGATTTGGACATTGTGTTCGGACGACTGCAAAAGTATGAAATTACTGTGAACATTCAGAAATGCCAAATCGGAACCAACTCCTTGGATTTCCTAGGACACACTATTGATGCTCAAGGCATCCGACCTCTTAGAAGCAAAGTGGCGACCATTCTGGATTACCCAGAACCGACCACTATTGAGCGATTGCGCACATCTAACGGCCTTGTAAGTTTCTATAGACGGTTCATATCAAAATGAGAGTCCCTTATGAAACGTCTAAGCGGCCAACTTCGTGAAAGTGAGAAATCCAATAATATGGATGACACCGCGCGAAAAGGCAACCCTGCTGGCACATCAGAACTTTAAGCGTCCATTAGTATCGCAGTAGACACAGTGGGTTAACCACTCTTGGCAACCTACAGTTGAAGTATATCTGGAACTCAAAACAACTGTCAACCAACATTAAAGTTGGAATCTTCAATACGAACGTTAAGATAGTTCTACTCTACAAAGCTGAAACTTGCAGAACCACCACAACCATCATTAAAATGTACAAGTATTTATAAACAATTGTCTAGGTAAGATACTCAATGTCCGTTGACCGAATATCATCAGTAATAACCTACTATGGGAGAGAACAAATCAGGTTCCAACTGAAGAGGAAATTAGGAAATGACGTTGGTGGTGGATAAGACACACTGAGGAAATCACCAAACTGCATCATGAAGCAAGCGCTAGCTTGGAATGCTGAAGGGAAACGGAAGAGAGGGAGATCAAAGAACACATTTCATTTCGAATAGTAAACGGAAGTGAAAAGAATGAATAGTACTTGAGAAGAACTGTGAAGAAGAGCCCAGGAGTATCAGTTGACCATAAGTTTTCTGGATGAAAAAGTTCCTAGTGGGATCTCCCACGGTAGTTTTCGGACCAGTTTTATTGTTTCTATATGTAAATGACCTTCCTAGTCTTCTATTATTGTCGATCTTGTTACACACCGAGAATATCAAGATATGGAGAGCGATACAACACTGAGGGAATAGTTCGTAGCCACAGAAACTATTTGAATGGGTCAGGATTCGGTACTTGCAGCTGAACGTTCCCAAATGTATTGTGATGTATATTGGTCAACAGGGTACAAATACATGCGCAGCGAACAATGTTGAGCTACCCGTTGTTCAGACAACAAATGACGCAGGGGCAAATATTACCCGAGATTTGAAAACTATTGAGCACTTCCATGCAATATATGGTAAACGTCTTCAAAACTTATAGCCGTTACGTAGAGATTCCAGTCACGTGTATGTCAAGACATTCCTAACTTTGTAGTTTTCACTTGTTAAAAACTGAAGTACTGCATACAAGCATCTAGCCCTTGCCTAAACACACAGAGAGCTATCGTAAAAGGTTTGAAGAATTGCATATAAACTAATACCTGGAACCCAACCAACAATGGAAGAAACCATCAAATTCATTAGACAAATGAGGAACTACAGAACGCCAGACAATTACTAGCTAAAGCACTGAAGTTAGAAACATAGGCAACTGTAAAGATGTCCCACTTTCTTTTTATAAAGATCTGGGAGGAAGAAAAATTGATATAAGACCGGAGAGACCCGTGTATCAAATACAGGTGGTATTAGGAAATGACAGAACTACAGCGGGACTGCACTGATGTTAGTTGCGTCCAAAGTTTTTAATGGATTATTCCCGAGCCGAATGAAAGTTTAATTAGGAGCCCAATTTCGAGTTTACCAAGTCGGCTCTCGTAGGGACGTAGTATATGCAGATTAAAATGCGACATCGTCAAGAATTATTGAACAGTTGATCGAATGAAACTCATCGTTACACATCAATATTTCTGATTATGGGAAGGCATTTAAAGACGCGAATAGAAAAACCTTTTGGAGTCGGGGACACTATGGAGTACCCGAGAAGGCCATCACTAAATTATGGAATTCCTAAGATCAACTGAATTGGAAATTTATGCACGGACGGTAGCTGATTGATACACTACCGATGAAGACTAGTATTATACAAGGTTGCCTACTCTCGTATTCCCCTTTTCTTCTAGTTGTTGACTACTGGATTATGAAGACTTCCACATCTGATAAGAAGTATGGAATACAGATGATTAGGACTTGGCTAAACGCACAGAGAGCTATTCTAAAAGGTTTAAAGAATAGCAAATAAGTTTATTTCAGGAGCCTCAAGGGTCCCGTGTGACGAGAGGTTTGTGTGTCTTTACTTTCCTTGTCTTTGACAACAGAAACTCCATAGTGACATTCTAAAATAGTTCGCAAGCCCAGAACTAATTACCTGTCAACTAAATACGGACTATCTCATCGAACTGTCAACCAGTAGAACTCGTGGTCTCAACACGTGGTTGAATCCCCATCTGTCAACGGGTCAAGAAGAAGGTTGAATCGACTAAGACACTCCTATTGCCAGAACCAGAATAGGCTGTCCAGACTCCTGTCCTTTCAAAACTGAAGCTGAAAGTTTCGGTACTTACTAATTGTGCTTTGCTATGTCTTCAGACCTACGACGTCAAAATCATAAAAAACTCACTAAGGTTAAGAGATGACTCTCCATTGATTGGATCATATGTATTTGGCCTGCGGATAACTTCACGCAATACGAGAGCCAGTACGAATGCATGATAGTAATTGTCCACATAGAGAGCACGGTTATCTGAGATAGTCAGCCAGTCATAGTCAACTTTGAACCTAACGCTTATGTGTATTGGTTGAACTCGTCACGCTACATGAAGATATTCGGATGAAATTATCAGGGAAAAGAGTAGCAACAATGGTAGTAGGAGTACAAAAATTTGGCATAGACAATAAGTCGAAGAAATAGGAAAAATCACACAACCTTAAAACTCAAGATCTAAGAAAAGGGAAATAGTTAATGCATCTATGTCATTGAGGTCAATTCTGAGCCATACAATCCAAATTCACCATGTATTTATGATACCATTGGTACAGAGCAATCACTGGAAAAGTATGCCAGGGATAAAATCTAAAATTGGTTAGAGAATCAGGACTGAATAAGAGAGGATGTTCCTTTTCTTTGCATACAATAATCTAAAATTTTCAAAATTGTGTGAAGGCACGATTAATAAACTTGGTAAGAATGTCGAGTGTCAGCCTGCTGTAATGACAGGACGGATTGGTCAATAAGTTCAAAAAGAAGATAAAAACGAGCTCAGAAATAAAAGACAGTAAACTGTCGAGTTCAGAAACGATCGACATTTAGAAACTAATCATACATTTCAAACGTACTGGAGACTAGACATCTGGTAAACGTTCTATAAGGCGGAAAGCAATAATTATCTTTCCATGATAAGGCACATCTAAAATGAATATAACCTACGTGATATTAAGATAAATTAATATTAGATCGGACTTCAAATAGCGTTGATATAAGAATAAAAATACACAAATAAGTCATACTGAAACATATTCGACACAAAATATTGGTATCAGAAAAGCATTGATCTCATTTAAACAAAAATCCATGAGTGCATGATATTCACTGGATTGGCTACAGGATTAGGGATAAGATGTAAGAAAACTTTAAGTGGTTAATTCATAATGATTTATATAGAAGTAACTATAAAATGTTAATGGGAAGGATGTGGACTTTTTAAAGAAATATTTATGTATCGATGCATCACATTATGTATTTCAGATTTCAATAGAAATAAAACAGTAATATGATATTATGCGCTGGCTTCTTCGTACAACAAACGTAATCTATCTGAGAAGGTTTCCCGTAGTCGAGATCTCGCTAGTTTGAAATTGGATGTGACTAAACCATTTTCCACAGTGAATGGAATCGAAGAAAGGTAAACACGTTTAATCTGAAAGAGTGAATATAAAGAATTTCATTTAATCAAATGCGTAGAGTCAAACATTGGATGACTCTAATCTAAATAGAAAATTATCTAGCTACGCCGAGAACCAATATGTTAGATGCTCCAAGACAATTATATCAAATACTAAGTGCGATTATAAAAACGTATAAATGGTTCGGTAAAAAACTTTACAAACAATTAGGAAACACGCAAAATTGATTGGATCTATAAAACTATACCAAAACTGATTTACAACAAATACGCCTCATGGAGGGGAATAGACAACTTATCAGCATTCTCCATCGTACTTTGTCCTGAGCGATCCTTTCGTCTGCATCAGATCCTCCACGTTCATCGATGATGCTGTTCAGGCATGTAAAACTGTTCACCTCTTCCAGAGTTTCTCCATCGAGTATGATCAGGTTAATGTCCTTTCTGTTGAATTTGAGGATGCTGCTTTTTCCCTTGTGTGTGTTGAGGCCTACTGGCACACTGTTAGTCTTGACCTGCATTTGTTGATGTGTATGGGATAGAAGAGCTAGGTCATCTGCCAAGTCCAAATCGTCTAGTTGCATCCAACTTGTCCATTGTATTCCGTGCTTCATCCCCAGATGTCGAGGCTTTCATAATCCAGTCAACCACCAGGAGAAAGAGGAAGGGAAAGAGTAGGCAGCCTTATCTAACCCCGGTCCTCACATAGAATATGCCTGTCAGCTGTTCTCCATGCACCACTTTGCACTGTAGTCCGTCGTATGAATTCCGAAAGATGTTGACGATCTTCTCAGGTACTCCATAGTGTCGAACGAGTTTCCATAATGTTCTCCTATTCACACTGTCAAATGTTTTCTCATAGTCAATGAAGTTGATATGTGGTGACGAGTTCCATTTAATTGATTGTTCAATAATGATCCATAGTGTTGCGATTTGGTCTATGTGCGACCGATCCTTACGGAATCCAGCTTGTTGATCTCGAGGCTAGACGTCTACTGAGTTTTTCATCTGGTTCAATAACACTCTGTTAAAAACCTTTCCTGGTACTGACAGTAGTGTGATGCCTCTGTAGTTCTCACATTTGCTCAGATCTGCTTTCGTATCTTGATGGGGTATCCTTCTCCCCAGTTCGTCGGCATTTGTTCTTCCTCCCAAATCTTCCTGAATAAAACATGGAGCATTTTTTCACTTACTTCTGTGTCTGACACTAGTGCTTCGGCTGGTATATTGTCAGGTACAGCTGCTTTCCCACTCCTGGTTTGTCTGGTGGCCATCCTGGTTCCTTCGATCGTTGGTGGAGTGATTTCTTTAGGACTGTCTGTGTGTGTTGCTTCAATATCCGGTGGATTCAATGAAGCCGGTCTATTCAAGGGTCCCTCGAAGTGTTTCACACACTTGTCCCTCTGTCCTTGAATTTGAGTGATTGGCTTGCTTTCATTTGTCCTTGACCGGTTTTTCTTACTTACTTGCTAATTTTTCCATGTATTTCTGCTTGTTGGCTCTGATGCTCTTCTTCACTGGCTTGTTTGCTTCTGTGTATTCAGCTTGTGCCTTGACTTTCCCTGTTCTTGTTCGACTGTTGTTAATTGCTGTCTTCTTGTTCTTCCTTTCTTGTATCTTTTTCAGGGTTACGATAGAGATCCACTCTTTACGATGATGCTTGTTGGGCCCAGAACTTTCTGACACGTTGAAATTAGCGCTTCTTTGACCCCTTTCCAATTGCCCTCCGTAGTGTTTTGTTGCTCTTTCAGTAGATCGTGTAAAACTTGGAACTTGTTGTTGAGGGTTATCCTGAATTCGTTTGTTGGTATGCCGAAGGACGACTGCATCGAACCTTTGTAATGGTGTTCTTTCAGTTGTTCAATACTTCTTTAGCTTCAGTTTCATCTTGACAACTACCAGATGGTGATCTGAAGCTGTGTTAGCTCCTCTTCTGGTTCTCACGTCTTGTGAATATATTTAATGATGCAAATATGACCAATCTGATTCTCCGTGGTGTTGTCCGGTGAGATCCATGTAACTTTGTGCGTACGTTTGTGTTGGAATATTGTGCCGCCTATAACAAATTTGTTGAATGCACATAGGTTTGCAAATCTCTTGCCATTATCGTTCTCTTCTCCTAGTCCATGTCGTCCCATGATAACTTCATATCCGGTATTGTCCATTCCGACTGGCGTTTAGATCTCCTATCAGGATGGTCAGGTTCCTTCCTGGGTATTTTGCTATGATTGATTGCAGCCTCTCATAGAACTGATCTTTAACGTCGTCATTGCTATCATTGGTGGGTGCATAACATTGGATAAATATTCATTGTGATTCCCTCCTTCTTTGTTTTGAATGATGCTCTGATGATCCTGGATCCGTGAGATTCTCATCCTACAATTGCATTTCGTGCTTCTTTGGACAGGATTAGAGCAACTCTCTGAGTGTGTGGAGCATTTTCTTCTTCGTGACCGGAGTACACAAGCATCCCTCTCCTATCTAGCCACTGGTGTCCAGCTTAGATCCAATAGGTTTCGCTGATTCTGAGTACTACCAAGTTGTATCTCCTCATTTCCGTTGCTATTTGACTGGTCTCCTACATTGTTCGGAAATTCCACGTACCTATAAAAAGTGTTGTTCCGGTTGTTAAAAGGGGCATCGGCCTCGTGACTTCTGAAAGTTCTCGGCTTTCATCCTGAGGCGTCATCATTCTTCCTTCAACTCCCAGGGCAGAGTTTAAATTGTTTATTCTGGTTTGCGTTTCTTAGCAAAGTTGTTTTCTAAAAAATGGGGTTTCCGACTCCACGCCCAAACCTCCTCCTTTACACAGGTTTGGGACCGGTAGTAGCCCCTGAAGAGCCACGGGCAGGGTTGGACTGGACGTTTTGTTGTCATTAATTAAAATATCCGGTAAAATAGGGCTATAAGTACTATAGTTTGAAACAATCATTCAGGATATTCTTTGTTTACTTTAGCCTTTTTCGTCCAATATACATCCGAGTGATAAAATAATTGCTTTGACTGTCTTTCTAGCATTTGAGTAATGAAACTGTGGAAACTAACGTACCGTACAGTTTAAATGTTTTTCTTTGTATTGTTCTTTAACATACATTAATATATTCCTTGAGTAAGAAAGACATTGAGGAGAGAGATCACATTAGAACTTCCCTCATCAAGATCATATTCCAGTAACTGAGAATAAGTCGACGAGATTATATAAGTTCATATCTGTTAGTATCTTTATATCAAGCAATAAACGTACAAATGTACATATTCAAAGTGATCATCACTCAACACAAGACCGCAGAAATCTGAATGGATATTATACTGTCACCTATTGCATGTTTACGGAGTTCGTAACATAATATATAAAATGCTTTGACTTTTTTTCTTGAAAAGAGTTATTGGATGCACTACTCGAAATGAAACGTAAACAAAACTAATCTTGAAAGTGAAAATAGGCGAAATCCAAACGGTCAAGAAGAAGTCCTTGTTCATGCACCTACAATTCAGGGGTGATGCAGCAAGCGAAATCCTTACTCAGAGATTACGCAGATCTATCCAAAAATCTTTCAACGCCGGTGAACTACGTTTGGCGTTTTCTACGCGTCCAATGGTGACAGTGAGGCTTAAAGATGAAGTACCTAGAATGACCACTTCATTTTGTATTTATCAGTTCGACTGCTCCTGTGGAGCAAGTTATATTGGTCGAAGTTCTAGAAATTTACATTTTCGTGCTCGTGAACACCTCCCAGCGTGGCTAAGCAAAGGTCTGATGAAGAAAGTAAACAGCTCGATTTTGGCCCATTTAGTATAAACTGGTCATAGTGCCAGTATAAACCAATCTTTTTCAATTATTTATAGGGTCAGTAAATTTTGCCAAAGCTTGTCAGGCTTAAAATCCTTCAAACGGCGGAGGCAGTAGCTATCAGAATGAAGAAACCAGAGCTATGTGTACAGAAAAAATATCTCCAACCCCTACTCCTCCCTTGGCCAGCCACTAGGCCAATTAATGAACAATCATCTTAGCTATTATATGACCTAATTTGACTATGTACTTACGTCCTTTCATAGTCAAATGTAATTTTCTCTCTTATCTTTATTCACAAATCTTTGTATTTTATTATTATTATCATTATTAATCCCCCCTAGACATGATTCATTCACATCGCATTCATCCCTCCTTATTACGTCTGACTAATTTTTATCACAATTTAGTCTTCCACTTGATCGAATTGTAATTGCACTATCATATCTCTCTCACCCTATCTGACCCATATGTATATTCTGATCACAGATCTTAAATTTTCACTTTACATATATACAGATTCAAGTTAACATTCTATATGAGTCATATCAATATTAACAATTTTATTCTATTTGATTTGATAATCCTAAATTGACATGCTTTAAACGATGTACTTTGTCTTTAACCTGGCCATTTTTCCCCAAATGCCCTGGTACGGCCGAGAGTGGGGAGAGTCTACTCTCTCTCTCGAAATGCTCTCACATGGCCAGCGAATATATAGCCTCTGCCAGGGAAGTCCTACTCACTGCCTTCTCGTGGCGGGGGTGTTGTTTACGAAAGTGAGAGGACGAAAAGCGAATGTTCGGCGCTATAACCGGATTGGTGGACACGGAGGGTCCACCTAGGGGAGTTGGAAAACTCTGATTCCAAACCAATGGTGCACATGGGCTCCAGTATCCTGATGGAACGAATGGCGGAAGAACCTGCTGTTGGTCAACGGCAACCATGGGACTGCATCTCCTCACGATGCTCCACTGCCTTGTGGATCAGACCTTTAGGTCAAAGGCTCGGGGTGTGGTCCCCTAAGAAAACCACCTGCTTCGGTTTGGGCACCCGGGCAGTATCACAGCCCACACACAAACAAATGAATGAAATTATGAACTTTATTGACGATATCCCTGGTCATACTAAAAGCAAAACAATTAACATTATTATTATTATTACCTTTATTATTATTATTATTATTATTATTATTATTATTATTATTATTATTATTATTATTATTATTATTACTTACCATATCGCTAATTCACCCCCTTTTATCCCCAATTTGTGTAACCTTACTCTTCAACTTATGCAGCAGCTCGCTCTTGGTGGAAAATCTGTCCTATCTAAACGATCTCCAGTCACTGTCTGGTTGAAAGTGAATGCTTCCACCGATAATGAATACTGAGGCAGTCTTTCTGAAACCACGTACGCCGTTCAAGCTGGCTTCCTTCAACGTTCGCACACTAATGCAGATCAGACAACAGATAGGGCTGGCTATGTCTTTGGAAGGTCTTAATGTTGACGTTTGTTGTCTATCCGAGACCCGTATTCAAGACTCTAGTGAAGTACTACAAATCCGCTCTCCATCTGTCGCCTCGAAAAGCTTGTTCCACGTGCGCTTATCCGGGGACCCTGTGGCATCTTCGTCTGGTCTTGCTGGCGTTGGTGTCGCACTAAGCGCTAGAGCTGAGGCAGCACTAATCGATTGGATCCCCATTAACAGTCGGTTATGTGCTGTTAGATTAGAAAGTTCCATCAAAGTGAGAAGAAATCGGCGTGAGAAACGGTGTCTTTTCGTCATCTCCGCCTATGCCCCGACAGATTGCAGCCCGGATGCAATCAAGGATGAGTTTTACCATCAGTTAACAGTTCTTCTCCAGAAAGCGCGTTCGACAGATATTGTAGTACTAGCCGGAGACTTGAATGCACAGGTCGGGCGTCTAGGCACAGAAGAGAGTCGTCTAGGTGGCCGATGGGGACTTGTTGGTCGCAGGACAGATAACGGGGACCGTTTGCTGCAACTGTGCACAGACCACAACCTGTTTCTGGCCAGCACTAACTTCCGGCACAGTCATCGCCGGTGTGCCACCTGGCGTCCTCCCTCTGCATCCAAGCCTGGACTCAGATTGATCACATCGCGATCAGCTACCGCTGGCGTGGTTGTGTACAAGACTGCCGCTCCTTTTGGAGTACCTATCTGGAGTCTGATCATGCCCTGGTCTGCGCCAATCTCACCTTACTTTTCAGTGGCCGAAGGATTGACCACCACCAACGGATTGATATTAGTAAACTGGCTGCAACTTCTGTTGCAAGTAAGTATCGAGCGGAGCTAGCCTCTAGGCTAGCTACCACCCCACCGAAAAGTATAGGTAAGCATTGGTTGCATCTTCATGACGCCATGAAAATGGCGAGTAAAGCCGCTTGCGGCTTCGCGAAACGTCCCGCTTACAAGCACTGGGTTTCTTCTGGCTCCTTACAACTGATGGAAGCCCGTCGGTCTACTCCGGGTGACCGTGAGTTTGACCACAAACGAAGGCTGTTACGTAATGAAATCGGGCAAAGCTTGTGTAAGGACCGGGAAGCCTGGTGGTCGGAGCGTGCTAATGAGATGGAAGCAGCAGCTGCATCTGGTAACTGCCGGAAGCTCTTCCAACTCATCCGAGCCACTGGCAGCAAGAAGTCTGGTGTGAGTGAAACAATCTACGAGGATGACGGGATGCCAATCACTAACATCTGTCGACGTCTTGGACGATGGGCGGAATTTTTCGAAGGGCAGTTCAACTGGCCTGCTGCTCCGGCAACATCAACCAGCTTGTCCTGCTCCCCATGGCCGGTGACGACTGATCCACCAAACGAGGCGGAAGTCCGCAAGGAACTCCAACTCTTGAAACGTTATAAATCACCTGGCCCAGATGACTTACCTCCGGCTCTTTTTAAAGATGGTGGTGACTTTCTGGCTAAGGAACTGACTGCGTTGTTTGGAAAGGTTTGGGAGCAAGAAAGTGTTCCAACATTTTGGAATGAGTCAATAGTCGTCCCTATCTTTAAAAAGGGTTCACGTTGTTCCTGTAGCAACTATCGGGGGATAAGTCTACTTTCGATCGCGTCCAAACTATTGGCTTCTATCATTCTTCGTAGGTTGTGTAAAACCCGAGAACGATTGACTCGCGAGGAGCAGGCTGGTTTTCGTTCTGGTCGAGGATGCATTGATCACATCTTCACCCTCCGCCAAATGTTAGAACACCGTCATACTTATCGCAGGCCAACAATCGTAGTGTTTCTTGATATCAGGGCTGCCTTCGATTCGTTGGACAGGACTGTTCTCTGGGATTGTCTATTGAAGAAGGGTGTGCCTGAGAAGTTCATTAACATCTTAAAAGCCCTGTATACGAACACCTCAGGCAGAGTGAGGGCATACAACCACCTTTCTCCCTTGTTCAATTCAGGCAAGGGGTTTAGGCAGGGCTGCCCAATCTCACCATTCCTCTTCAACTTTGCCATCGATTACATTCTGGAAACAGCTCTGATGGATGTAAGTAATGGCGGTGTGGATCTGCTGCCTGGAGAACGACTTCTCGACCTCGAGTATGCGGATGATATTGTCTTACTGTGCGATAATGCCCACGCCATGCAATCCGCACTTAATCAGTTGGCAATCAGTGTCCGCAGGTACGGCATGTGCTTTGCACCATCCAAGTGCAAAGTACTCCTACAAGACTGGCAGGATTCTCATTCTGTACTCATACTGGATGGTGAGCAGATTGAAGTAGTTAAAAAGTTAGTGTATCTAGGTAGCTACATAAGTGCTGGTGGTGGCGTGAGTGATGAGATTGATGCACGTATAATGAAAGCCAGAGCGGCTTATGCCAATCTGGGCCATCTTTGGCGCCTTCGTGATGTTAGTCTGGCTGTAAAAGGTCGGATCTACAACGCGTCGGTGAGAGCAGTTTTGCTCTATGCTTGTGAAACCTGGCCTCTCCGAGTTGAGGATGTTAGACGTCTCTCTGTGTTCGATCATCGTTGTCTCCGAAGGATTGCTGACATCCAGTGGCAACACCATGTTAGTAATGCAGAGGTTCGGCATCGTGTGTTCGGGCGCAGAGACGATAATTCAATTGGTGTCACCATCTTGAAACACCGACTTCGGTGGCTCGGACATGTTTTACGAATGTCGTCCCAGAGACTTCCGCGTCGTGCATTATTTGCCGACCCTGGGACTGGTTGGAGAAAGCGGAGAGGAGGTCAGTGTATGACATGGTGTCGTGGCATGAAAGAGAGCTGCAAAGGGCTAGCTTCCGTTGGTCCTTCACGACTCCCTGGTTGGGGTCCGAGAGATAGTGCAACACAGTGGCTAGAGACGTTATCGGATATGGCTCAGAATAGAAGCCAGTGGCGATCCTGCTGCAACCTTCTTTTACTTTCTACATAAAGAATGGTTCTAACTTTCCTAACTGAAAGAATCTTCTGGTTGTACATTTCAGCCCGCCTTATCTTTTCATCCTTTATCTACCTACTTTCATTATTTTGTGTGGCGCATATGTACATGGTGCCCTTTTGTACCAATATATATGTGTTTAAATAAATATAAATTAACCTGGCCATTTTTTCGCATTATTAATTTGGATATATAATTGTAGAACCTGAAGACAATTTATCGAAAAGAATATTCTTCGTTCAAATATTAGTCTTTTAATATGATGGGAATCTTTAAACGATCAAAACTAATCTTTCTTCTGTAACATCTACATCGATTACAATCGCTAGCACTGTTTCTAGTGAAATAATTTGACGCTGAATGTACTCTGTAATTCTTTGGAAAACGCTCCAGAAGACGGAGAACGTACATAAAAGCTTCAGAACCAACAAAAAGTTGGAAAAGAATGCGTTATGCTCACTTGAATCTGGATGAAAGATTACCACACAAAATATCGACTTAAACATCTTTTCTCCAAACATTTCGAATTTGAAGGTTTTTTGAGAATAGTCTCATCCTCAAAAAACAGCAACCATAATCCGTGCCTTGATTTTAGTTCAGGAATTGAGAACAAAAGATCTTAGGATCACAGATTAATGGCAAAAGTAGTCCGAGGACAAGATACATAAGACTATTACTGAAACTGCTTAGAAACATAAGACCAAAATCTCATTAAAAAAAACTTGCAAAAATCTTACTATCTCAAATCCTTTTAGTCCTCTTTTCTTTCCTAAATTTTCTAATTCTGAAACGACAATTTTACGTGCTGCAGGCTGCGAACATAACGTTGGAGTATCGACTATTGGATTAGAATCATCCAATTTGTATTTGGAAGCCTCAGTCTCTTCTTTATTACTGTTCAATAACAATGAGTCATTGAAATTCGCCTTAGACAGTATGCGTTTAGTCAACTCTTTGATATTTGGTACAACTACAGCTATTGGAAAATCGTAAAATGAATTGCCATCAACAAAGATTTGTTCAACTAGTGGACTGAGTTGATAGATATTTTCCAATCTTTCTGGTGCAATATACTCGCCTTGTGAGAGTTTAAATATGTTTTTACACCTGTCGACAATTTTTAAAGAACCTTCCTAGAATTTGGAAAAGCCAACAAAAAAGCAGGTAAGTAAACAAAAAGATAACAATGTAAAACGAAAAACTGAAATTTTCCAAGAAAACATTTGATTAGTGTGAAGTCAATGGCCGAAAGATATATTAACAACGATAAATACGGAAATGAATATGCTAAATTGTTGATATAAACTACAGGCAGGAAAATGACCTCAAAAACGTAGTTCGCAAGCAGTAGTTTTATTATTTAGATGAAAACATGATTATTCCAAAAATTAATAGCACAAGAAATTTGATATGTTCTGAAAGACCGAAAGCAACCTACTATGGGAGAGAACAAATCAGGTTCCAACTGAAGAGGAAATTAGGAAATGACGTTGGTGGTGGATAAGACACACACTGAGGAAATCACCAAACTGCATCATGAAGCAAGCGCTAGCTTGGAATGCTGAAGGGAAACGGAAGAGAGGGAGATCAAAGAACACATTTCATTTCGAATAGTAAACGGAAGTGAAAAGAATGAATAGTACTTGAGAAGAACTGTGAAGAAGAGCCCAGGAGTATCAGTTGACCATAAGTTTTCTGGATGAAAAAGTTCCTAGTGGGATCTCCCACGGTAGTTTTCGGACCAGTTTTATTGTTTCTATATGTAAATGACCTTCCTAGTCTTCTATTATTGTCGATCTTGTTACACACCGAGAATATCAAGATATGGAGAGCGATACAACACTGAGGGAATAGTTCGTAGCCACAGAAACTATTTGAATGGGTCAGGATTCGGTACTTGCAGCTGAACGTTCCCAAATGTATTGTGATGTATATTGGTCAACAGGGTACAAATACATGCGCAGCGAACAATGTTGAGCTACCCGTTGTTCAGACAACAAATGACGCAGGGGCAAATATTACCCGAGATTTGAAAACTATTGAGCACTTCCATGCAATATATGGTAAACGTCTTCAAAACTTATAGCCGTTACGTAGAGATTCCAGTCACGTGTATGTCAAGACATTCCTAACTTTGTAGTTTTCACTTGTTAAAAACTGAAGTACTGCATACAAGCATCTAGCCCTTGCCTAAACACACAGAGAGCTATCGTAAAAGGTTTGAAGAATTGCATATAAACTAATACCTGGAACCCAACCAACAATGGAAGAAACCATCAAATTCATTAGACAAATGAGGAACTACAGAACGCCAGACAATTACTAGCTAAAGCACTGAAGTTAGAAACATAGGCAACTGTAAAGATGTCCCACTTTCTTTTTATAAAGATCTGGGAGGAAGAAAAATTGATATAAGACCGGAGAGACCCGTGTATCAAATACAGGTGGTATTAGGAAATGACAGAACTACAGCGGGACTGCACTGATGTTAGTTGCGTCCAAAGTTTTTAATGGATTGTTCCCGAGCCGAATGAAAGTTTAATTAGGAGCCCAATTTCGAGTTTACCAAGTCGGCTCTCGTAGGGACGTAGTATATGCAGATTAAAATGCGACATCGTCAAGAATTATTGAACAGTTGATCGAATGAAACTCATCGTTACACATCAATATTTCTGATTATGGGAAGGCATTTAAAGACGCGAATAGAAAAACCTTTTGGAGTCGGGGACACTATGGAGTACCCGAGAAGGCCATTACTAAATTATGGAATTCCTAAGATCAACTGAATTGGAAATTTATGCACGGACGGTAGCTGATTGATACACTACCGATGAAGACTAGTATTATACAAGGTTGCCTACTCTCGTATTCCCCTTTTCTTCTAGTTGTTGACTACTGGATTATGAAGACTTCCACATCTGATAAGAAGTATGGAATACAGATGATTAGGACTTGGCTAAACGCACAGAGAGCTATTCTAAAAGGTTTAAAGAATAGCAAATAAGTTTATTTCAGGAGCCTCAAGGGTCCCGTGTGACGAGAGGTTTGTGTGTCTTTACTTTCCTTGTCTTTGACAACAGAAACTCCATAGTGACATTCTAAAATAGTTCGCAAGCCCAGAACTAATTACCTGTCAACTAAATACGGACTATCTCATCGAACTGTCAACCAGTAGAACTCGTGGTCTCAACACGTGGTTGAATCCCCATCTGTCAACGGGTCAAGAAGAAGGTTGAATCGACTAAGACACTCCTATTGCCAGAACCAGAATAGGCTGTCCAGACTCCTGTCCTTTCAAAACTGAAGCTGAAAGTTTCGGTACTTACTAATTGTGCTTTGCTATGTCTTCAGACCTACGACGTCAAAATCATAAAAAACTCACTAAGGTTAAGAGATGACTCTCCATTGATTGGATCATATGTATTTGGCCTGCGGATAACTTCACGCAATACGAGAGCCAGTACGAATGCATGATAGTAATTGTCCACATAGAGAGCACGGTTATCTGAGATAGTCAGCCAGTCATAGTCAACTTTGAACCTAACGCTTATGTGTATTGGTTGAACTCGTCACGCTACATGAAGATATTCGGATGAAATTATCAGGGAAAAGAGTAGCAACAATGGTAGTAGGAGTACAAAAATTTGGCATAGACAATAAGTCGAAGAAATAGGAAAAATCACACAACCTTAAAACTCAAGATCTAAGAAAAGGGAAATAGTTAATGCATCTATGTCATTGAGGTCAATTCTGAGCCATACAATCCAAATTCACCATGTATTTATGATACCATTGGTACAGAGCAATCACTGGAAAAGTATGCCAGGGATAAAATCTAAAATTGGTTAGAGAATCAGGACTGAATAAGAGAGGATGTTCCTTTTCTTTGCATACAATAATCTAAAATTTTCAAAATTGTGTGAAGGCACGATTAATAAACTTGGTAAGAATGTCGAGTGTCAGCCTGCTGTAATGACAGGACGGATTGGTCAATAAGTTCAAAAAGAAGATAAAAACGAGCTCAGAAATAAAAGACAGTAAACTGTCGAGTTCAGAAACGATCGACATTTAGAAACTAATCATACATTTCAAACGTACTGGAGACTAGACATCTGGTAAACGTTCTATAAGGCGGAAAGCAATAATTATCTTTCCATGATAAGGCACATCTAAAATGAATATAACCTACGTGATATTAAGATAAATTAATATTAGATCGGACTTCAAATAGCGTTGATATAAGAATAAAAATACACAAATAAGTCATACTGAAACATATTCGACACAAAATATTGGTATCAGAAAAGCATTGATCTCATTTAAACAAAAATCCATGAGTGCATGATATTCACTGGATTGGCTACAGGATTAGGGATAAGATGTAAGAAAACTTTAAGTGGTTAATTCATAATGATTTATATAGAAGTAACTATAAAATGTTAATGGGAAGGATGTGGACTTTTTAAAGAAATATTTATGTATCGATGCATCACATTATGTATTTCAGATTTCAATAGAAATAAAACAGTAATATGATATTATGCGCTGGCTTCTTCGTACAACAAACGTAATCTATCTGAGAAGGTTTCCCGTAGTCGAGATCTCGCTAGTTTGAAATTGGATGTGACTAAACCATTTTCCACAGTGAATGGAATCGAAGAAAGGTAAACACGTTTAATCTGAAAGAGTGAATATAAAGAATTTCATTTAATCAAATGCGTAGAGTCAAACATTGGATGACTCTAATCTAAATAGAAAATTATCTAGCTACGCCGAGAACCAATATGTTAGATGCTCCAAGACAATTATATCAAATACTAAGTGCGATTATAAAAACGTATAAATGGTTCGGTAAAAAACTTTACAAACAATTAGGAAACACGCAAAATTGATTGGATCTATAAAACTATACCAAAACTGATTTACAACAAATACGCCTCATGGAGGGGAATAGACAACTTATCAGCATTCTCCATCGTACTTTGTCCTGAGCGATCCTTTCGTCTGCATCAGATCCTCCACGTTCATCGATGATGCTGTTCAGGCATGTAAAACTGTTCACCTCTTCCAGAGTTTCTCCATCGAGTATGATCAGGTTAATGTCCTTTCTGTTGAATTTGAGGATGCTGCTTTTTCCCTTGTGTGTGTTGAGGCCTACTGGCACACTGTTAGTCTTGACCTGCATTTGTTGATGTGTATGGGATAGAAGAGCTAGGTCATCTGCCAAGTCCAAATCGTCTAGTTGCATCCAACTTGTCCATTGTATTCCGTGCTTCATCCCCAGATGTCGAGGCTTTCATAATCCAGTCAACCACCAGGAGAAAGAGGAAGGGAAAGAGTAGGCAGCCTTATCTAACCCCGGTCCTCACATAGAATATGCCTGTCAGCTGTTCTCCATGCACCACTTTGCACTGTAGTCCGTCGTATGAATTCCGAAAGATGTTGACGATCTTCTCAGGTACTCCATAGTGTCGAACGAGTTTCCATAATGTTCTCCTATTCACACTGTCAAATGTTTTCTCATAGTCAATGAAGTTGATATGTGGTGACGAGTTCCATTTAATTGATTGTTCAATAATGATCCATAGTGTTGCGATTTGGTCTATGTGCGACCGATCCTTACGGAATCCAGCTTGTTGATCTCGAGGCTAGACGTCTACTGAGTTTTTCATCTGGTTCAATAACACTCTGTTAAAAACCTTTCCTGGTACTGACAGTAGTGTGATGCCTCTGTAGTTCTCACATTTGCTCAGATCTGCTTTCGTATCTTGATGAGGTATCCTTCTCCCCAGTTCGTCGGCATTTGTTCTTCCTCCCAAATCTTCCTGAATAAAACATGGAGCATTTTTTCACTTACTTCTGTGTCTGACACTAGTGCTTCGGCTGGTATATTGTCAGGTACAGCTGCTTTCCCACTCCTGGTTTGTCTGGTGGCCATCCTGGTTCCTTCGATCGTTGGTGGAGTGATTTCTTTAGGACTGTCTGTGTGTGTTGCTTCAATATCCGGTGGATTCAATGAAGCCGGTCTATTCAAGGGTCCCTCGAAGTGTTTCACACACTTGTCCCTCTGTCCTTGAATTTGAGTGATTGGCTTGCTTTCATTTGTCCTTGACCGGTTTTTCTTACTTACTTGCTAATTTTTCCATGTATTTCTGCTTGTTGGCTCTGATGCTCTTCTTCACTGGCTTGTTTGCTTCTGTGTATTCAGCTTGTGCCTTGACTTTCCCTGTTCTTGTTCGACTGTTGTTAATTGCTGTCTTCTTGTTCTTCCTTTCTTGTATCTTTTTCAGGGTTACGATAGAGATCCACTCTTTACGATGATGCTTGTTGGGCCCAGAACTTTCTGACACGTTGAAATTAGCGCTTCTTTGACCCCTTTCCAATTGCCCTCCGTAGTGTTTTGTTGCTCTTTCAGTAGATCGTGTAAAACTTGGAACTTGTTGTTGAGGGTTATCCTGAATTCGTTTGTTGGTATGCCGAAGGACGACTGCATCGAACCTTTGTAATGGTGTTCTTTCAGTTGTTCAATACTTCTTTAGCTTCAGTTTCATCTTGACAACTACCAGATGGTGATCTGAAGCTGTGTTAGCTCCTCTTCTGGTTCTCACGTCTTGTGAATATATTTAATGATGCAAATATGACCAATCTGATTCTCCGTGGTGTTGTCCGGTGAGATCCATGTAACTTTGTGCGTACGTTTGTGTTGGAATATTGTGCCGCCTATAACAAATTTGTTGAATGCACATAGGTTTGCAAATCTCTTGCCATTATCGTTCTCTTCTCCTAGTCCATGTCGTCCCATGATAACTTCATATCCGGTATTGTCCATTCCGACTGGCGTTTAGATCTCCTATCAGGATGGTCAGGTTCCTTCCTGGGTATTTTGCTATGATTGATTGCAGCCTCTCATAGAACTGATCTTTAACGTCGTCATTGCTATCATTGGTGGGTGCATAACATTGGATAAATATTCATTGTGATTCCCTCCTTCTTTGTTTTGAATGATGCTCTGATGATCCTGGATCCGTGAGATTCTCATCCTACAATTGCATTTCGTGCTTCTTTGGACAGGATTAGAGCAACTCTCTGAGTGTGTGGAGCATTTTCTTCTTCGTGACCGGAGTACACAAGCATCCCTCTCCTATCTAGCCACTGGTGTCCAGCTTAGATCCAATAGGTTTCGCTGATTCTGAGTACTACCAAGTTGTATCTCCTCATTTCCGTTGCTATTTGACTGGTCTCCTACATTGTTCGGAAATTCCACGTACCTATAAAAAGTGTTGTTCCGGTTGTTAAAAGGGGCATCGGCCTCGTGACTTCTGAAAGTTCTCGGCTTTCATCCTGAGGCGTCATCATTCTTCCTTCAACTCCCAGGGCAGAGTTTAAATTGTTTATTCTGGTTTGCGTTTCTTAGCAAAGTTGTTTTCTAAAAAATGGGGTTTCCGACTCCACGCCCAAACCTCCTCCTTTACACAGGTTTGGGACCGGTAGTAGCCCCTGAAGAGCCACGGGCAGGGTTAGACTGGACGTTTTGTTGTCATTAATTAAAATATCCGGTAAAATAGGGCTATAAGTACTATAGTTTGAAACAATCATTCAGGATATTCTTTGTTTACTTTAGCCTTTTTCGTCCAATATACATCCGAGTGATAAAATAATTGCTTTGACTGTCTTTCTAGCATTTGAGTAATGAAACTGTGGAAACTAACGTACCGTACAGTTTAAATGTTTTTCTTTGTATTGTTCTTTAACATACATTAATATATTCCTTGAGTAAGAAAGACATTGAGGAGAGAGATCACATTAGAACTTCCCTCATCAAGATCATATTCCAGTAACTGAGAATAAGTCGACGAGATTATATAAGTTCATATCTGTTAGTATCTTTATATCAAGCAATAAACGTACAAATGTACATATTCAAAGTGATCATCACTCAACACAAGACCGCAGAAATCTGAATGGATATTATACTGTCACCTATTGCATGTTTACGGAGTTCGTAACATAATATATAAAATGCTTTGACTTTTTTTCTTGAAAAGAGTTATTGGATGCACTACTCGAAATGAAACGTAAACAAAACTAATCTTGAAAGTGAAAATAGGCGAAATCCAAACGGTCAAGAAGAAGTCCTTGTTCATGCACCTACAATTCAGGGGTGATGCAGCAAGCGAAATCCTTACTCAGAGATTACGCAGATCTATCCAAAAATCTTTCAACGCCGGTGAACTACGTTTGGCGTTTTCTACGCGTCCAATGGTGACAGTGAGGCTTAAAGATGAAGTACCTAGAATGACCACTTCATTTTGTATTTATCAGTTCGACTGCTCCTGTGGAGCAAGTTATATTGGTCGAAGTTCTAGAAATTTACATTTTCGTGCTCGTGAACACCTCCCAGCGTGGCTAAGCAAAGGTCTGATGAAGAAAGTAAACAGCTCGATTTTGGCCCATTTAGTATAAACTGGTCATAGTGCCAGTATAAACCAATCTTTTTCAATTATTTATAGGGTCAGTAAATTTTGCCAAAGCTTGTCAGGCTTAAAATCCTTCAAACGGCGGAGGCAGTAGCTATCAGAATGAAGAAACCAGAGCTATGTGTACAGAAAAAATATCTCCAACCCCTACTCCTCCTTTGGCCAGCCACTAGGCCAATTAATGAACAATCATCTTAGCTATTATATGACCTAATTTGACTATGTACTTACGTCCTTTCATAGTCAAATGTAATTTTCTCTCTTATCTTTATTCACAAATCTTTGTATTTTATTATTATTATCATTATTAATCCCCCCTAGACATGATTCATTCACATCGCATTCATCCCTCCTTATTACGTCTGACTAATTTTTATCACAATTTAGTCTTCCACTTGATCGAATTGTAATTGCACTATCATATCTCTCTCACCCTATCTGACCCATATGTATATTCTGATCACAGATCTTAAATTTTCACTTTACATATATACAGATTCAAGTTAACATTCTATATGAGTCATATCAATATTAACAATTTTATTCTATTTGATTTGATAATCCTAAATTGACATGCTTTAAACGATGTACTTTGTCTTTAACCTGGCCATTTTTCCCCAAATGCCCTGGTACGGCCGAGAGTGGGGAGAGTCTACTCTCTCTCTCGAAATGCTCTCACATGGCCAGCGAATATATAGCCTCTGCCAGGGAAGTCCTACTCACTGCCTTCTCGTGGCGGGGGTGTTGTTTACGAAAGTGAGAGGACGAAAAGCGAATGTTCGGCGCTATAACCGGATTGGTGGACACGGAGGGTCCACCTAGGGGAGTTGGAAAACTCTGATTCCAAACCAATGGTGCACATGGGCTCCAGTATCCTGATGGAACGAATGGCGGAAGAACCTGCTGTTGGTCAACGGCAACCATGGGACTGCATCTCCTCACGATGCTCCACTGCCTTGTGGATCAGACCTTTAGGTCAAAGGCTCGGGGTGTGGTCCCCTAAGAAAACCACCTGCTTCGGTTTGGGCACCCGGGCAGTATCACAGCCCACACACAAACAAATGAATGAAATTATGAACTTTATTGACGATATCCCTGGTCATACTAAAAGCAAAACAATTAACATTATTATTATTATTACCTTTATTATTATTATTATTATTATTATTATTATTATTATTATTATTATTATTACTTACCATATCGCTAATTCACCCCCTTTTATCCCCAATTTGTGTAACCTTACTCTTCAACTTATGCAGCAGCTCGCTCTTGGTGGAAAATCTGTCCTATCTAAACGATCTCCAGTCACTGTCTGGTTGAAAGTGAATGCTTCCACCGATAATGAATACTGAGGCAGTCTTTCTGAAACCACGTACGCCGTTCAAGCTGGCTTCCTTCAACGTTCGCACACTAATGCAGATCAGACAACAGATAGGGCTGGCTATGTCTTTGGAAGGTCTTAATGTTGACGTTTGTTGTCTATCCGAGACCCGTATTCAAGACTCTAGTGAAGTACTACAAATCCGCTCTCCATCTGTCGCCTCGAAAAGCTTGTTCCACATGCGCTTATCCGGGGACCCTGTGGCATCTTCGTCTGGTCTTGCTGGCGTTGGTGTCGCACTAAGCGCTAGAGCTGAGGCAGCACTAATCGATTGGATCCCCATTAACAGTCGGTTATGTGCTGTTAGATTAGAAAGTTCCATCAAAGTGAGAAGAAATCGGCGTGAGAAACGGTGTCTTTTCGTCATCTCCGCCTATGCCCCGACAGATTGCAGCCCGGATGCAATCAAGGATGAGTTTTACCATCAGTTAACAGTTCTTCTCCAGAAAGCGCGTTCGACAGATATTGTAGTACTAGCCGGAGACTTGAATGCACAGGTCGGGCGTCTAGGCACAGAAGAGAGTCGTCTAGGTGGCCGATGGGGACTTGTTGGTCGCAGGACAGATAACGGGGACCGTTTGCTGCAACTGTGCACAGACCACAACCTGTTTCTGGCCAGCACTAACTTCCGGCACAGTCATCGCCGGTGTGCCACCTGGCGTCCTCCCTCTGCATCCAAGCCTGGACTCAGATTGATCACATCGCGATCAGCTACCGCTGGCGTGGTTGTGTACAAGACTGCCGCTCCTTTTGGAGTACCTATCTGGAGTCTGATCATGCCCTGGTCTGCGCCAATCTCACCTTACTTTTCAGTGGCCGAAGGATTGACCACCACCAACGGATTGATATTAGTAAACTGGCTGCAACTTCTGTTGCAAGTAAGTATCGAGCGGAGCTAGCCTCTAGGCTAGCTACCACCCCACCGAAAAGTATAGGTAAGCATTGGTTGCATCTTCATGACGCCATGAAAATGGCGAGTAAAGCCGCTTGCGGCTTCGCGAAACGTCCCGCTTACAAGCACTGGGTTTCTTCTGGCTCCTTACAACTGATGGAAGCCCGTCGGTCTACTCCGGGTGACCGTGAGTTTGACCACAAACGAAGGCTGTTACGTAATGAAATCGGGCAAAGCTTGTGTAAGGACCGGGAAGCCTGGTGGTCGGAGCGTGCTAATGAGATGGAAGCAGCAGCTGCATCTGGTAACTGCCGGAAGCTCTTCCAACTCATCCGAGCCACTGGCAGCAAGAAGTCTGGTGTGAGTGAAACAATCTACGAGGATGACGGGATGCCAATCACTAACATCTGTCGACGTCTTGGACGATGGGCGGAATTTTTCGAAGGGCAGTTCAACTGGCCTGCTGCTCCGGCAACATCAACCAGCTTGTCCTGCTCCCCATGGCCGGTGACGACTGATCCACCAAACGAGGCGGAAGTCCGCAAGGAACTCCAACTCTTGAAACGTTATAAATCACCTGGCCCAGATGACTTACCTCCGGCTCTTTTTAAAGATGGTGGTGACTTTCTGGCTAAGGAACTGACTGCGTTGTTTGGAAAGGTTTGGGAGCAAGAAAGTGTTCCAACATTTTGGAATGAGTCAATAGTCGTCCCTATCTTTAAAAAGGGTTCACGTTGTTCCTGTAGCAACTATCGGGGGATAAGTCTACTTTCGATCGCGTCCAAACTATTGGCTTCTATCATTCTTCGTAGGTTGTGTAAAACCCGAGAACGATTGACTCGCGAGGAGCAGGCTGGTTTTCGTTCTGGTCGAGGATGCATTGATCACATCTTCACCCTCCGCCAAATGTTAGAACACCGTCATACTTATCGCAGGCCAACAATCGTAGTGTTTCTTGATATCAGGGCTGCCTTCGATTCGTTGGACAGGACTGTTCTCTGGGATTGTCTATTGAAGAAGGGTGTGCCTGAGAAGTTCATTAACATCTTAAAAGCCCTGTATACGAACACCTCAGGCAGAGTGAGGGCATACAACCACCTTTCTCCCTTGTTCAATTCAGGCAAGGGGTTTAGGCAGGGCTGCCCAATCTCACCATTCCTCTTCAACTTTGCCATCGATTACATTCTGGAAACAGCTCTGATGGATGTAATGGCGGTGTGGATCTGCTGCCTGGAGAACGACTTCTCGACCTCGAGTATGCGGATGATATTGTCTTACTGTGCGATAATGCCCACGCCATGCAATCCGCACTTAATCAGTTGGCAATCAGTGTCCGCAGGTACGGCATGTGCTTTGCACCCTCCAAGTGCAAAGTACTCCTACAAGACTGGCAGGATTCTCATTCTGTACTCATACTGGATGGTGAGCAGATTGAAGTAGTTAAAAAGTTAGTGTATCTAGGTAGCTACATAAGTGCTGGTGGTGGCGTGAGTGATGAGATTGATGCACGTATAATGAAAGCCAGAGCGGCTTATGCCAATCTGGGCCATCTTTGGCGCCTTCGTGATGTTAGTCTGGCTGTAAAAGGTCGGATCTACAACGCGTCGGTGAGAGCAGTTTTGCTCTATGCTTGTGAAACCTGGCCTCTCCGAGTTGAGGATGTTAGACGTCTCTCTGTGTTCGATCATCGTTGTCTCCGAAGGATTGCTGACATCCAGTGGCAACACCATGTTAGTAATGCAGAGGTTCGGCATCGTGTGTTCGGGCGCAGAGACGATAATTCAATTGGTGTCACCATCTTGAAACACCGACTTCGGTGGCTCGGACATGTTTTACGAATGTCGTCCCAGAGACTTCCGCGTCGTGCATTATTTGCCGACCCTGGGACTGGTTGGAGAAAGCGGAGAGGAGGTCAGTGTATGACATGGTGTCGTGGCATGAAAGAGAGCTGCAAAGGGCTAGCTTCCGTTGGTCCTTCACGACTCCCTGGTTGGGGTCCGAGAGATAGTGCAACACAGTGGCTAGAGACGTTATCGGATATGGCTCAGAATAGAAGCCAGTGGCGATCCTGCTGCAACCTTCTTTTACTTTCTACATAAAGAATGGTTCTAACTTTCCTAACTGAAAGAATCTTCTGGTTGTACATTTCAGCCCGCCTTATCTTTTCATCCTTTATCTACCTACTTTCATTATTTTGTGTGGCGCATATGTACATGGTGCCCTTTTGTACCAATATATATGTGTTTAAATATAAATTAACCTGGCCATTTTTTCGCATTATTAATTTGGATATATAATTGTAGAACCTGAAGACAATTTATCGAAAAGAATATTCTTCGTTCAAATATTAGTCTTTTAATATGATGGGAATCTTTAAACGATCAAAACTAATCTTTCTTCTGTAACATCTACATCGATTACAATCGCTAGCACTGTTTCTAGTGAAATAATTTGACGCTGAATGTACTCTGTAATTCTTTGAAAAACGCTCCAGAAGACGGAGAACGTACATAAAAGCTTCAGAACCAACAAAAAGTTGGAAAAGAATGCGTTATGCTCACTTGAATCTGGATGAAAGATTACCACACAAAATATCGACTTAAACATCTTTTCTCCAAACATTTCGAATTTGAAGGTTTTTTGAGAATAGTCTCATCCTCAAAAAACAGCAACCATAATCCGTGCCTTGATTTTAGTTCAGGAATTGAGAACAAAAGATCTTAGGATCACAGATTAATGGCAAAAGTAGTCCGAGGACAAGATACATAAGACTATTACTGAAACTGCTTAGAAACATAAGACCAAAATCTCATTAAAAAAAACTTGCAAAAATCTTACTATCTCAAATCCTTTTAGTCCTCTTTTCTTTCCTAAATTTTCTAATTCTGAAACGACAATTTTACGTGCTGCAGGCTGCGAACATAACGTTGGAGTATCGACTATTGGATTAGAATCATCCAATTTGTATTTGGAAGCCTCAGTCTCTTCTTTATTACTGTTCAATAACAATGAGTCATTGAAATTCGCCTTAGACAGTATGCGTTTAGTCAACTCTTTGATATTTGGTACAACTACAGCTATTGGAAAATCGTAAAATGAATTGCCATCAACAAAGATTTGTTCAACTAGTGGACTGAGTTGATAGATATTTTCCAATCTTTCTGGTGCAATATACTCGCCTTGTGAGAGTTTAAATATGTTTTTACACCTGTCGACAATTTTTAAAGAACCTTCCTAGAATTTGGAAAAGCCAACAAAAAAGCAGGTAAGTAAACAAAAAGATAACAATGTAAAACGAAAAACTGAAATTTTCCAAGAAAACATTTGATTAGTGTGAAGTCAATGGCCGAAAGATATATTAACAACGATAAATACGGAAATGAATATGCTAAATTGTTGATATAAACTACAGGCAGGAAAATGACCTCAAAAACGTAGTTCGCAAGCAGTAGTTTTATTATTTAGATGAAAACATGATTATTCCAAAAATTAATAGCACAAGAAATTTGATATGTTCTGAAAGACCGAAAGCAACCTACTATGGGAGAGAACAAATCAGGTTCCAACTGAAGAGGAAATTAGGAAATGACGTTGGTGGTGGATAAGACACACACTGAGGAAATCACCAAACTGCATCATGAAGCAAGCGCTAGCTTGGAATGCTGAAGGGAAACGGAAGAGAGGGAGATCAAAGAACACATTTCATTTCGAATAGTAAACGGAAGTGAAAAGAATGAATAGTACTTGAGAAGAACTGTGAAGAAGAGCCCAGGAGTATCAGTTGACCATAAGTTTTCTGGATGAAAAAGTTCCTAGTGGGATCTCCCACGGTAGTTTTCGGACCAGTTTTATTGTTTCTATATGTAAATGACCTTCCTAGTCTTCTATTATTGTCGATCTTGTTACACACCGAGAATATCAAGATATGGAGAGCGATACAACACTGAGGGAATAGTTCGTAGCCACAGAAACTATTTGAATGGGTCAGGATTCGGTACTTGCAGCTGAACGTTCCCAAATGTATTGTGATGTATATTGGTCAACAGGGTACAAATACATGCGCAGCGAACAATGTTGAGCTACCCGTTGTTCAGACAACAAATGACGCAGGGGCAAATATTACCCGAGATTTGAAAACTATTGAGCACTTCCATGCAATATATGGTAAACGTCTTCAAAACTTATAGCCGTTACGTAGAGATTCCAGTCACGTGTATGTCAAGACATTCCTAACTTTGTAGTTTTCACTTGTTAAAAACTGAAGTACTGCATACAAGCATCTAGCCCTTGCCTAAACACACAGAGAGCTATCGTAAAAGGTTTGAAGAATTGCATATAAACTAATACCTGGAACCCAACCAACAATGGAAGAAACCATCAAATTCATTAGACAAATGAGGAACTACAGAACGCCAGACAATTACTAGCTAAAGCACTGAAGTTAGAAACATAGGCAACTGTAAAGATGTCCCACTTTCTTTTTATAAAGATCTGGGAGGAAGAAAAATTGATATAAGACCGGAGAGACCCGTGTATCAAATACAGGTGGTATTAGGAAATGACAGAACTACAGCGGGACTGCACTGATGTTAGTTGCGTCCAAAGTTTTTAATGGATTGTTCCCGAGCCGAATGAAAGTTTAATTAGGAGCCCAATTTCGAGTTTACCAAGTCGGCTCTCGTAGGGACGTAGTATATGCAGATTAAAATGCGACATCGTCAAGGATTATTGAACAGTTGATCGAATGAAACTCATCGTTACACATCAATATTTCTGATTATGGGAAGGCATTTAAAGACGCGAATAGAAAAACCTTTTGGAGTCGGGGACACTATGGAGTACCCGAGAAGGCCATTACTAAATTATGGAATTCCTAAGATCAACTGAATTGGAAATTTATGCACGGACGGTAGCTGATTGATACACTACCGATGAAGACTAGTATTATACAAGGTTGCCTACTCTCGTATTCCCCTTTTCTTCTAGTTGTTGACTACTGGATTATGAAGACTTCCACATCTGATAAGAAGTATGGAATACAGATGATTAGGACTTGGCTAAACGCACAGAGAGCTATTCTAAAAGGTTTAAAGAATAGCAAATAAGTTTATTTCAGGAGCCTCAAGGGTCCCGTGTGACGAGAGGTTTGTGTGTCTTTACTTTCCTTGTCTTTGACAACAGAAACTCCATAGTGACATTCTAAAATAGTTCGCAAGCCCAGAACTAATTACCTGTCAACTAAATACGGACTATCTCATCGAACTGTCAACCAGTAGAACTCGTGGTCTCAACACGTGGTTGAATCCCCATCTGTCAACGGGTCAAGAAGAAGGTTGAATCGACTAAGACACTCCTATTGCCAGAACCAGAATAGGCTGTCCAGACTCCTGTCCTTTCAAAACTGAAGCTGAAAGTTTCGGTACTTACTAATTGTGCTTTGCTATGTCTTCAGACCTACGACGTCAAAATCATAAAAAACTCACTAAGGTTAAGAGATGACTCTCCATTGATTGGATCATATGTATTTGGCCTGCGGATAACTTCACGCAATACGAGAGCCAGTACGAATGCATGATAGTAATTGTCCACATAGAGAGCACGGTTATCTGAGATAGTCAGCCAGTCATAGTCAACTTTGAACCTAACGCTTATGTGTATTGGTTGAACTCGTCACGCTACATGAAGATATTCGGATGAAATTATCAGGGAAAAGAGTAGCAACAATGGTAGTAGGAGTACAAAAATTTGGCATAGACAATAAGTCGAAGAAATAGGAAAAATCACACAACCTTAAAACTCAAGATCTAAGAAAAGGGAAATAGTTAATGCATCTATGTCATTGAGGTCAATTCTGAGCCATACAATCCAAATTCACCATGTATTTATGATACCATTGGTACAGAGCAATCACTGGAAAAGTATGCCAGGGATAAAATCTAAAATTGGTTAGAGAATCAGGACTGAATAAGAGAGGATGTTCCTTTTCTTTGCATACAATAATCTAAAATTTTCAAAATTGTGTGAAGGCACGATTAATAAACTTGGTAAGAATGTCGAGTGTCAGCCTGCTGTAATGACAGGATGGATTGGTCAATAAGTTCAAAAAGAAGATAAAAACGAGCTCAGAAATAAAAGACAGTAAACTGTCGAGTTCAGAAACGATCGACATTTAGAAACTAATCATACATTTCAAACGTACTGGAGACTAGACATCTGGTAAACGTTCTATAAGGCGGAAAGCAATAATTATCTTTCCATGATAAGGCACATCTAAAATGAATATAACCTACGTGATATTAAGATAAATTAATATTAGATCGGACTTCAAATAGCGTTGATATAAGAATAAAAATACACAAATAAGTCATACTGAAACATATTCGACACAAAATATTGGTATCAGAAAAGCATTGATCTCATTTAAACAAAAATCCATGAGTGCATGATATTCACTGGATTGGCTACAGGATTAGGGATAAGATGTAAGAAAACTTTAAGTGGTTAATTCATAATGATTTATATAGAAGTAACTATAAAATGTTAATGGGAAGGATGTGGACTTTTTAAAGAAATATTTATGTATCGATGCATCACATTATGTATTTCAGATTTCAATAGAAATAAAACAGTAATATGATATTATGCGCTGGCTTCTTCGTACAACAAACGTAATCTATCTGAGAAGGTTTCCCGTAGTCGAGATCTCGCTAGTTTGAAATTGGATGTGACTAAACCATTTTCCACAGTGAATGGAATCGAAGAAAGGTAAACACGTTTAATCTGAAAGAGTGAATATAAAGAATTTCATTTAATCAAATGCGTAGAGTCAAACATTGGATGACTCTAATCTAAATAGAAAATTATCTAGCTACGCCGAGAACCAATAGGTTAGATGCTCCAAGACAATTATATCAAATACTAAGTGCGATTATAAAAACGTATAAATGGTTCGGTAAAAAACTTTACAAACAATTAGGAAACACGCAAAATTGATTGGATCTATAAAACTATACCAAAACTGATTTACAACAAATACGCCTCATGGAGGGGAATAGACAACTTATCAGCATTCTCCATCGTACTTTGTCCTGAGCGATCCTTTCGTCTGCATCAGATCCTCCACGTTCATCGATGATGCTGTTCAGGCATGTAAAACTGTTCACCTCTTCCAGAGTTTCTCCATCGAGTATGATCAGGTTAATGTCCTTTCTGTTGAATTTGAGGATGCTGCTTTTTCCCTTGTGTGTGTTGAGGCCTACTGGCACACTGTTAGTCTTGACCTGCATTTGTTGATGTGTATGGGATAGAAGAGCTAGGTCATCTGCCAAGTCCAAATCGTCTAGTTGCATCCAACTTGTCCATTGTATTCCGTGCTTCATCCCCAGATGTCGAGGCTTTCATAATCCAGTCAACCACCAGGAGAAAGAGGAAGGGAAAGAGTAGGCAGCCTTATCTAACCCCGGTCCTCACATAGAATATGCCTGTCAGCTGTTCTCCATGCACCACTTTGCACTGTAGTCCGTCGTATGAATTCCGAAAGATGTTGACGATCTTCTCAGGTACTCCATAGTGTCGAACGAGTTTCCATAATGTTCTCCTATTCACACTGTCAAATGTTTTCTCATAGTCAATGAAGTTGATATGTGGTGACGAGTTCCATTTAATTGATTGTTCAATAATGATCCATAGTGTTGCGATTTGGTCTATGTGCGACCGATCCTTACGGAATCCAGCTTGTTGATCTCGAGGCTAGACGTCTACTGAGTTTTTCATCTGGTTCAATAACACTCTGTTAAAAACCTTTCCTGGTACTGACAGTAGTGTGATGCCTCTGTAGTTCTCACATTTGCTCAGATCTGCTTTCGTATCTTGATGAGGTATCCTTCTCCCCAGTTCGTCGGCATTTGTTCTTCCTCCCAAATCTTCCTGAATAAAACATGGAGCATTTTTTCACTTACTTCTGTGTCTGACACTAGTGCTTCGGCTGGTATATTGTCAGGTACAGCTGCTTTCCCACTCCTGGTTTGTCTGGTGGCCATCCTGGTTCCTTCGATCGTTGGTGGAGTGATTTCTTTAGGACTGTCTGTGTGTGTTGCTTCAATATCCGGTGGATTCAATGAAGCCGGTCTATTCAAGGGTCCCTCGAAGTGTTTCACACACTTGTCCCTCTGTCCTTGAATTTGAGTGATTGGCTTGCTTTCATTTGTCCTTGACCGGTTTTTCTTACTTACTTGCTAATTTTTCCATGTATTTCTGCTTGTTGGCTCTGATGCTCTTCTTCACTGGCTTGTTTGCTTCTGTGTATTCAGCTTGTGCCTTGACTTTCCCTGTTCTTGTTCGACTGTTGTTAATTGCTGTCTTCTTGTTCTTCCTTTCTTGTATCTTTTTCAGGGTTACGATAGAGATCCACTCTTTACGATGATGCTTGTTGGGCCCAGAACTTTCTGACACGTTGAAATTAGCGCTTCTTTGACCCCTTTCCAATTGCCCTCCGTAGTGTTTTGTTGCTCTTTCAGTAGATCGTGTAAAACTTGGAACTTGTTGTTGAGGGTTATCCTGAATTCGTTTGTTGGTATGCCGAAGGACGACTGCATCGAACCTTTGTAATGGTGTTCTTTCAGTTGTTCAATACTTCTTTAGCTTCAGTTTCATCTTGACAACTACCAGATGGTGATCTGAAGCTGTGTTAGCTCCTCTTCTGGTTCTCACGTCTTGTGAATATATTTAATGATGCAAATATGACCAATCTGATTCTCCGTGGTGTTGTCCGGTGAGATCCATGTAACTTTGTGCGTACGTTTGTGTTGGAATATTGTGCCGCCTATAACAAATTTGTTGAATGCACATAGGTTTGCAAATCTCTTGCCATTATCGTTCTCTTCTCCTAGTCCATGTCGTCCCATGATAACTTCATATCCGGTATTGTCCATTCCGACTGGCGTTTAGATCTCCTATCAGGATGGTCAGGTTCCTTCCTGGGTATTTTGCTATGATTGATTGCAGCCTCTCATAGAACTGATCTTTAACGTCGTCATTGCTATCATTGGTGGGTGCATAACATTGGATAAATATTCATTGTGATTCCCTCCTTCTTTGTTTTGAATGATGCTCTGATGATCCTGGATCCGTGAGATTCTCATCCTACAATTGCATTTCGTGCTTCTTTGGACAGGATTAGAGCAACTCTCTGAGTGTGTGGAGCATTTTCTTCTTCGTGACCGGAGTACACAAGCATCCCTCTCCTATCTAGCCACTGGTGTCCAGCTTAGATCCAATAGGTTTCGCTGATTCTGAGTACTACCAAGTTGTATCTCCTCATTTCCGTTGCTATTTGACTGGTCTCCTACATTGTTCGGAAATTCCACGTACCTATAAAAAGTGTTGTTCCGGTTGTTAAAAGGGGCATCGGCCTCGTGACTTCTGAAAGTTCTCGGCTTTCATCCTGAGGCGTCATCATTCTTCCTTCAACTCCCAGGGCAGAGTTTAAATTGTTTATTCTGGTTTGCGTTTCTTAGCAAAGTTGTTTTCTAAAAAATGGGGTTTCCGACTCCACACCCAAACCTCCTCCTTTACACAGGTTTGGGACCGGTAGTAGCCCCTGAAGAGCCACGGGCAGGGTTGGACTGGACGTTTTGTTGTCATTAATTAAAATATCCGGTAAAATAGGGCTATAAGTACTATAGTTTGAAACAATCATTCAGGATATTCTTTGTTTACTTTAGCCTTTTTCGTCCAATATACATCCGAGTGATAAAATAATTGCTTTGACTGTCTTTCTAGCATTTAAGTAATGAAACTGTGGAAACTAACGTACCGTACAGTTTAAATGTTTTTCTTTGTATTGTTCTTTAACATACATTAATATATTCCTTGAGTAAGAAAGACATTGAGGAGAGAGATCACATTAGAACTTCCCTCATCAAGATCATATTCCAGTAACTGAGAATAAGTCGACGAGATTATATAAGTTCATATCTGTTAGTATCTTTATATCAAGCAATAAACGTACAAATGTACATATTCAAAGTGATCATCACTCAACACAAGACCGCAGAAATCTGAATGGATATTATACTGTCACCTATTGCATGTTTACGGAGTTCGTAACATAATATATAAAATGCTTTGACTTTTTTTCTTGAAAAGAGTTATTGGATGCACTACTCGAAATGAAACGTAAACAAAACTAATCTTGAAAGTGAAAATAGGCGAAATCCAAACGGTCAAGAAGAAGTCCTTGTTCATGCACCTACAATTCAGGGGTGATGCAGCAAGCGAAATCCTTACTCAGAGATTACGCAGATCTATCCAAAAATCTTTCAACGCCGGTGAACTACGTTTGGCGTTTTCTACGCGTCCAATGGTGACAGTGAGGCTTAAAGATGAAGTACCTAGAATGACCACTTCATTTTGTATTTATCAGTTCGACTGCTCCTGTGGAGCAAGTTATATTGGTCGAAGTTCTAGAAATTTACATTTTCGTGCTCGTGAACACCTCCCAGCGTGGCTAAGCAAAGGTCTGATGAAGAAAGTAAACAGCTCGATTTTGGCCCATTTAGTATAAACTGGTCATAGTGCCAGTATAAACCAATCTTTTTCAATTATTTATAGGGTCAGTAAATTTTGCCAAAGCTTGTCAGGCTTAAAATCCTTCAAACGGCGGAGGCAGTAGCTATCAGAATGAAGAAACCAGAGCTATGTGTACAGAAAAAATATCTCCAACCCCTACTCCTCCTTTGGCCAGCCACTAGGCCAATTAATGAACAATCATCTTAGCTATTATATGACCTAATTTGACTATGTACTTACGTCCTTTCATAGTCAAATGTAATTTTCTCTCTTATCTTTATTCACAAATCTTTGTATTTTATTATTATTATCATTATTAATCCCCCCTAGACATGATTCATTCACATCGCATTCATCCCTCCTTATTACGTCTGACTAATTTTTATCACAATTTAGTCTTCCACTTGATCGAATTGTAATTGCACTATCATATCTCTCTCACCCTATCTGACCCATATGTATATTCTGATCACAGATCTTAAATTTTCACTTTACATATATACAGATTCAAGTTAACATTCTATATGAGTCATATCAATATTAACAATTTTATTCTATTTGATTTGATAATCCTAAATTGACATGCTTTAAACGATGTACTTTGTCTTTAACCTGGCCATTTTTTCGCATTATTAATTTGGATATATAATTGTAGAACCTGAAGACAATTTATCGAAAAGAATATTCTTCGTTCAAATATTAGTCTTTTAATATGATGGGAATCTTTAAACGATCAAAACTAATCTTTCTTCTGTAACATCTACATCGATTACAATCGCTAGCACTGTTTCTAGTGAAATAATTTGACGCTGAATGTACTCTGTAATTCTTTGAAAAACGCTCCAGAAGACGGAGAACGTACATAAAAGCTTCAGAACCAACAAAAAGTTGGAAAAGAATGCGTTATGCTCACTTGAATCTGGATGAAAGATTACCACACAAAATATCGACTTAAACATCTTTTCTCCAAACATTTCGAATTTGAAGGTTTTTTGAGAATAGTCTCATCCTCAAAAAACAGCAACCATAATCCGTGCCTTGATTTTAGTTCAGGAATTGAGAACAAAAGATCTTAGGATCACAGATTAATGGCAAAAGTAGTCCGAGGACAAGATACATAAGACTATTACTGAAACTGCTTAGAAACATAAGACCAAAATCTCATTAAAAAAAACTTGCAAAAATCTTACTATCTCAAATCCTTTTAGTCCTCTTTTCTTTCCTAAATTTTCTAATTCTGAAACGACAATTTTACGTGCTGCAGGCTGCGAACATAACGTTGGAGTATCGACTATTGGATTAGAATCATCCAATTTGTATTTGGAAGCCTCAGTCTCTTCTTTATTACTGTTCAATAACAATGAGTCATTGAAATTCGCCTTAGACAGTATGCGTTTAGTCAACTCTTTGATATTTGGTACAACTACAGCTATTGGAAAATCGTAAAATGAATTGCCATCAACAAAGATTTGTTCAACTAGTGGACTGAGTTGATAGATATTTTCCAATCTTTCTGGTGCAATATACTCGCCTTGTGAGAGTTTAAATATGTTTTTACACCTGTCGACAATTTTTAAAGAACCTTCCTAGAATTTGGAAAAGCCAACAAAAAAGCAGGTAAGTAAACAAAAAGATAACAATGTAAAACGAAAAACTGAAATTTTCCAAGAAAACATTTGATTAGTGTGAAGTCAATGGCCGAAAGATATATTAACAACGATAAATACGGAAATGAATATGCTAAATTGTTGATATAAACTACAGGCAGGAAAATGACCTCAAAAACGTAGTTCGCAAGCAGTAGTTTTATTATTTAGATGAAAACATGATTATTCCAAAAATTAATAGCACAAGAAATTTGATATGTTCTGAAAGACCGAAAGCAACCTACTATGGGAGAGAACAAATCAGGTTCCAACTGAAGAGGAAATTAGGAAATGACGTTGGTGGTGGATAAGACACACACTGAGGAAATCACCAAACTGCATCATGAAGCAAGCGCTAGCTTGGAATGCTGAAGGGAAACGGAAGAGAGGGAGATCAAAGAACACATTTCATTTCGAATAGTAAACGGAAGTGAAAAGAATGAATAGTACTTGAGAAGAACTGTGAAGAAGAGCCCAGGAGTATCAGTTGACCATAAGTTTTCTGGATGAAAAAGTTCCTAGTGGGATCTCCCACGGTAGTTTTCGGACCAGTTTTATTGTTTCTATATGTAAATGACCTTCCTAGTCTTCTATTATTGTCGATCTTGTTACACACCGAGAATATCAAGATATGGAGAGCGATACAACACTGAGGGAATAGTTCGTAGCCACAGAAACTATTTGAATGGGTCAGGATTCGGTACTTGCAGCTGAACGTTCCCAAATGTATTGTGATGTATATTGGTCAACAGGGTACAAATACATGCGCAGCGAACAATGTTGAGCTACCCGTTGTTCAGACAACAAATGACGCAGGGGCAAATATTACCCGAGATTTGAAAACTATTGAGCACTTCCATGCAATATATGGTAAACGTCTTCAAAACTTATAGCCGTTACGTAGAGATTCCAGTCACGTGTATGTCAAGACATTCCTAACTTTGTAGTTTTCACTTGTTAAAAACTGAAGTACTGCATACAAGCATCTAGCCCTTGCCTAAACACACAGAGAGCTATCGTAAAAGGTTTGAAGAATTGCATATAAACTAATACCTGGAACCCAACCAACAATGGAAGAAACCATCAAATTCATTAGACAAATGAGGAACTACAGAACGCCAGACAATTACTAGCTAAAGCACTGAAGTTAGAAACATAGGCAACTGTAAAGATGTCCCACTTTCTTTTTATAAAGATCTGGGAGGAAGAAAAATTGATATAAGACCGGAGAGACCCGTGTATCAAATACAGGTGGTATTAGGAAATGACAGAACTACAGCGGGACTGCACTGATGTTAGTTGCGTCCAAAGTTTTTAATGGATTGTTCCCGAGCCGAATGAAAGTTTAATTAGGAGCCCAATTTCGAGTTTACCAAGTCGGCTCTCGTAGGGACGTAGTATATGCAGATTAAAATGCGACATCGTCAAGGATTATTGAACAGTTGATCGAATGAAACTCATCGTTACACATCAATATTTCTGATTATGGGAAGGCATTTAAAGACGCGAATAGAAAAACCTTTTGGAGTCGGGGACACTATGGAGTACCCGAGAAGGCCATCACTAAATTATGGAATTCCTAAGATCAACTGAATTGGAAATTTATGCACGGACGGTAGCTGATTGATACACTACCGATGAAGACTAGTATTATACAAGGTTGCCTACTCTCGTATTCCCCTTTTCTTCTAGTTGTTGACTACTGGATTATGAAGACTTCCACATCTGATAAGAAGTATGGAATACAGATGATTAGGACTTGGCTAAACGCACAGAGAGCTATTCTAAAAGGTTTAAAGAATAGCAAATAAGTTTATTTCAGGAGCCTCAAGGGTCCCGTGTGACGAGAGGTTTGTGTGTCTTTACTTTCCTTGTCTTTGACAACAGAAACTCCATAGTGACATTCTAAAATAGTTCGCAAGCCCAGAACTAATTACCTGTCAACTAAATACGGACTATCTCATCGAACTGTCAACCAGTAGAACTCGTGGTCTCAACACGTGGTTGAATCCCCATCTGTCAACGGGTCAAGAAGAAGGTTGAATCGACTAAGACACTCCTATTGCCAGAACCAGAATAGGCTGTCCAGACTCCTGTCCTTTCAAAACTGAAGCTGAAAGTTTCGGTACTTACTAATTGTGCTTTGCTATGTCTTCAGACCTACGACGTCAAAATCATAAAAAACTCACTAAGGTTAAGAGATGACTCTCCATTGATTGGATCATATGTATTTGGCCTGCGGATAACTTCACGCAATACGAGAGCCAGTACGAATGCATGATAGTAATTGTCCACATAGAGAGCACGGTTATCTGAGATAGTCAGCCAGTCATAGTCAACTTTGAACCTAACGCTTATGTGTATTGGTTGAACTCGTCACGCTACATGAAGATATTCGGATGAAATTATCAGGGAAAAGAGTAGCAACAATGGTAGTAGGAGTACAAAAATTTGGCATAGACAATAAGTCGAAGAAATAGGAAAAATCACACAACCTTAAAACTCAAGATCTAAGAAAAGGGAAATAGTTAATGCATCTATGTCATTGAGATCAATTCCGAAGGAAATCACACAACGTCTATAACCATTAGAAACGGAACAAAAAGCGAAAGGTCTAAGGAAAGACTCAGGGAGAGCACAGAAGACATTGGTTTTAGTAAAGAAGGCCATCGAAAACAGTTGGGGACATGTAAATGTGCATTCAAGAATGCTAGCGATAGGATCTCGTTAAAAATGCCCTATAACGTACGTATTGAAAATAGAGCTTCCATGTCCATTTTTAATGCCATAATGTTTCAGATTATTTTTGATAGTTTTTCAACTCTCTTTGCTTTGTTAGCTCTTGAACTCCTCTGGTTAATGCTAATTAAAGTAATAAGACAAGCACTGTAGCGATATCTCCGGGTACTTTATAAGTAGGATGCTCCTCTCCGAGGTGGCAAGTTGATTAGTCTCGAATTTATATACATCTGATACGCATCGACACTATTATTCCTTTTTACATTGCCTGTCTACTTTATTATTTGATTTATGGATGTCTTACATGAGAAGCCGGAAGTGTAAGGAACAGACTTTACGGTAACCTTTAGATTGCACAATAGGGCATGGTCTTACTTGGAATCTGTAAGGCATCAATAAAGGATTTACATCAAAGAATATATGGCATCGGAGATTGGAGGCAGGCATCAAGACTACGAATGGCACGTAGCAACAACCGGATAAAAGAGTCCAGGTCAAAACTGGTTGGAGGTTCATTTTTAGGAGCCTATCGTATAAAGAGGTAACAGGCTCAACTAAGTAAATTTTATCTGTAAGAATCTGTGCCACTGAAATTTTAACGTTTCGCCCGGTAATCTTGTTTGAACTTCTTCAAAGTCATAAGAAAATGTAAATAAGACCAAAACGAGTTTCGCACAAAGCGCTTATTTAGTCATGTTCAAATGTTGATTTTGGATATAATGAGAATGTTAGTCACTTTACATCAAATGTGTTTAAAATGCTCCAAGTGAAGGTATGTGTATGTTATTAAAACCCAGTGATTAAAAGAAGCTTTAAGTTACAACTAGGGCTGTATTGATCGTTCCGTTTAATATTTGAGTATGGTGGACCCAACCTAAGTATATGTAGGTCGAACGAATCGGGTTTTATGTTGACTAGTTAAATAAAAGCAACTGAAAAGAAATTCAAACAATAGTCAATTAAAGTTACACTTACGCCACTGATGATTATCATTTTACTGGTGGGAGCGAAATTTGAAGACGACAATATTTTTGTTTAATAATCAACAGCTGCCGGTCTATAGGAAACCAAAAGTCAATTTCTAATCTTACAAGCCACATGGTTCAGTATCGGGTCGTCCCAAACAGTATAAAGGTCATAAGTAAAGCCTACTTTCTCGTGGATATTGACGGACGAAACATGTCAGGGAGTATGTGGTGCGTTCGGGATTAAAACCATTATGGGTCAGGGATCCGATAAAACCTTTTACTAAGGTATCTGATTAGTATCGATTCCTATTAATTGATTAATAAAATGCATGGGGATAGTAATTGCAACGACTATATTGTGGCGAACTGCAGCTCATTTAAAGAACATAAAGGATCGGTACGCTGTTATTATTCAACTGAACTGATTTACCCCCGGACAATAACAAGTGTTGACTGTTTTGGAAAAATAAGGTCAATCCGGGGATAACTAATGGTCGTTGAAAAATGTTAACTTGGGTACATGGATAAACCACTAGACTGAAAATCCTCTTATTAGTCAGAGAACATACTTTCGTCCAAGTGCCAATATCACCAGTATGCAACCATCCATCTTTGTCAATGAGCTGTCTTGTGCTTTCTTCATCGCCGTAATACCCCTGAGTACAATTTAGGCCTTTGACACATACCTGTGCAATTGATAGGAAAAGAAATGAAATCAAGAAGTAATAGAAGTTATAAATGAACCAACATCTGATATTTAGTCTTAATAAGTAAGCGTTTCAGCACGCGACGATTTTTGACTAACTGATATTGGTGATATCAATCAACCGATGCAGCGTAAATTCCTTGCTGTGTCATGAGTACTAACAACAAGTGCGTCCTTATACAATATATTCGAAAATCCATTAGTTTTCTCAAAAGAACAGTTGCACACCTACTCATAAGCTAGTCACTCGTTTATTAGGCACAAGTATGTGTACTCGATGATGAGCCATACTATTTGTGTGAGGGCTAGTGATACTAATTTGATTCTCAGATGGAAGTGGGTGTAATGTATTTCAAACCTTATAACTTGACTGACCCCTTGAGGATAGATATGATTGAAACATAGAGTAAAACAGTAGACTGATATCCAGCAAGCGAACTGAATCCCTCAATCCATTCATTCTCCACACATATCAATCTTAATTAATCATATGGGTTGATGATTAATGAAAGAAAAAAAAACCATCCATAGTTTTGGATGGTTGTTAAATGGATAATGATTTGCTGAATCAAGCTAAACCTAAATATTTGGATATTTGCATTAGATATAGAAAAGCTTCTACGGACACTTTTTTATCCAACTGGGTAGATTGGGTTGATTAACATATACGGTTAATTTAGTCACATAATGACGAAAGAAAAAGATCTAATGAGACACTTCACTAGCGAATGAAAACCTGCGTACAACGCTCTCCGGTTTTTTAACAGCTATCCGTTTGTGATGGTAATTATTTTCAGATCAAATATCATGTTCATACAGCATTCTGTAAAACAAAACATTCTATAATCTAACAATTACGAAGCAATTTATCTGCAGTAAACCTATGAAGATTATCAGGTTGAAGGATTTTTAACAGTTGGAACCTAATTTTATACATTTATGCGCTTCTCATATTTTACACAAATGAAGATGAACTAATTTTGAAAATATTATGAGTGGAATTCTCTGTTTAGCCCACTGAGCCACCGATCAATTTATAGATAAAAATACTTACTTCACCCATTTTCATTTTCTCAACGCTGATACCCATATACGGTACATCTACCAGTTTGGCTGAAATTCCTGGAATAAGAGCACCGACATGACCCAGGCTTTTATCGCCAAACAATGTAAGACTAATAACGCCACATGATTCACTAAAACCATAGCCAACTATTACCTAATAAAAATGGTATTTTTATAAAGATATTATATAAAAATTGGAATACGTTGCAAACAAAAAGGATGTATACAGTACAGGTGAAACCTATTAGCTATGCACTGTTTCATTTTCGAATGTTTTATTGCGTAAATAAACCGTGACTTGGTAGATATAATCATTGTGACGTATCGAAATAACTCCGCCTGTAGCTCTTCTAGGGCTAATACCGGTCCCAAACCTGTGTAAAGGAGGAGGTTTGGGTGTGGAGTCGGAAACCCCATTCTTTAGAAAACAACTTTGCTAAGAAACGCAAACCAGAATAAACAATTTAAACTCTGCCCTGGGAGTTGAAGGAAGAATGTTGACGCCTCAGGATGAAAGCCGAGAACTTTCAGAAGTCACGAGGCCGATGCCCCTTTTAACAACCGGAACAACACTTTTTATAGGTACGTGGAATTTCCGGGCAACGTAGGAGACCGGGAAGACCAGTCAAATGGTTATTTACAGAAATATGCTTTCATAAACCAAATAGTAGTACCTAAACCCAATGAATTACGACTGTGTATCGATTCACTGTGAGAGTTACCCATTGTATTATTGAATAATATATATTTATTCGCCACTTGGTCACATTTTCAGTGCACACATTCATCTCAACAGAGTATCTGGGCTTGGTTAGCGTTATATATATATATATATATATATATATATATATATATATATATATGTCTACATCTATCTATCTTATATAGTTAAGATCATGAGTCAATTGAAGCTAGGCCACCATGGAAAACCTGAGAGCACTGGACGGCCGTTTCTTCCTATTGTCGGACTCCTCAGCAGTGCGCGTCCACGCCCCCGCCTCGCCAGATTCGAACCGAGGACCTACCAGCCTCGCGCCAGAGCAATTAACCGTTAGACCACTGAGCCGGCATCCAACTGTGTTAATGTCTAACCTCAAACAATCCACGAAATTGCGCGACCAACTTCCATTGTACTGAGGTAGATACCTGTCTCTACCTGACATGGAATAGCTCCAATGGTCACGACTCCTGACTAGAACTCCAGATATTACCTCATGCAGCCAGTCACTAGTGAGCATATGATCGTTATCAGAGATTTAGTAATTTTACATTAACTATACTGCTGCCTCTGTGTCGATCAGACACAATAAATCCCGTTCATTTATGTTCACTTTTGTGTAGACTGCCACTCTATCTACTATTGCACCAACCCCCAGATTCCTAGGGTACACTGAACATGAGCTATAACATCTAAAATATCTCCATTTTCGCCTTGTTGGACAGTTTATCTTCCAGTGTCCTATGCCACCACAAGCGCAACACTTATTATTCCCTTCACGATTCACTCGCAATGTCCCAATCCCATGCTGCAGCTCCTAAGTCTTTTTCTAAATACTATATATCTCCTAACTTCCGCACGCGACCGGAGCTAATGTTCGTGTTATCAACTATCGCGTCACCTTCGCAAGCTCACTGATATACACAGTTTGCGTGGCGTCCACCGATCTTAGCTGCTGGGAAACGGCAACAGGCACGCTCTCGACAAACTGCGACGCAAACAACTGTGCCTCCGACTCCAAAGCTCTACGACCAGCACCAATTGGCCACCATCGATCGGAAACTCCACCATTCGGAACCTCTGCAGTTCTTCTTCCCTATCCACTGGGCTGTCGAACTCCACGATCAACCGTTCTGTGATTGCCTCCCGTGTCGTCCCACCGCTAGCGTAGTCCAAGCTGTCATATATAGCCTTCTCCCTGCCCCTAAGCAGTGTCCCCAGCACCATCGCCTTGGCTCCTTCACCCCCACCAGCTCCGCTACAGCTTCAAACTCCTTCAGGAATCTCAACAAATTTCCGTCTTCAAATTCCTTCGGCCATGGGAACTTCATCCTTAGTGGAGGCAACGACACAAAATGTAGCGAATGAGAACATAGATGAGGACAACCGATTGTCTATTTAGCAAATATTACAAAGTTGCTTGGTAAAATAGAAAAACCATACTCTAATAATTCATTTTCAAAATGTTCATTAACCGTTTCAGGCTTCATTGTTACTGCATCTTCACATCAATGGTTTTCTGTTTTTACCTTCTCGATCTTCTGCTGCCAGATATTCTATTCCTGACTCACGATATATTCTACTTATGTCGATATAAGTAGCCCACACCACATCTATTACAGACAATAACTCTTCAGTATACAATTAACTTTTATATTGGTTGTTTGAATCTTCTCATTGGTGTTTAGGACTGAAATTGATTAGTCTCATAACGCGATGGCGTTTGAAGCGAACTATACTGGGTTCGAGTCCTGGAATGTACATCAACTCTAAGATCCAGGTATATTGAGCTGACGAGTAGCGAATAGAGCGAAATGTGAGTCTTGGATTCCACTGCTAGCCCCCATCCATCTCTTCAGTTTATACTCTCACAACTCTTCTTATCTTAGAGATTTCCTCAGTGTAAATTCCTTTCTGAAGTTAGTATACGTAGTAACATTACCTGAAAACATTACTATTTACGTGGCTTCCATATATCTTACATAAAAGTGACAGTTATGACAACTAATTTTATCAAGAATCATTCTGAGTCAGTAAAATTGGGGTACTTTTGTGGAGCTGAATTATGATTTTATTTTTTTATTTAAACACATAAATATTGGTACAAAAAGCACCAGATAAATATGCGCCTCACAAATCTCTTTCGATTTGTGTGAGGGCTGTGATACTGCTCAGGTGCCTGAACTGAAGCAGGTGGTTTTCTTAAAGGGCCACACCCGGAGCCTTTGACCTAAAGATCTGATCCACAAGGCAGTGGAGCATCGTGAGAAGATGCAGTCCCATGGTACCCGGTGACCAACAATAGGTTCATACGCCATTCGTTTCATCAGGATCCTGGAGCCCATGTGCACCATTGATTTGGAATCAGGGTTTTCCAACTCCCCTAGGTGGATCCTCCACATCCACCAACCCGGTTAAAGCGCCGGACATTCGCTTTTCGTCCTCTCACTTTTGTGAACAACACCCCCGCCACGAGAAGGCAGTGAGTAGGACTTTCCTGGCAGAGGCTATATATTCGCGTGGCCATGTGAGAGCATTTCGAGAGGGAGAGCGGACTCTCCCCACTCTCAGCCGTACCAGGGCAATTGGGGGAAAAGCCGTGCGCCGGCCAGGAGATTAGTTTTATTTGATTGCCTGTTCTTTTTATTTGAATGATAAATATGTTTAATTCTAGCTGTTGAATAACTTAATGCCACAGAACGAATTATATGAAAACAACGCCGATCCCAAGAAGCATTATTGATTAGCCCCAGGTTCATGGATGTTCAGCTGTTAAAAAACATTCTGCATATATATATCAGATCAAAACAAACATCCACTCACTGGACAGCCAAAAACTCCCCGTGTAAAACGTAAAATTTCATTTGCAACGGGTGCACTACCAGAAACTATTACTTTGACACGACCACCCAAAGTTTGTCTAATTTTATTGAAGAATATAAAATCCCAAATACTTGAATTGTCGTATATATTTCTGAAGTAATAATAATAAAGACGATAATGATAATAAAACTAGTTTCAATAATTACTAAACTACGAATTAAATATGTCCGTTTAATAATACTTTTATGAAGATTTATTTGTTTTCTGAGATTTTGATTATACATACCAAAAACGTTAACTAACAGATTGAATAAAACAATAAATCTAGTTCCGTAATATTATTTTTGTAAATTGGGAACCATTAATTTTAAATAATCACATCTTAAACTGGGGATATCAGCGTCAACTGTATCTACAAAAACTGATGTCAAAAGAAGTAAATTATGAGATAGACCTATAAAATTGGGTGTAAAAATATCAATCAAACTCAATGAACAACCTAGTGCATGTGTACATCAGTTTAAGTTGCCACACTCCATTAGTACAACAAGATAAAACTCAAAACATATTCCGTATAGGTAGTAACAAGATTCATAGCAGAAAGAATAGGCATGTTGAGATGCGGTTAGAGAAAAAAAGGGAATATAAATAGTGTGACGTTAAAACTGAACAACATAAGTAATCCAGTATTCTCATAAGTTTCCTTCAAATAACGCACCTTGTGAATCTAAATCTTAGTTTCAATCAATACTTCTATCTTGCTATTTAACCCTTTGAGAAACTTGTAAAAGCCTTTGACGACCACTAGGAGAACAACTCTGTAAAATACAGCTCGTTCCATACGATGCAAAGTTTGATCAACAATAAAGTTTTATAGTGACTTAAGGTGTAGGTCACATAAAAAAGAGCCAGCAAATACATATTATTCGTGGTAAAATTAAATACTCAGGAATCCAGAATTTATTGTTATTTGGAACTCACTTCGACAACAACAATATGTACATTGATGAGGATTCAATTTCAGACATAAACATAAGTTATGAGTAAAATTCACTAATTTTAGTCTAGGTACTAATATCTTATATACAGTTCTCAGCTTCAAAGCGTAGCTATAAACGTATTCTCAGCAGTGTATATTTCATAGTGAAATCATTAACATAAGTAAACTGAATATCCCAAAACAACGGACATCTTTTCTATTATGACAGAATTTCGAATTGAAAAGGTGTTCTGTGATGATCCTGTAGCCATGAATTTCTCATCTTACAAGTGTTATTTATGCTTATTTGGACAGCATTACTGAAACAACTTGCATTTGTGGGGGATTTTCTTCTTCATAATCAAAATAAAAGCTCGTCTTTTCTTTCTAGCTTGTGTCCAATAGATCTTATTTACTCCAAGGAGAACCAAATCGTATCTTCTCATTTCTCTGGCTATTTGAATGACCATCCTGATCTCACATATTGTGCGGACTCTCTGCTTACCTGTAATTGTTGCTAACAATCCCAAGAGAGGCGTCTGAATCGTGGCTTTTAAAGATACTGGGCTCTTATCATGTATCATAACTTTTTTATAAGAAGACCGTTCAACTCTTAAAATAGTTTGACCGGCATTTTCTGATTAGCAGTTCTGTGGCGGAGTTTACACTGTGCTAGGTGTGGTTGTTAACTTTAAGGCCAACCTTTATTTCTTTACCCAGGTTTGGTTTTGACAGTAGCTCACAGAAGTGCACTAAAGCGCGTTAAAAAGCAGTAAAATGCTGGTCTTTCAATCTTGTGTTGATTATACTTAGTAGTTCATTCACTTCTGAACGAGGTAATATCACTCATCAAGGAAAATAATCTAATAGTGAAATTTGTGTATAGTTAAACTATCAGAAAATATTCGTTCCAAAAATATTATTTTTTGTCTTTTGCCAGTTGGGTTTGTAAAAGTTTCAAATAAGTGATGTTGTAGTTGAGTGGTCGACCATATTACATCAGGATCGCTAACTGTTATATGTAGGCAGTCGTCAATGTTATGTCTGGATGGATCCTCAGTTTTACTGTTCAAACCTGGCAATCAGGAACCATTCTAACTGCTCAATCCTACTGTTTATGCTATGAAACGGAAACTACTGCAATTACCACGACCCAAAGAAAGAACATGAAAGACTGATGGAATGAAGATTCACTAGATCCCCAAAAACATCTTAAACAAGTTCTGAAATCGCATCGTCATTGGACTAAAATACCACTGTTTATATTTTAATTTGTACATACATTCTGTAATGCCACATATAGTCAGAAATGCACAGAGTTACTGTGAAAGCACATACTGAATACAGTTCACACGAAGTAATACAAGGTAATATTGCTCTAAATAATATCATCTACTTATAACGTTATATCAACTGACAATTCAGAGATAAACTGAACATGTTTTGTAACTTAAGAGATTATTGGTTATCTGTTACTTCCATTTAATCAGTTCTGACTAATTTTTCTCTGTAAACATTAATATTATTTTCTAATGAATTAGAGATTTCTAAGTCTTGAAGTATGCTAACTGTTCAGTCTCGCTATTTATTTTTCAGGTTTAGTTGATAGGTTACGGGAACAGACTGAAATGAAAACAATTTATTGACAACTTAAGAATATCGGTTGTATTTTTATTAGTCTTTACAGTTTTAAAAAACTCAGTCAATCATCACCTTCATTTCAATTTATGGAAGTTGAAAATTTGTTCATGAAACTTTACCCCTTACCCTGACAGTATCCATTGTATAGAAACGGTTCTGTATTTAAATGTAGAAACATTGTACTTTCGTACCGTGTAGTAGACCTTACATAGTTATCTAATCATCTGCATAAAAATAAACTCAACTGAATCAAGTTGCTATATTTTACGTCAAGTTTAGATATGAAGTCAAATGAGATAACACTTAAAATGGATTTAGATAATCTTAAATTTAATTATTTGTTGGATGTATTAGGCTGAGTTGTAAGATGCCAACTTTCTTCTTTGTTGATATTCCAGACCAAATTGATCCTTTTCTATTAGCGAGTAGTCAAATCGTAATCGAATTTTTTTTTGAGGTTTTATTTGCTTACCTAATTGAATTTCATGAAATTAGATTGCTTTGCAAGTAGAATTTAAAGACCTGAAGTAAAAAACCTATCAGAAATGATCTTCAACGATTTTCTTACTTAATTTTAAGCAATTAATAGAATTGTTGAAGTATTTAGAACGTAATGAAAGTACATTTAAGAAAGAACGAACATATATGTGTACTTGTGAAACTCAATATAAGTCGTCCTTTTGAAGGTCACAAAACTTTCATTTTCCAAGGTCTAGGTTGTTTTTCATTCACTACAATAACGACAGCCACAATAACATGACAGATATTATAATTAAACAAACATTGAACTAGATAAAAGATCTCAATATGTGAACTTTTCATTTTGTCATTAAATATTTTCAGAAAACGTTTTTCATCAACATGAGAATAACATAGTCGTTTCGACTACATACGATTTCGTATGATGATGATGATGCTTAAACGCAATATATTTTGCTTATTTAAAAATTTCTAGTAAAAAGTTTTCTATTAATACTGTTAGTTAAATGAACTTGGTACTCATTTGCTTAGTTTTATCAGAACTGATCATATTAACCATATATTCTAAAATGCACTGAAGGACACGATCCCAATAACTCAGAGGACTATAAACTATCGGTATTAGTTCTGAGAAAAATTCAATTGCCTCGTGATAAAAAATCTGTTAGAAGAAAATTTACCTAACAATGATGAAATAGTTCACGTTCAATTGAAAACCTATTGTTATTAAATTCTACATCATTATTTTACATAATTATTTCAAATTCATCTCATTGTAAAGGACTGAATCCTGGAAAAACAATTTACAGTGTATTAAAAAAAAGACGATAAACCACTTAAATTACCAAGAAAATTACTGATACTATTTATGCGCGTAAAGACTTGTAACGTAGCCACATAACCTTTATTTTCACTCACTCAGTGCAAACACGTCACTTCTCCACCAGAATAAAAATAAAATCTATTTCAACTCTTGTCGTCTACCAATATGCAAGTCAATAAACCACAGTTATTGTAATGCAAAAAGAGGTGGCTACATGTCGAAGCACTTACTTTCCAAATTAAATGTCACAGGTCTGTATCCCGTGATAACTACTGAGAATGAGGTGATGGGGTATCAATACACACAACTATTTGGAACCTAATTAGAGTAAACATATGAGAACTTAGTATGTTGCATACAAAAATCAAGATATCCCGGTAAATAAGAAATTAAAATCTCCCATATTCAAAGAAGATTTATATCACCGACGTTTACTATATCTAATAATAAACTTGCCATTCCTTGAGTATATGTAACTTTAAATAATTATGAGAATACGAAAAATAGACGTTATATGACGACATTTTAATGCAGATAATATCTGAGTAGTGAAACTTTATTGTTGTCAGTGATGTTTCATAACCAGAATGGATGGTAAATTATATTCAGAAAAAATTCTCTACTAACTACTAGCACCCGTCATTTCAATTAGATAGGGGCATACCGTAGAATGTATGGCGACGGAGATCGGAGGCAGGTATCAAGATAATGAAAAGCACTTAACAGTAACTGGAAAAGAGAGCTTAGGGCAGAATTGGTTGGAACTCCCTAGTCGGCACCTGATGCCATCAGGGGAGTTGTAGGTCAAAGTTAGGAGTTAAATAGTGCTTTATAGTTTAAGAATATCTTCTTTACAGGATATAATCAATGGAGAAAAATCATTTCCAAACTATACAAACTGCAACAAAACAGAAGATTAAATTGATCTTATTGGAAGATTGTGTAATGCAGGTAAGTGAAATTGACTGAAGCTCTGAAGAAGTCTTGTTGACAGTCAGTTTCAGCATTTGAATTCCAAATGAATAGTTCACTGTTCTACTCTCTATGAGAACAAACGGTAGCGAGCAAATTTTATTTTACTATCTGATGAGTAAGTAGTTGCTGAATTTTATTCAGTCATTCTAAATACTCACCGAATAATATGAATTTGGCTAAGCAGTAACGGTTTCCATTTGGGTCTATCGTACTTTTAAGACGAAGGCCCTAATGAATCCAACTGTTTAGTTAGAAACAGAAACTTGGTCAATAAATGGTAAAAGAAAGTGTACGGGTTAACGAAATGGTTAACCTTTACAGATTTCAACGGTATATACTTATTATCCTAGTGTTTGTTGACTACAGAACGGACGAAACAACAATAAGTACGCAAGCAGCTAATCTGATTATGAAACAAGAATACTAACTTAATGTTATTTTCTAATGTACACTATGCAGTGACCACATGCAAAATAATTTTTATCACTAGGTGTTCCAGTATTTTTTTTTCAGATTTCAGTTAACAAGTACTAAGAAGTATTTAACTTGTGGTTGAAAGCAATAGTCAATTAATCATTGAATAATATCGTGCTATATTCTCAAAAAGTGTTCTAACACAAATAACATATTTTAAAAAGCGTAATAGTTATAGTAAAAACTACACATTTAATTCAAAAACAGCTGAAATGAATTTCCTTTCACAGTGAAATTAAGAAGGCAGGCGTGCTTATCTCACCGAACATTGTCTTGTTGTAAGACAAACAATCATGCATAAATTCTTCAAAAAAAAACAATAATGGTAATTGGAACGCTGGAAAAATGAATCATATTTTAAAAAAATCTTTCAATAAAAAACTAATACATTGATGCACTTAATCTTTGATATTACGTCATACAGACAAATGAAACGATTCTGATAACATTCATAATAACTTTTAAAAATTATATATATATATATATATATATATATATATATATATATTAGTTAGTTAGTTAGTTGGTTGAAGTCGATAAAAGATTTTACACTATCAAAATGCGAAGCGTGATTCCTTGATATAGGCAATCTGAAAATATGAAGTCTTGTTGAAACAACATATGCCAGTTCCGTACGCTATCTTTCATATCACTAGGTTATAAATGCTCATTTCTACTCTTTTCTCTGTGTCCTACAACAGGTAAATAATGCACGATATGGAAGTTGATGAAATGGAATTTGTGACACATGTTCAAGCTGACAACGCCAGTGTATTGACATAGTGATACTAAATAAGTTGCCGCTACTACTTTAAAACAAACACTTCCAGACTTCAGGATAGCTGGCTCAGTTCTGCCACTAGCTACGAGCAATCCTTTGGAAAGAAAAATGATCAAAACAGTGAGCTGTTGAACATCCTCAGCTAGGAAGGATTAGTTTACACAAGGATGAAACAGGACTGCCGTTACTTACACGTTGTATACTCGTCAGATATCTTTGACATTGGCCCATACAAGTTACTTTGACTTTCAATAAACGCATTTTGATTAAATCTGACATTTCACAGTCAGCACGCACAGAAATATCGATCACTACTAAACAAGATAATAAATGTTGATATGTACAATATACGACGATGTGCCGGCTACATTTGGAATAAAATCCTAATAAAAAATGAATCAAGTCATCACTGTAGAGAACAAGACATTACAGATTATTAATAAATTTTCATGTACATTCACAACAGTTTTCATTTGTTCTGTGTTTTAATATTATACATCGAAATCTGTGCTGATAAAACCAATCTAGAGATAATATATGACTTTTTACGAGAAAAATGGCAATTATTTCACGATAATTTACTGCACTATCTGTTAGTAGACAATCTGTCAAGTGAAGCATAAAGAAGTCTACTATTAATGGTAATAGAAGAGAAATGATATAAGATAGAACACAGTCGATTGGCTAGCTTGTCAAGATAACCAGATATACAACTGAGAAGTCTTCATTTTTAGATAGCATAGAAGTAGAATGGAGAACGGTAATAATAAGATGAAAAGAGCATTAGATCTATCACTTGCATACCAAAAATTGATTACGGTTTAATTGTAAAGATAGTGTAAATTATTCACCTACTTTTCTTGTTCTGCAACTTTAGATTCAACTGCATAATTGAATATGCTAGGTAGTAAAGGAACAGATGAAACCTTCTCCATTGCAACTGAATACAACCGAGACAAAACGCGAGGAACAGTGAAAAAAAAGTGTGGTTTGACAGCTTGTAAATCGGCGAGTAATCCTTGAATATTCTTGGTTAGAAAACCGATTCTAGCGCCAACCAGGAGAGTAGACAGCTTTGTGTAGAAAAGAAACAAGAAAGTGGCAATCATTAGTGACACATAGAGATCGTCTAAAGATCCCGAAGTAATAAAAGTATGTCAGACTGAAATTCTATCAACAAACGACACTCATAGTTGATAGATGATAGATTAGTGAACCATGAAAGAGAGCTGCAAAGGGCTAGCTTCCGTTGGTCCTTCACGACTCCCTGGTTGGGGTCCGAGAGATAGTGCAACACAGTGGCTAGAGACGTTATCGGATATGGCTCAGAATAGAAGCCAGTGGCGATCCTGCTGCAACCTTCTTTTACTTTCTACATAAAGAATGGTTCTAACTTTCCTAACTGAAAGAATCTTCTGGTTGTACATTTCAGCCCGCCTTATCTTTTCATCCTTTATCTACCTACTTTCATTATTTTGTGTGGCGCATATGTACCTGGTGCCCTTTTGTACCAATATATATGTGTTTAAATAAATAAATAAATAATAGTGAACCAGTAATTATATGGTGTGATTCAAAATTACTCTCAGCTTTAAAAATCATTATTGGTATATACTAGTTTTATCAATCAAAAATATTCTAGGAAGCTGTCACAAATATCCTAGACAGAAATAAAATAAGAGCTAATTAGCAATTTCAAGTCCAATTTTTAAAAGCAAACACTATAAATTAAAGTAGTCGACTTGCACATTTAGTCAATATTCAACTTTTGAATTGGCCAGTTGCATCTTTTTTTCTACTTTATTACGGCATTAACGTTAACAGCGAGCGCCAAAAAAGTAGGTTTCGACACGATAAATTATGTTTCCATCACCTAGAATAACTCATAATTTCATTTGAACCTTGAGAGCAATAAGATGACAGCAATATGAAAGTAATTCTAACCGTTTATCAGTCAGTCGGTCATAAACGACGTAAGAATCGGCACAGGCGTATATTGACCCAGGCCGCTACACTTAATGGGTTGAAATTGAAAATATAATTACCAAATGAGTTGGAAAAGTGGTAGTAAAGAAGATCGAAGATAGGGAATATAGTCTGGGGGATAAATTAAGCACGAAATAATAATGAAATTTAGAATCTAGAAAATAGACAGTAAATCCATTTACGTTACTGCAGTCAATTTGAGATATATCAGATATGTTTTCAATTGCTGATCACTATCATAATGCGAGTTTGAACCAAGTGGTCTGTGTCTACCAAAACAGCTCAAATCTTTAACTGATCATGAATGATAAGAGTAGTAAGATTCAAGGTATCAACACATGACTCTTGTTTAGTTTTGCTGCGATTACGTTAAGTGGTTGAGTGTGACTGATTTGTTGCAGAGGGGGTAGTAATACGCTCAGAGGTATCACGAACCTTTACTGTTAAACTAACTTAACAGGCGTTTAAAGCAATTAGTCTCTTTGATAAGTTTCGATAGTGTAATAAAAAGACGAAAAATATCAGTACTATGGGATATATTAGCCCAATACATTTCTAACAATCTGATCACACATATACTTGGGTGTTTATCCTCCTCCAACATTTATTGCCAAACACATAATTGAAATAGGTCATAGGATTTATCTTAACTCGGTTTTTGAGGTGTTGTACAAAAGTGTGAAAGGGCGTATACTAAGGTTTATTGGAGCCTTAGCCATACGAAAATTTAAGCCCTCTTTGTGTATTCAAAAACAGTTTGTTTTCACCTTAAACCTACCCTGGTAATATTAGTTTATTATCCAAAGTGATTAGGTTTCATATTGTTTTCACATTATTTTTATTATCCTTGTCACTTCTTACCCTTCATTTCTAGTCTAGTCAACCTTTTATTTTTATATATAAATGTTTTTAACAAGTATATACGTGGTCAGATTGTTCGAAATGTATTGCGCTGATATATCACATGGTTCTGATAATCTTCGTCTTTTTATTACATTATCGCAATTGAACAGACTTTGCTATTCGGTGACTGTGCATTGCGAACATTCATATTGTATCCGATTACAATTTCGGCCCTTGAGTAATAACTGTTCTCAATACAATCGTTCTCAACTGAGTTCAGTTTCGGAATGAATGGATAGGCATAGTATTCTAAGACTGCAGTATTCTATCCAATCACAGCAAACACTTACAAGGAGAGCTAGAAGAAGCCTTTCCAAGGTTACGTCTGTTAACGTTGTTTGGCTTCCAATTAACTGGTGGAATTATAAACGATGTGTGACCTATCTAACCAAAAAGTCATGCAAACTATCTATAAAGACTACATAGACAAATGATAAAACTGTCTTCCATGAATCAATATACACAAAGTTGTAAAATTGCTAAACTTTCACAATGACCGTTTAAAGTGAATTCAGGGAAAAGTGATCATAAAAGCCACTTGGAATACGTTGTAGAAACAGATAGTTGGATTGGAGAATCTATGGGAAGAAATCACAAAATAGTTCGTGCAGTAACTTTCACAAAACATAAAATATATACTGTATCAGTTTTGTCTGGACATAAGTCTCCACTCAAAGAAGGATTGATTAGTGCCATGGGTACCAAAACGTTCTTTCCAACGAGCTGAAAAGTATAACTTCTGAAGGCAAAATTGGAATATAAACCAATATCCGAAAGATAGTTCATGCAGTGATTGTGTATAACGTCAGTCAAAGTTTAGTGACCTAAGAATTCAATGAGAACACAAAGATGGTAAATGTGTTCGGTTTTAGATATTTAAAGTGAATATGGAAGGTGCTATGACCTTAGTGACTCAGCATCTGTAGATTGCTACGTAAGTGATGCTGATCATGCTCCAATGAAACCTTGAAAACACAATACTTAGCCACATAAGAAAAGCTTTCAACCCATATACTGACTTCTATGGGGTTGGATGATATTTCAAATTAGTTTCCGATTGTCAACTTGTGAAGAATGGGATTCAACATCATCTGTGGTAAATTCTGTTGAAACGATAACCACACTAGTACCAGAGATTTACGTAGACTAATTCCAAATATTCAACGGACATTTAAGCACATTGAAATTACTTTAAAAATAGGAATAACGTCTATTAATGTCTTCTATGATTCATTTGTTCCCTTTCGATTGTCGGTATCAATACTAACATTCTTTCAAGCCTTGACTATCTCAGTGAGCTGATGTGTGTTGTAACATGAATAAAAGACGCCTTGCACTAGGTCCTAAAATGTTTATGTTTGTCTCTATTATGGTCACAACAAATAAACATCTACAATGTTCTTCCAAATGGCTTCAATCTGTTATGTTTGACACTAAATCGATTCCGCGGTAACGAACGATAAGCCAATGACACAATGACACGATAAGCTATTCTAATCGGTTGTCCCAGGCCCCGCTAACTAGATGAAGAAGTCCAAGGCAAGTAGGGGAATATATATGTATTCCGTAAGCAGCCGAGTACAAGCAATCGAATAATGGAAAAAGTCAAGCGCATTTATACAACAACAATTTGTCCTTCAGCATCATTGGTAAATAGCACACACAAAGAAACAATGGACCAATAGCGTTTAAGATAGTTTACAGGTGGGAAATATGACGTGAAGGTAAAAAGAGCGCTTTTGGCGCGAAAACAGCTAAATTCAAATTTTCAAAATAAAACTACAAGATTAAGCCATTTACCAAGTAAGTTCTGGGGATTTGACATCCCCAACACAATCTAAATGCGAAACTTGTGAAATGACCAAATAATTATTTTATATGACATGAAAATAATTTGTTAATCAGTTCTTGGCTCAAAGTTGCTTCCCTATGCAAATGATCAGAAAACCAAACAGATTCTCCATTGGACGTGAAATTGTACGGTAAGGCAAAAATATTTCTCTACCGTACATATCACGCATCCGTACAGAAAAAAGATTACAGTTTCAAGCTCTAATAACTTACAGAAATCATTTGTTCCATTATATGAGCCAAAGGTAAATAAGATAGATGTGAAGCAGTATTATTAAAGATCTGTAAATGAACAAAATACCAAGCATTATAATTTTATAAAAGCATGATAGTGCAAGGTAAGGTATAAAAAGGAATCATTAAGTGACTACTAGAGAAGATGACTGTTTAACATAGAGTCGATTTTGCAAAACGAGTCGATTATTCAGTAACATTTACAGAGAACTAGAATAAATAAACAGAGACGTCAATTCGTTTGATGATTTTACAATAATCATTGGTCGTTCTGTAGTAGTTGTTTAGCTGCTCCTGATGTACTGTGATTCGACTTCTTTCCATTTTTCCGTAACCATTACAATCAATTAAGTGAGAATGATTCACCTTCAGAGTTTTATTTTATTTTTTATTTATTTAAACGCATAAATATTGGTACAAAAAGCACCAGATAAATATGCGCCTCACAAATCTCTTTCGATTTGTGTGAGGGCTGTGATACTGTCCAGGTGCCCAAACTGAAGCAGGTGGTTTTCCTAAAGGGCCACACCCGGAGCCTTTGACCGAAAGATCTGATCCACAAGGCAGTGGAGCATCGTGAGGAGATGAAATCCCATGGTACCCGGTGATCAATGATTGATTCGTACGCCATTCGTTCCCTCAGGATACTGGAGCCCATGTGCACCATTGGTTTGGAATCAGGGTTTTCCAACTCCCCTAGGTGGATCCTCCACATCCACCAACCCGGTTAAAGCGCCGGACATTCGCTTTTCGTCCTCTCACTTTTGTGAACAACACCCCCGCCACGAGGAGGCAGTAAGTAGGACTTTCCTGGCAGAGGCTATATATTCGCGTGGCCATGTGAGAGCATTTTGAGAGGGAGAGCGGACTCTCCCCACTCTCAGCCGTACCAGGGCATTTGGGGGCAGAGTTTAATACGGTCGTTCTAATAAACTATCGCTTTCTCGTTTTCTGGGAAAGTGATAGCATGTTCTAAAACAGAAAATGACATGATGAAATTGATTCTCTTTTGAGTCAACTATTCGACGGTAACATATTTATTTTCTGCTCGATTTCTAAATAAAAAGTTGGTGTCTAATTCTTAAAGATTGTCTCGGCCAAAGGGTCAACATCACTTTTATTCAATATAATTCAGTAGAGTAAACTAAGAAACCATATTCATGGATGAACTGTATACTATATAAATAAGCTGGTGTATTGTATCAAACTAATTAGTTATTTTTTGACTTGCTATTGTTGAACCAACAATGTGCAGGGAAATAAGGAGAATAGAGATAATGAGAAAAATATTTAAGCATATGATCAACAGTCATTTGATAATTACATTCATACAGGAAAAGAAAATCATTTAAACAAAAGCTTTTCCCCAATTATTTAATTTAAAAAAGAAGAATGAATAAATGCATTCTTAATGTTTTACACTCACATCTCCTTCAAGTCGTTGAAATAAACTTTGAATAGTCTTTACAACACACTGATGTGTGATTTTCACCCCTTTGGGTATGCCTGTATTAATAATAATAATAATAATAATAATAATAATAATAATAATAATAATAATAATAATAATAACTTACTACGTAAATTATACTTTTGTAAGATCATAACAATTTACATTTATTTGGGTTTATGCTATAGATGCACTTGATAATTACAAATACATATACGACTTTTATATGAAAAAAAACGGTTGATCGATTCCCTTTTTCAGTGTGCACTGCACTTATGTCATTCCTTCAATTTGAAATAAACTAATTTTATTGTTGTTTGCATTTGGCGTGACAGATTTTGTATATCAAAGAAATTAGAAATTTTCTAATTACTATTTAATTGGATAAGGGATCAAAGATCATTAGGAGGTTTGCCAGAAGGAAAATACTGACCCAGGTTTTCTGCTAACTCGTACTCGTTAGAAAGGTGTACTTCAAAGCTTGAGGAAACCGATGCTTTTCGTGTGATTGGAAAACATGTCACCCAGTTTACAGTTAGAGACATTAGCACTCATTTATTCAGACCTCCTGTTTACACTGATTAGTAACCAATGTCATTTTTGTCAAGCGGTAGTTTTGTGAATATGTATCTTATTGTGAGAAAGAACAGCTATTCATGATTTCTAATAGTCACTTTACAAGTAAGTAATTGGTACATTGAATACCTTGAAATTTCGTTTATGTATCGCACCTCCTAAGTTGATAAGTTGAATACTAAGATAACAGCGTCCTGATCATAAATGTGAGTTTACAAAAGAAAATGATCATTTGGAATTGACAAAACACTGAAGATCAAATGTGTTTTCAGTGCAGATGCAAGACTAATATCGCTAATTATAAGTACTTGAAAACATCAACTACAAGAAAATTTCCGGGTATTTCCAGACTGCATGAAATTCATAAATGGTGGGAGCTGGTTAGTGCTATTTACCTTTACACAAATAGTGTCTCAAAACCGAGTACATAACCGATTTGAATTATTTGACTTCTTTTGTACTGCAAAATTAATCAAATTTTCAGTGATAAAACACAAGAATAACCTTAGAGTAATAAAATTATTTTTGAGATTTCTTAGCCGTACAAAAATCCCTTCAGCACTTCGAGATAGATGGAACTTTTCGACCCACGGAATTTCAACTACCCAAATTGTGTAGCACTAGTCAATTTGTAACTAATAAACAAGTAACCCATAATTAATCCATTAGTTTCGAAATAAATAATCAAATAAAGTAATGATTGAGAACGTTTTGAGCAAAAGCGTCATTAAACTTACCTGTGCTTCCGCTTGTATAACAAACCATAAATAAACTCTCTGGTTTTGGAGTCTAAAACCCAGAAATAAATAACAGCTTTTATAAGATGCGAAAAAGGTGTCCATATATTGATGTTAATGGTGATTAGTTTGACATAACATATCAATATTGTAATTAATTTGCGTGCATTTTTGCAAAAAAGTGACTATAGAACGGTGAATTGCCCTACACGAGTATAAGTGTATAATGATAACAGAACAAAAAATTTCCGTGATACTATTAGATTGTGAACTGTACTGTTATGTCAGTAGTCAAAAAAGAACTGCAACGATATCGTTAGTTATTCTTTTTTGGCATGGACTTAAAAACATTAGTTGGTTTTTTCTGTACACGACGTAACTTTACAATTTAAGCTAGCTATTAGTCAACCAGTAGATCCTTTTGTGCCACTCAAGAATCTACGTTCCCATTGAGGTAAACATACGGCCATTTTGAGTAACTAATACAGTAATTTTTAATAGGAAAGTACAAATGTTTAGAAAAAATAATGCTCTGAATAAAGACATTAATAAATCGTAAAATTACTTGCGACAACACAGAAAGTATAAACATAATGATGCCTATCAATAAATAATGTCATTTGACAATCATTCCTGAAACAGAAAGCACCATGAATGTGAGACCTTTAAAGCTATGGAATCAAATAAACTGTTATTGGTGGACAATTTTAAAATTATGTTTAGATGAATCTCAATGCAGAAAAATACACAGGAAAGGAGTATACCACAAAAAATGAATCAGCATATACTTAGTAGGAAAAAAACTCACTTCAGTGCAAATGAGCTCTCCAGTACTGAACTCCTAAAATTAAAATTAAAAAGAATCTTATATAAGAAACTTTCAAAAATGTCAGTCACTTGTGAGTAAACTCACGGTTAACAATTAACCTGCAGTGAAATTTCAATAAGATTTAACTGATAAATGAAAGGGCTTGAATTTTACAGAAAACAATTATTTTTGAGTAAAGAGCAAAAAAGTCTACCAATGAACATAGTGAGACTATCCCATCCAACCACTTTGGACGATACAGATAAAACTTTGTCTTAAACAAAATTCGACTAAACTGTATATCTGACAAGGATATAGTTCACCATACAGATGATATTCACATAAATTGTCTGAACACTTGATGTGATTTATATATAGTCACAAAAACAGCAGAAGACACAACGAAAGCGTTAATTGAATAATCGCAAAAGTATCTTGAAACGATTGTAATGAAAATATCTAGTAAGGAAATAAAAGCAATGTTTATAAACAAGAGACCAAGACAAAGTTAAAATAAATGCTGTAACAGTTGAAAAAGTGCATTCATTTCAGTAAGTGGGGTTCATTGTAAGTCAAGGTGCCCTCCTGATGAAGCTATCCGAGACAATATAACGAAGGTACGAAATGCAATAACTAGAATAAAACCAATTCTAAGATCAAATAATATCAACATAAAAGCAAAGGCAAAATTAATTGATACAGCAGTGATACCTGCCCTGATGTATGATCTAGAAAAAGACTCAATGAAATTAGAAACAGTGTTAAATACTGCGAGATGGGTGATTTAAGAAATTAATAATAAAAATAAAAAACAACAGTAGATGAGTTAAAAGAGAACATGAAATTACCAAACAGAAATAGAACGACATTATGTGCAAAGTGATTGACAGAATGATAGAATGCAAACTTCTAGTGCGAAAAGACCATAAGAAGAGGTTGGATCAGGCAACTACAAGCACTTGGCGAACAACTAACTAATAACCGATTGAACAGCTTATATGAAGTAAACCTAAACAGAAGTGATAATAAAAGGATAGTGGCTAGCAGTGGAATCCAGGACGCGCATTTCGTCCTATTCGGGATTCGTCAGGTAGATGTACCTGCATCTCACAATTGATTTTCAATCTGGGACTCGAATCCAGTACCGTTCGCTTCAAACGCTATCGCGTTTTCGACTTAGCTACTGAGTTCTGATAGCCACCTGATTATGCAATGGGGTGAAGTTTAAATTCACTTGGTGTTGTTTATACAGCTTTTGACTTCAGGCAATGTCGAGGCAGTCCGCATAGGACCCACATATGCAAACAAGAGACTGATCAATCCCAGTCCTAAATAACAATGGGAAGATACAAGTACAAAACAACAAGTGAATTTAGAAGCGATAATACTTATAAACCCACCATATTTGGAAAACGAGAGCTATTAATCGAACTTTTAAATAGAAACTGAAATCGACTATTTACTCCCGATAAAGAAATGTGTCGTAACTCCAAAAATGATCATGGAAATAAAGGAACAGAAATCGTAAAAACAGACATATATCCACGTCCAATAGAAGACTATCCAAAATAAAACAAAATATAAGGATGAATGATAAAACACATACAAACATGAAATCCACATAAAATAAATGAATTTGAGCAGGAAAAAAGAGAATATAGGCAAACAAAAGACCCTGGAGTCTCGACTATCGTGAAGAATAACAAAAGAAAACATAACGCATATGATCATTGCTATTTGATTCATTAATGCTCCGCGATCACTGGATGTAAAATAAAAAAAGGCAACATTAAGACAAAGACAGCTACTGAGACCCAGTAGTTGTGCCGTGTCAACAATATGTCCAGATAAGCCAATCAGCTTCACCAAGCTGTGTGGTTGAGATGGACACCTAAATGTTCACAAAAACAAATAAAATCGAATGATCCAACATGAGATGACTTTTAATTTGCATCTGTATTCGCTCGCTTACTCTCATTAGCATTTATGTTCGATTTTGTTCGTGTGCTTGTGGCTTAGTGATCTGCGCTATTCAGTAATCAATTCAGGTCGACGCTTCATATTGCTTTCTAAAATTTACACACCACTGGGATTTATTTAATAGTGGCTATCAGGGTAGTTGATATACTAAGCCTTAAAAAATATTTGGAAGATAATCCATTACAAGATAAACGCTTGTCAGCATATGGGCGCTTACATACTCCTGTTACCCCTCGTGGAGAAGCAGTAGAACTATCTTGACATTCGTATTGAAGATTCTCACTTTGAAATTAATTGAGAATTGTTTTGAGTCCCATATGTTCTTCAATTGTAGGAATGCGATCCTTTCTTTGCCAATCCTTGCCTTTACGTCTGCATCAGATCCTCCACGTTCATCGATGATGCTGTTCAGGCATGTAAAACTGTTCACCTCTTCCAGAGTTTCTCCATCGAGTATGATCAGGTTAATGTTCTTTCTGTTGAATTTGAGGATGTTGCTTTTTCCCTTGTGTATGTTGAGGCCTACTGGCACACTGTTAGTCTTGACCTGCATTTGTTGATGTGTATGGGATAGAAGAGCTAGGTCATCTGCCAAGTCCAAATCGTCTAGTTGCATCCAACTTGTCCATTGTATTCCGTGCTTCATCCCCAGATGTCGAGGCTTTCATAATCCAGTCAACCACCAGGAGAAAGAGGAAGGGAAAGAGTAGGCAGCCTTATCTAACCCCGGTCCTCACATAGAATATGCCTGTCAGCTGTTCTCCATGCACCACTTTGCACTGTAGTCCGTCGTATGAATTCCGAAAGATGTTGACGATCTTCTCAGGTACTCCATAGTGTCGAACGAGTTTCCATAATGTTCTCCTATTCACACTGTCAAATGTTTTCTCATAGTCAATGAAGTTGATATGTGGTGACGAGTTCCATTTAATTGATTGTTCAATAATGATCCATAGTGTTGCGATTTGGTCTATGTGCGACCGATCCTTACGGAATCCAGCTTGTTGATCTCGAGGCTAGACGTCTACTGAGTTTTTCATCTGGTTCAATAACACTCTGTTAAAAACCTTTCCTGGTACTGACAGTAGTGTGATGCCTCTGTAGTTCTCACATTTGCTCAGATCTGCTTTCGTATCTTGATGAGGTATCCTTCTCCCCAGTTCGTCGGCATTTGTTCTTCCTCCCAAATCTTCCTGAATAAAACATGGAGCATTTTTTTCACTTACTTCTGTGTCTGACATTAGTGCTTCGGCTGGTATA